CATCGAGAATGAGCTTTCGCTCTTCCAACGAAAAAAATAATGAATTATTCAAACTTTCGAATAAGTTCCTCATGAAACAGGTGCTTTTCGAGAAACCAAAATCCCTTGAACTTATTCAAAAGTCGTCATTTTTCCTCCAAATATTTCCATTGGACATGCTTATCGAAGAAAGAATAACGTTTATCACTCTTGTCACCTCGATATTCTTCATTTATCCAATTTTCATCACCGTCTTTGTTTCGAGCTATCGTCGAGATTCAAAGGTTTGAAAAAAAAAAATAGATTTTGAACCTTGAAAAAATTTCAGAAAATGTATTTCCCGATATTCCAGCAATATTTCGCCATTTTCATGGTATATTTGATATTTTTGATCTTGCCGCTGATTTCCAGCATGATTTATCTCATCGAGAAAGCCAGGGTATTTTTTTTGATTTTGAAAAAGTCTGACCTGTCTGCGCTCTCTTCTCTCTCGTCGGTGGTATGAAACAAACACCAGCGAAAATTCAAACGGCGACTTTTCCGATTTTTTCATATCGCTAGGGAACTTTCCGACGGCCACCTTTCCGACGGATCTTTTTCCGACTTTTTTTCTCGATAAATCTTCGCTTTAAATCTCCCTATATAAAGTAGGTAGTTGGTTCATGATTAAAACACAAAGAAATAGGAAAAAAAAATACTTATAGATGTTTTATAAACCGAAAAAAATAAGGGAAAAAAGTCGGAGAGAGATTCGTTGGTAAGGGGGCTGTCGGAAAGTTCCCTAGCGATATGAAAAAATCGGAAAAGTCGTCGTTTGAATTTTCGCAGGTCTTTTTTTCATACCACCCTCTCGTCATGTAGAGAACATTTAAAAATGAGAGGGCGCAGAGAAATCAGAAGTATTTATCTCATCAAGAAAGCCTAGGTTATTTTTTTATTTTACGAAAAAATCTGACCAGTCTGCGCTCTCCTCTCTCTCGTCATGTAGAGAGCATTCAAAATTGAGAGGGCGCAGAAAAATAAGATTGATTTATCTCATCGAGAAAGCCAGGGTATTTTTTTTGATTTTGAAAAAGTCTGACCTGTCTGCGCTCTCTTCTCTCTCGTCATGTAGAGAACATGCAAACTTGAGAGGGCGCAGAAAAATCAGATTGATTTATCTCATCGAGAAAGCCAGGGTTTTTTTTTCGATTTTTGAAAACTCTGACCTGTCTGCGCACTCTTCTCTCTCATCATGAAGAGAGCATTTAAAATTAAAAGGGCGCAGAGAAGTCAGATTGATTTATCTCATCGAGAAAGCCAGGGTTTTTTTTCGATTTTTGAAAACTCTGACCTGTCTGCGCTCTCTTCTCTCTCATCATGAAGAGAGCATTTAAAATTAAGAGGGCGCAGAGAAGTCAGATTGATTTATCTACTCGAGAAAGCCAGGGTTTTTTTTTCTGATTTTTGAAAATTCTGACCTGTCTGCGCTCTCTTCTCTCTCATCATGAAGAGAGCATTTAAAATTAAGAGGGCGCAGAGAAGTCAGATTGATTTATCTACTCGAGAAAGCCAGGGTTTTTTTTTCTGATTTTTGAAAAAGTCTGACCTGTCTGCGCTCTCTTCTCTCTCGTCATGTAGAGAACATGCAAACTTGAGAGAGCGCAGAGAAATCAGATTGATTTATCTCATCGAGAAAGCCAGGGTCTTTTTTTTCTTGATTTTTGAAAATATCAGACCTGTCTGCGCTCTCTTCTCTCTCATGAAGAGAGAGTTTGAACATGAGAGAGCGCAGAGAAACCAGAGTTTTTTAAGTTATGACGAAGGGAGTATGTTCAGAACTGAGAAAACGAAAGGAATTTCAGAAAACGACCATTTTTCCAGTTTATATCTACGCGGTTTGTCTGAGTTTCGTCAAATCATTTTTCTCGCATTCGATAATCCTTGTAGTCGTTATGAATCAACTGACGCTTCTTCTGGCCCTTCAAAGAATGTCTTTTTTATTTCTTCCAGAGTATATTCCTTATTTCAGAAAGTCAGTTTCTTATTTTGAACTTGCGGAAAGTTCTGAGAAATATAAAGCCCGGAAATTCCAAGAAAATCTGTAGAACTTGGATTTGGGCCTCAATTTATTTTATTCGATTTTCTAAATGCTCCAGTTTTTGAATTTCAAGTCGAACCCTGATCACGGTAAACTTGTAAATCTCATAAATAAGTGTAAGAATGGACCTTCGAGCAAAAGTGCTCTAAAGACAAGTTTTTGAGCTTCTCATCTGCACGGACATTGGTAACGCGAAACGTGCTCCGGGCGTTTCTAGGCAGATCTAGGGGTCACTTAAGGGATCTGAAGCTACTAAAGTGGTCACTAGAAAATCCCAAAAACGTCCCCAGCACGTTACCAATTCCCGAGTGGTTTCTCGGCTCGAATTTCTAAAAAAAAAAGAAAAAAAAAACGTTTAGAAAAAACCTTTGCCGCTGGATCGCCTCAATTTGGCTCATAGCCCTTCTCCGTTTAATTATTCAAATGAATTGTTGGTTTTTTCCTTGAAAAATTATTTTGAAAAAGTGGAAATTTGAGGGACATGTGGTTTGGACGCAACTGGAAGCGAAGAAGTCTGCTTTTGGGGCATTTCTTGCTCGACTTTCCGTCAGACTTTTTTATTTTGGGTTATTATATCTTATTTTTTTGAAAAAGAATAAAAAAATTTCAGACCTTTTTTTATTTTTTTCGACAATTGCTCAACGATCTTGGCGTTCAGTATGTACTTCTTTTTGTATATGAGGATCAGGAAAATTCACGAAAGTTCAGTGATTTATTCTGCGAAACTTTTGATGTTTCAACTGTTTCCAGTGTATTTTATTAATATGGTAGGTTAATTGATGAAGGGTGGTAGGCTGCGTTGCGGTCGCGACGCGGTTTTTTTGGCGGGAAAAAAATTCAAAAATCTTTTTTTGGTGTTTTTCTTTGTTTGCGGATCATATGATTTTCAGTTGAACGCTCTCTTCAAAGCCCCACCCCGGAGTTTCGCTCCAACCCCTCCTCCCCCTCCCTCCCCCAATTTGGCTCCGACCCGCCCCCTCCCCAAATCCCGCCAAAAAGCCGCGACGCGACCGCAACGCAAGATTGAGATTCTACTTTCAACTTGATTAAATATATTTTTTTCAGATCAATATCCTGAGAATCTACATCACCCTGATATATTGCAGAGACGGGAAATTCACTCCCCTCGGACCATTTTTCATGAAAGCGGCCACTTTATCGATTTATTTCGCCCTGATGCCGATTTCTTACTTAATCGACCGGGAAAAAGTTCAAGTACTGAAGAATCTTTTCAGTTGTGGAAGTCAGAATCGAATCAGTCGGGTTGGGCCCATGTCTTGAAAATAAAGTTTTTGAAAAACTTTGCTTGGAATTTTAAAAATCAGGTGGATGGAGAATGACAATGAAGTCGAGGAAAATGTTCATGTCAGAGTGGTCACTATAGGGTTAAGGGAAAAAGAGCCACTATAGGGGTGAAATTCAGGTGGTCCCTAGAGTGGTTTATGATCTGACGCCTAAACCCTTAAAGCTCAAGTGGTCCCTATAGGAGTCTTCCAATTTTTTGTTCGGATCTGGAGATCAAAAAGACAAGCAAACTGATCGACTAGCATGCCCCCTATAGGGGCCACTTTTGCAAGCTTCATTGGCCCCCATAGAAGAACCTTCAAGATCTCCTAAGTATGTCCCTATAGGGACTTTAAGCCAGGTCGTCTGTTTTTATTCGTGAAAAATTGTATAATTTTGGTACAATTAGACGCAGCGTCTCGAAGCGAAAGCTCAATGGAAAGCTGGGTGTACGGTAGCTTTTTATTTTTTCGGAAGCGTGAAAATTTTTTAACGAACTTCAAGAGGAAATTGAAATAGGTTTTGGGTCGTTCACAGATTTTGGTAATTTATAGGTTACCTTCCGTATTTTTTTCTATTTATTTAAATCTCGGGCAAAGTCGGAATGGAGGATCATGGCCGCTGAAAAGGAGAGGCTCGAAAAAGGCCGCAAAAAGGTAGAAAAATGAAAGCAGAAAGGCCTCAAAAAGGTAGCAAAAAGGTAGAAAAAAGGCTGCAAAAAGGCTGCAAAAAATTTGAAAAAAGGCTACAGAAAGGCTGCAAAAAGGCTGCAAAAAGGCTGCAAAAAGGCTGCAAAAAGGCAGCAAAAAGGGTCATTTTATCAAGCCTTCCATTTTTTCTGGGACTTTTAAAGGCTCAAGAAATGGTGGAAAAAGGTTGAGGCAGCAAAAATGGTGCATAATAGCCGATTAAAAGGCCCAAAAAGGCAGCAAAAAGCGACTTTTCCTATGATCTTTGTTCTGTTCCAAGCCGGAAAAAGAAAGAAATTGAATCTACAGAAGAAAGTGAAATGACTGGCAGCTGATCGTAACCGTTTCCGCGATAAAAACGAAACTATCAACGTTGTAACAGATATCCGCCCCAAGGGCATCTCTATTACAATATATCTCACGAGGGCCTACAAAAATGAGATCAAAAAAGATGGCCACCGGTTCGTTTCGGCCGCAAGCCGCCATTACCTCCGCCATAATGAGGAATGGTTTCGAGGCTTCTCGTTTTTTTCCCCCCAATGGCATTCTTTGCCAACGTCTTATTCTTCTTAGGTTCTCATCCGAGCGAAGTTTCCGAGCTTTTTGAGCCTCTAAGTGAAATTTTGTTGAAAGTTTCCATTGAGCTGTGAGAATCCTTTCCTATTTCATTTTTTTAAAAAAATAATTTTTTTGAAACCGGGAAGTGAATATTTGTTGAAAGTTTCCATTGAGCTGTGAAAAATCCTTTTCCTATTTAATTTTTTTAAAATAGTTTTTTTGAAAGCCTTTTTTTCCCGTATACCTTGTCTTTCAGTCGCCTAGTTTTTTTTGAATCTTTGATTTCAAAAATTTAAAAAAAGCTTTTTTTCCAGGTCTTTCACTAAAAAAAGTCATTTTTTTCATTTTTCCAAAAGCCACGATCCCATCCGAAAAATATCAATTTCCACAAAAATTCCCTTGATTTTCAGATGTCCAAAACACTTTTCCTCACAATTTCCTTCCTGACCGTCGTTTTCGCCGAGTTCGATCCCCATTTCCAATTTTTCCTCCAACACAAACTAGGAAAAGAAGTTGCCGAGAAGTTCGCCAGAAAAGACGTCGCCAACATTGGCAGCTTCGGCGGTGGTCTCTTGACCGGTGAACAAAAGTAGGTTTTTGTTTATTAATTTATTCCCTGAAAAGTAAGATATTACTAAATGACATGTCGCATTACTCATTATTTAGAATAAGTACTTTCTGTAAAAATTAGTTTTATCAAAAAATGTGTGCAATATTGCGCGCGGATGAATGTTTTAGGGAGTTATAGCGCGAAAAACGAAACTTTCGAAATTTCTGTTTTTTTTTCTAGTTTTCATTGATTTCGACATGTTATCATTGTTTTTTTCAGTTGAGTAACTTTGTGACAACTCTCTCACTTTCTAATCACTTAAAAAAATTTAAGAATAAATTTACGGAAAAATACTACAAAAAAATAACGTTTAATGAAAAACTTTTTTTTCTTTTTTTCCTCCAATTTTTTTGCACTCTTTACTTTCCGCAACATACAGAACTTTTTTGAAGTTTTAAGGTTTCTTTTTTTGAATAAAATATATTTGAGAGTCCGGCCAATCGTTCTAGTCCATGGATTCCGCAACCAAGCCGACTCTCTTTGGAAAATTCGACGGGATTTTGTTGCTTCCGGTAATTTCGTTCAGTTTATTTTTTTGAAGCTAGTAATTTCGCTGATTTGGTTTATTTATATCATTATCCAAAGATTTTTTTAATTCAGTTTTTCAGGATTCCCCGTGGAGCGAATTTTTCGCCACAACTTGGGGAGCGGGAGAAACGTCCGATTTGCAGTTTGACGAATCCCTGCAATGTGCTCATGTGAAGCATGTCCGTAGTTATCAGATAATAATGAAAAATTTGAAAAAAACCTTGTATATAAAGTGAAAAAAATAGCAAGCTTTTTGTTATAATTTTCACAAAAAAATGTGATTTTTTTGAAGAAAAAAACGGTAAATTTCTGTGATTTCCTACTTTTTTGAATTTTTTTGAAGCTTGGAAAGGGTTTTTTTCTGATTTTCGCGTATTGGATCATTTATAAGCGTTTTTAAAAATCATATAATCAAAAAAATATCGTTTCAGGACTTTTTTTATAAATCGTAATATAAATTTTTCTACACCTGTACAACGAAATTTTGTCTAGTTTTTTTTCAACTTTTTTTTAAAAGTGGTCTCTTAAGGGATTTCAAGCGGTGTAGTGTACTCCGCGCTAGTCGGTCACTTTTTTTTTGCGTTCCTAAAAATACAAATATTATCGATTTTCCGCGAAAAAAACGTGACAAGCTTGCGGGTAACGACTTCAAATCGTTAGATATCTTACCCGGAATATTTTGAACTATTTTTTTTTTCAGATCCGCGACTTTATCAACGCGATATCGCGCTACACCTGGAGCAAGGTCGACGTTATCGCCTATTCGATGGGCGCCCCATTAAGCCGAAAAGTTTATAGTCATTCTCTTTCAATTCCTGCCAAAACAGCAAGGATTTTTATCGCCTTTGATACCCCCACGAAAACCTGATCGCACCTTGATTGGCTTCCTCGGCTTCAAGGGCGAATAGATACGAAAGATCAATCGCTGGTCTTTCGGACAGGAAAACAAGAAAATTGATGGTCTACTCGGAAAATGTTTAGTGGTCACTATAGTAGTCAAATTAGTGGCCACTTGAGGGGTTAAAAATTAATGGTAACTATAGAAGTCTAAGTGCTACTACTAGACCACTAAAAATTTTAGTGGCCCCTTTAGGGGTCAATGGATCAAAATAACTGGTACAATCTGTTTGTTTTAAAATTATCAGAGTTACTGGAAGGAATACTGGATGAAAATCTACTGAAGTGGCCACTAAATGGAGAATCTCTATAGTGACCACTAAAACGTAAAACAGTGGCCACTTTAGTGTCCTCTCCAAGTAGCCCTTGGCCAGTCTCTATAGTGGTCATTCAACATTTTGCCAGTAGATTGGGAAAACAGTTTGACAACTGAAATTTTCTAAAATCTTTAAAAAAGGCACATTTTAGTTTGATTAAATGAATTTCTCTTTTTTGAAAGAGAAATTTCTTTGAAAATGGTTTGAAAATTAAGGATTTTTTGGTATTCAGACCAGGGAACGCAGAAAAAAAAGGATCCAGAAGAATGGAAAAAAACATTTTTTCAGCAGAATTTTTCTCTAGAAACGGTAGAATATAAAGCCTTTTTAAAGACCTCAAAGAGAATTTGAGGCTAGTTTTAATATTTTTTTAATGAATTTTAAGATTTTTTTTTTTTTTCAATATTGACCCCTTCCTCGGTTTTCTCACCAAACCTTTCTGACAAAAAACCAAAAAAAAAAGGGAAGGTTTTTTGAGAGCTTTTTTTGGATTCATGGTCTCTAGAAGTTGCAGAAAAGTCATAAATTTATTTTTCAATGTTATCTTGAAAATTCCTAAAATTTCCAGGCGATACTCGGAGGGCAGTGCATCGAAAACGGCGAACTTCTTGGCAAGCCATTGACCCGAAAAATTCATTCTTTCATCTCCGTCGCTGGCGCTAATCATGGTGATTTTCAATATGTTTGGTCTGGAATCGAGAAAAAAAAAAGTCGAAATGTTCAAAAACACCTGAAAAATGGTCTTTTCAGCTTCTTTTTGACCCTTTTTGTCAGAAAAAGGATTTTTCCTTAAGAAGTTTCTTAGAGAAACATGCTCTAAAAGGTATTTTTTGTTTTAGAAAGGTGGAAGAGAAGTTCATGTACCATTTTTGGAACCCTTTTAAAAGTTAAATAAGGGTCCTTTTCTATGAATTTTGGGCCCTTCCTTCGGAAAATTTGAAAAAAGAAGAAAATCACGTTTTCATTTTAATCGTGTACTTTGGGGCCTCGTGAAAAACGTTAAAATGTTCAAAATGATCTTGTCATTTTTTTCGAACTCCAAAACCATTTTTTTTGCTTGAAAAACCCTCCAAAGGCTATTTTTCATTATGAATAGTTGGTAGAGGAGTTCATTAACCATTTTAGGAACCTTTTTAAAGGGTTAAAAAGGGTCCTTTTCCAAGAATTTTGGGCCTTTCCTTTGGAAAATACGAAAAAGAAGAAGATCACGTTTTCCATATCATTCGAGTACTTTGGGGTATTGTGAAAAACGTCGAAATTTTCAAAAATACCTGAAAAATGGTCTTTCCATCTTCTTTTTGAACCTTTCTGTTAGAAAAACTTTTTTGAAAATCGAAAAATTTTCTTGCTCAATTTCTCAAGAAAGTTTGTTTGAAAAGCCTCCAAAAGGAATTTTTTCATTTTGGATAGGTGAAAGAGGAGTTCATTAACCCTTTAGGGACCTCTTTGAAGGTTTAGAAAGGGTCCTTTTCCAAGAATTTTGGGCCTTTCCTTTGGAAAGTTCGAAAAAGAAGAAAATCACGTTTTCCATATCATTCGAGTACTTTGGGGTATTGTGAAAAACGTCAAAATGTTCAAAATGATCTTGTCATTTTTTTCGAACTCCAAAACCATTTTTTTTGCTTGAAAAACCCTCAAAAGGCTATTTTTCATTTTGAATAGGTGGTAGAGGAGTTCATGAACCATTTTAGGAACCTTTTTAAAGGGTTAAAAAGGGTCCTTTTCCAAGAATTTTGGGCCTTTCCTTTGGAAAATACGAAAAAGGAAGGAGTTCACCTGGAAAGAATGTGTATATTCTTTGGTCGGAACGGAAACCTGTTCCAATGTAATCGAACTGATTACCCTTTTGATCGCCGGCTGGCCGCCGACTACAGTATACTTAGACAGTTTTTTTGTTTCATCAAGATCTTTCCGTCCAGATTGGACCGAAGGATAAGGGGACACCTGAGTGTTTTGAGAAAATTTTAAGATAACTTCCTTTTTTTTGTCATTTAAACTATTCAAAAGCATCAAACTAGAGTAGAGTTGGGGCGTGCCGTAGCGCAACAGGTTGTGTGCCTGTCTACGGTCCACAGGGTCACAAGTTCGATCCGCGCCTCGACCCAACCAAGGGGTTTAAGAAATGTTGGTAGTTGGAAACCACGGCCGTCACACACAAGGACGGATATGTCACTGGAGCCAGTCTACTGATTATCACATATCTGGATAGGACCTCAGCTAATCGACTTGGGGCACCGACGCCGCTCAAGCGTTACAAAGGTGTAAGAATAAGGAGAAGAAGAAACTAGAGTATAGTTGAGGAATTTTTGTTTTTTTGGAAAAGTTTTTTTCAAGAAAGTTAGAAGTTTCAGCGCTGGTTTCTCTTTCACGCTTTTATTTAATCTATAGAAAAGTGATTTCGTAAACTTGAGAGTAGAAATTTGAACAAAACCGGTTCTGAAACCCCGTGGAATCAATTGAAATTTCCAATTTTTGAGTTCGAAATTATCCTTTCAGTAGTATCTCATCAAAAGTAGGTGAGTTTCAGAAGTATTGAGAAGAAAAAAAGGATTTTTTTGATGGTTAATTGAAACTTTCGTAGCTTTATCGACCTCTAGGCTTCTTAAGCCTTTCCCATAAATAACAAAAAAAGCAACGGAAATTTTTACAAAATTCACAGTTCTGTGGGATCTGAAGTAGTTTTTTTGGGACTTGGATCAATTTCAGATTCTCTTGCATAGAGCAGAAAAAAACAAAAAGCATTGAAAGACCCAATAAGAAGCTGTGTACTATCTGACTTTCCTTTCAAAATTTTCATAGTCTTCAAAATTTTCTACACCCTTTCAACATCCATAAAACAAGATAATACATGATTTTTTTTGTGGCTTTCTAAAATTTCTAGTACTTCTTCTTAACCCCCCTAACAAAAAGTCCAGTACTTTCTAACCCACCCCCTGCCGAACATAAAAAAACAGAAAAAAAGAGACTAAAAAGGTCAATTGAATCCATTTTTTTCCAAAACCATAGTCTTAACTCCCCCTCCCCCTCGAACATAACAACGATAAAAGAGACCGTATTAACCCCCTCGCCTTTTAAATTTTTTTAAAACTCCAAAACAACAAAGTGAAACACAATTTTCGTGCCTTTCTCAATCTCCAGTACTTCCCCCGACCACAACAACGAAAAAGACCGAAAGGCCATCGGCAGCGGCTTTCCATTGCGACAGCCTCATCAGTATCCATCAGGCTTTTGGCGCCGCCAAACAAGAAATCGCCATGCCCTTTTGCGGCAAGTGTTTTCCAGCGATACTGTAGGCAAAACTGGCCGAGACCCCCGATGCCTCTTCTGATTTATTATCCGTTCTCTACGCAATTTTTCCCCCTGCTTTTTTTGGCCTGCCAGACGGCCAAACCGTGTCGCTAGACTGGGTCCCGTGACCGTGCAGACAAGAAATCGCCATTTCGTTGATCGCTTCGAACCGAAAAAAATTAGGGGTACGGTACGAGGAGATGATACTTCCTGGTAGAGCGAAAAGGGTACAGAAAATGCGAATTTTCGAGATAAAACATATAATTATCCGTGGAGCGCATATTCCTTGTCAATTTTGGCGGCTATTTTTTTTTCGCCGAGAATGAAAACTTTTCAATGGACTATTAGTACATCCTTCTACGTACCTGTCACAGGAATATCAGAGCTTTTTTGAATGGAAAAAAAAATCAAAAAAAGGACCGAAAGTAGAGAAAAAGGGATATGAACTTTGTATAGCGGAAAAAAAAATTTTAAATTATTTTTACTAATTTTTTTAACTGGTTACAGAAGTTGAATAGTGGCCAAGTTCCAAGAGAAAAAAATGGCGGAATAAGCGAAATAGCACGCAGAATTGAGAGACATCTCTGGTCATACAGTATTCCATTTTTTTTAAAGAACAGATGAATCTAAAATAAAAATCTAAGGATGAACTCGAACCTTGGTCGCGAATCGGGCGTTTCGGCGCATTCCTAGGGACCACTTAAGGGTCTGACGATACTAAAGTGGTCACTAGACATGATCCCATTTGCATCGCGTTAAAAAGATGCAACAGGCTCCAATTTAGCAGTTCTCTCTAATGCATTCCGATGCACTTTTGCGCAAGTCGTTTTTGGTGGGACGCACGTCTCAAAGCAGCCACTAAGCGTTGGGTCATCCCACCTACGATCTTTAGCTTCAAACTTGGGAGTATAGGACATTTTCTAGGCTCCTACCTCTGCTCCACCTTCCCCTTCGGCAACATTTGCAACTTTGTCAACGGCCTAGCCTGCGATTCCAAGTTCTTGAAGGAAGTCAATTCAAAGTCTCCCTCCTGAAAATTTCCCCGAAAACTATCGGATTTTTTCCAGGAAACACTACGAGGGCAAAAATGTGTACAGTATCGCTTCGGAAGACGACGACGTAGTGGGATATAAGACGTGTGGGCGGAAAACCTCCAAGATTTACGGGTCCAAGGAAATCGTGGTATTTTCCCCGGTCTAAGGTCGAGAAAATGCGGATTTTTTTCAGCTGAAAGGCTTGAATCACGAGGAGACCGAGTTCGACACGGCCAATATTCAATTGGCGTTAGTTCGTAAGTTTTTCCCCCCAGAAAAAATGCCCAAAATCGTTTTCAGGAGCAGCTTGATCACGCGAAATGAGCAACCAACTATTTATTTATTATTGTTAGTTTTGAATAAATTATGGACATTTACAAGGAAACAAAAAAACCAAAAAAATTAGGATCTCCAGTAGGAGTGAGCCCTATAGGGGCAACTTCAGGAGGGGGGGAGGCTCAGGCTACTTCACTAACTCCCCTCCCTGTAGAGGCAACTTTAAAAGGGGTCTGCGGACTATTTTACTAACCTCCCTCCTTATAGGGGCAACTTTTGGCCACTTTACAGACCCCTTTACCAACCTCTAAAGCTTGAAATAGTGGCCCCTATAGGGGTTTTAGTAAGTGGCATCTATAGGGGATATGCTTGTCGATAAGTTGAGCTCTATGCGAAGAAGCATTCCCAGGAGAAAAACGAAATAAATAAGCGCTTTAAATGGAAATGAAAGACCCCTAAAGGGACCACTTAACCTTAAAGAAGTCAGGCCTTAAACCTTTCTAGGGACCACCTTGATTTCACCCCTATAGGGACCACTTTTTCGGCCTCTATAGGGGTTGTGCTTCCCTAACCCCTATAGGGACCACTCTGGATTCCTAAGAAGGTCAAAAATGGGTCTTGAAACGATCAAAGAAATAGCGTGTGAAGGGGAGAGGGTTTCCATGTAAAATGACATTTTCTGAGAAGAGGTCAGGAAAATTCCAAGGGATCACTTGAGAAGTTCGCTTTTTACAGTTTTCTCTACAAGGCAATTTAGTGGCCCCTTAAGTGATTTGTTGAGAGTGACCATTTAAGGGATTTTTGAACTTTGCGCAGAGAGTTGTGACCTTTCTGTAAGAAAATCGAAGATGTCAGCATGAAAAAACAAGAAAAAAAATTCCAAGTGATCACTTGAGAGCTTTGAAACTTCCACTATAAGGAGACTAAGCGGCTACTTTAGTGATTTGTCCCAAGTGGCCATTTAAGGGGTTTTTTGGAAGATCCTAGTCGAATTGTCTATGGATATCGAGAAGAGTTCAAAAATTGGGATTGATACTGAATTTTATGATGAGTCAGCGAAATAGTGTGCAGAAATTAGAGAGTTTAGTGACCAAGGAAAAAACGAATTTTTTTGGGATCTTTTTTGTAGTCTTTTTCGATGAAAATACGGTTTCACTTCCCAAAAATGAAAAAAAAAATTGATGACATCAAACTACATACACGGCTGTTGCATCCGATTTGATGATCCAAAAAACGGGTCGGTATCATTTGCCGTTTTATCGGATCAGCTTGGAATATGCGCCGAGAAACATGATATGATTTGGGTCCGAAAAACGCCGAATCGAGACGCGAAATGGCCGTTTCGAGACGTTTGGGGGTTCAGGGGGAGGAACAAGACAAAAAGAACTTTTTTCGAGATTATTTTTCTTAAAACCTAATGGTTTTGATCAGAATTGTGAAGGTAGACATTAATTTGAGCTTCTGGAAAAAGGTTTGGTCGCATTTGGAATGGCTTTAAGCATCGCGGTCGCGTTTTGGGACTTTTATGCCATCGAGCGTAAGTAGTTTTTGGTCGGGCGCGTCTTGAACCATCCAATTTTCAATCAAAAAAGAAGGGAGTTCATATTTTCACAGTTTTTAAAGAATTAGAAGATAGGGATACTGGGGAAATTTTTTTCATAAAAAGTTTGAAAAAAATGAACGGGATTACTGTAAGGATTACGGTACTTTTTTTATTTGAAAAATAGGCAGCTGTAGTAATTTTTTTCAAGAAAATGAGGGTTCTATCCGAAAAAGAAACTGGAACTATAAAAAAATCGTGGGCGAGGAATAGGTTACGCCTCATTCCCCCTTTGGTCAAATAAAGAATCTTTGGCCCAACCTCAAGATGGAAAAATATTTCACGGGATAATAGTCGTTTAGAAGTGGGCGGAGCCAGCGGATAAAGCTGCCATATATAGAGATTTTGTATGGCGCCGCTGGCATTTCTCGTTTTTCGTGATAATTTGAAGCATTTTTATGGTTTTTTCAATGAGGGATGTGTAGTTTATTCACAGCTGGCTTGTCGAAAATGGAAAAATTCAAATTTTGACTTAAAAAGCGGTGGATGGGCTATATATTTCTTTTTTTTAAGGATCGGCCATTTTTCGGAAAATTTTGTAATAGACATTTGTGGTCCATTCACAGCTGGCTTGTCAAAAAAATGAAAAAAATTTAAATTTTGACTTAAAAAAAGCGGTGGATAGGCTATATATTTCTTTTTTTAAGGATCGGCCATTTTTTTCGGAAAAATTTTGTAATAGACATTTGTGGTCCATTCACAGCTGGCTTGTCAAAAAATGAAAAAATTTAAATTTTGACTTAAAAAGCGGTGGATAGGCTATATATTTCTTTTTTAAGGATCGGCCTTTTTTTCGGAATATTTTTGTAATAGACATTTGTAGTTCATTCACAGCTGGCTTGTCAAAAAAATGAAAAAAATTTAAATTTTGACTTAAAAAAAGCGGTGGATGGGCTATATATTTCTTTTTTTTTTAAGAATCGGCCGTTTTTCGGAATATTTTGTAATAGACATTTGTAGTCCATTCACAGCTGGCTTGTCAAAAATGAAAAAATTCAAATTTTGGCTTAAAGAGCGGTGGATGGGCTATATATTTCTTTTTTTGGCGATTTTTCTAAATGGTAGAAGTTTTTAGTGTATTCACTGCTATTGCGTGATGAATTTTCGAATTTTTCAGTTCTTTTTTTGAATTTTCTTATAGTCCATTCATCGCTCTCTTGTCGCAAAATGAGTGAGTGGTCACTATAGGGATTTTTCGCTATTTTTTTCATTTTTTTTTCAGTTATTTCATCTTCAGATTGTCAAAAATTGGCTCAGGTTACTCTAAACTCTCTTATTTTCACTCACTATCTCGTTTATCGATTGATAATTGAAATATGAGATTTTTGAGATTTTTTCTGGCTCATTTTGTGATTTTCATCATTCAAAAAACTTTCCAGGCCGCCAAAAATGACCAGGTTATTGGTCTTATTGGTACCAATATTCGCCTCGGTTTCCTGCCAATTCGACCAGCATTTTGTCGATTTTCTCCACACCAAATATGGTCCTGAGATGCACCGGAAATTGTCTCGGGCGGACCTGAAAAATGTCGGCAGCTTTGGCGGCGGTTATTTGGAGGGCAATGGGTTCGGTTTCCTTATTTTCAGCGAAAAATCGAAAAAAATACTCGATTTTCTGTGTAAAACCTTGAAGATACGCATTTTGGCGACATGAAAGTGCGGTTTTTCATTTTGGTACTTGTTCCAAAGCTGCGCCGGACCTTACACTGCTTAAAGATGTCACAGCGCGCAAGTAGTTTCTGGTCGGATGCACCTCACAAATAACACCGCCGCTTTGAGCCATTCCGAACGTGGAATGAGGATACTATAGAAAACATAAATTTTGCGGTAAAAATGTAATTTTTCCTTTTGGCACTTTCCCCACAGCTTTGCCGGACCTTACACTGCTTGAAGATGTTACCGGGCGCAAGTAGTTTCTGGTCGGGTGCATCCCGATTATGACCGCGACGCTTTGAACAACGCGTTTTGGCGACATAAAAATGTTATTTCCATTATGGTATTAGTCCCATAGCTGCGCCCGACCTCAAACTGCTTAAAGATGTTCCCGCGGGCAAGTAGTTTTTGGTCGGATGCATCTTATTTATGAACGCGACGATTTGGACTTTCCGAACGTGGAATGAGGATACTATAGAAAACATAAATTTTGCGGTAAAAATGTAATTTTTCATTTTGGTGCCGAAAGGACCTTACACTGCTTAAAGATGTTACCACGCGCAAGTAGTTTCTGGTCGGGTGCACCTCAAAAATTGTACCGCCGCTTTGATCCATTCCGAACCTGGAACGAGGATGCTGTAGGAAACATAAATTTCGCGGTAAAAATGTAATTTTTCATTTTGGTACTAAAAGGACTTTACACTGCTTGAAGATGTTACCACGCGCAAGCAGTTTCTGGTCGGGTGCAGCTCAAAAATTGCACCGCCGCTTTGAGCCATTCCGAACGTGGAATAGGGACACTGTAGGAAACATAAATTTCGCGGTAAAAATGTAATTTTTCATTTTGGTACTAAAAGGACTTTACACTGCTTGAAGATGTTACCACGCGCAAGCAGTTTCTGGTCGGGTGCAGCTCAAAAATTGCACCGCCGCTTTGAGCCATTCCGAACGTGGAATAGGGACACTGTAGGAGACCTAAATTGAGGGAGACTTCTCAAAATAAGAGGCACAAGGCGACTTGAAGAGAGTCTAGAGAAAGAGAGTGTCTTTGCTTGTCTGGCGTCTCTTCAGGCCGCCATTGATCTCTCGCTCTAGATTTTTTTTTCCACCAAAAAAAATCTTTCTCTGTCCAAAAAAGACATATAGGAAGGAGAAAAAAACTGGTGAAAATTTCTAAAAATAACGTAAAAATTGGGTTTTTTTGCCCTTCTTTTCAGTGCATCTTTTTAAAACCGTGAAGAAAATTTCGAATTTCAGTGCCCGACCTGTGATTTTAGTCCATGGATTCCGGAACCAGGCCGGTACTTTATGGAAAGTTCGGCGCGATTTTGTCGCCGGGGGTGGGATTTTCGATCGATTTTTCAGAAAATAATCAATAACTTGTAGGAATTCCAAGCCAGAGAATTTTCGCGACCAGCTGGGGAGGCGGCGAAACTCCAGATTGGCAACTCGGGGAGTCCCTGTCCTGTGAACACGTCTTGAGGGTGAGGACTTGTCTCGATTTTTGAAAATTTCTGGATTTTATTCTTGCTTTTCCCCACGTTATAAGCTTACGAAGCGAAAAAAATTTCAAAAAGAAAAAAATTTTTTTGCCTTGATTTCTTTATTAATTTCTCTAGAAGCCTCATTTTCAGAATAAATCTAGGCAATTTCAAAAAAAAAAAAATTACTTAAAAAATGGCTTGTAAAAGTTGCCTCGACAGTCCTGCTTGGAGATTTTGATCAATTTTCCTGTTTCCCAAAAATTTTTTAGCTTTTTTTCGAGATCCCTGCGACAATTCACGTTGCTTTTCGAGATGAAATATTTTTTTTGGAACTAAAGTCCTTTATTTTCAATCTTATAAAGGGAAAATATTTCTGATTCACTTGAGCCATCGAAAAAATGGGTCCCGACACGATTAAAAAAAGAGAGAGATAGCGCCTGGTTCGTGGAGAGCGCAGACAGGCCACGCCCCTTGGGAGAAATTTTGATAAACTGGGAAAATTTTAAGTCGCCACTAAAGAGACAAGGACTACTTGGGGAGGATACTAAAGCGGCCACTAAAACCACCTCTTAAGTGGCTACTATTTTCCGTTTTAGTGGCCACTTGAGTAGTTTTTCATCCATTGTTCCTTCCAGTAACTCTGATAATTTAAAACAAACAGATTGGACCAGTTATGTTGATCCACATTGACCCCTAGAGTGGCCACCAAAATTTTTAGTGGTCTAGTAGTAGCACTAAGGCCTCTATAGTGACCACTAATTTTTAATCCCTTAAGTGGCCGCTAATTTTACTACTACAGTGGCCACTCATACGTCAAAACCCTATAGTGGCCACTCATACGTCAAAACCCTATAGAGGCCACTAAAAATTTTCCCAGAAAAGTAGACACTTTTCGCGTGTCTGCGTCTCTCTGTTCCCTCACCGGTCAGAGAAATGTGGAAATAGCACGGAAACGTGAGAGAGAGAGGAGGGCGCTGAGAAATAAAGTTTCAGAAATTAGAATTTTTCAATGATTTTTTGAATATATTTTCTGCAGATTCGAGAATTCATCGAAGCGGTTTCCCGCTACGCGAACAGCGACGTCGACGTCGTCGCCTACTCGATGGGCGGCCCCCTCGCCAGAAAGGCATCTTTTAATCTTTCCGACGGGAAAAAAACATGATCCCCGCAAGATGATACCGTTTGGGAATCTCGTTCAGCAGCAAACCATTGGGATCAAATCGCATTGATTAGTCTGGCAGATTCATTTTCGTCGCTAGGTGCCTTTAAAAAAAGGAAGGGAGAAATACAGGGCGCTTTGAAGAGAGTTTAGAGAAAGAGAGAGAAAATCTGATTTTCTGACCTTTATCAAGCTTCTTTGTGATGTTCGAGTAAGGTAAATTGAATAAATTGAAATCGAGTTAGAGAAAGGGAGAGAGTATAGACGACTTGAAGAGAGTTTAGAGAAAGAGAAAAATTCTCTGATTGTCTGGCGTCTCTTCAGGCTTCAGTTGATCTTTCGGTTTCGCTTTCTCGACTTTTCGAATTTAAAAACTTGACAAAGAAAAAAATAGACCTGAGGTTGAATTTAGAGAAAGAGAGAGAGAGATTGTAAACGGTTTGAAGAGAGTTTAGAGAAAGAGAAAAACCTTCTGACCGTCTGGCGTCTCTTCAAGCCGTAGTTGATCTCTCGTTTTGGCTCATTTCACGATCGGTTTCAAGGATTTCGAAACTAAAATAATTTTGAAAGATACTAAGATGGATCAATAGGCCTGAAGAGACCCCAGACAACGAAAGTGTCTCTAGCTGTCTGGCGTCTCTTCAGGCTTCAGTTGATCTCTCGCTTCAGTTACACTTTTCTTTCATTTTCAAGCGGGGCTGATGTTTCTCAAGTTTTCGCTGATTAGATTATTAGAAATTTCAAAAATTCAGGCGATCCTCGGAGGGGCCTGCGTCGAAAACGGCCACCAACTCGGCAAACCTCTAACCCACAAAGTCCATACTTTCATTTCCGTTGCCAGTCCTCATCATGGTGGGTTTCAGGGTTTTTTAAGAGGTCACTGTAGTGGTCAAGACGGATCCCTTAAGGGACCACTTCACTACTGTTTTTGGAGATGAATTTCAGTTATATTCCTTCGGCCTCATTTCACGTTCCCTTAAAAATGTCCACTTTTTCCTGAAGTCTCTAGGGATTACTTAAGGGGAAGGCTTCCCTAGTGGCCAGTCCTCATCATTGGAGGTTCCAGGCTTTTCAAGAGGCCATTTTAGTGGTCAAAACCTCTCAAGTGACCACTTCATCGCTCTTTTTTGAAGATGATTTTAAGTTATTTTCATCTGGCCTCACCTAACTGTCCATTAGAAAACGCTCACTTTGTCCTCAAGTCTCTAGGGACTACTTAAGGAGAGGGCTTTCTAAAAACCCCTGAAGGGTCACTTTAAAATCCCAAATTATCACTTGAGAGTTTTTGACTACAGTGAAATATTTGGTCTTTTGTCAATTTGGAAGCTTACTTGAGTGATAACTTCGAATTCGGAGCCCTTAAGAAACAACTTTATCGCCATTTTAGAGAGGAAAAAAGGCCCTTAAGAGACCACTTTATCGCCATTTTAGAGGGGGAAAAAAAAGCCCTTAAGTGATCACTTTATCGCCGGCTTAGAGGTGAAAAAAGCCCTTAAGTGACCACTTTATCGCCTTTTTAGAAATGAAAAAAGCCCTTAAGTGACCCCTATATCGCTGGTTTCCTTGAGTGATAACTTCGAATTCGGAGCCCTGCAGTGACCACTTCATCGCCATTTTAGAAATGAAAAAAATCCCTTAAGTGACCATTTTATCGTCGGCTTTCTTGAGAGATACTTCGAATTTGGAGCCCTTAAGTGACCACTTTATCGCCATTTTTGAGATGAAAAAAGCCCTTAAGTGACCACTATATCGTCGACTTCCTTGAGTGATAACTTCGAATTTAGAGCCCTTAATTGACCACTTCATCGCCATTTTAGAGATGAAAAAGCCCTTAAGTGACTCCTTTATGGACAGCATCCTTAAGTGATAACTTCGAATTCGGAACCCTCAAACGTCAAAAATCGGAAAATAATCCTTCCCAGGCTCATACCTCTGCATGTTCCCCTTCGGGCACATTTGCAACTTTGTCAACGGCGTTTCCTGCTTCTCCAAGTTCCTCCAAGATATCAACGCGAGGTGATTTTATCACAAAAAATTGTAATCAACTCGAATTTTCCAGCAAACGGTACGAAGGCAAGTTTGTGTACAGCATCGCCTCGGAGCAGGACGAAATCGTCGGTTATTGGGCCTGTGGAACCAAAACTTCCATGATCCCCGGGTCGAAGGAAGTCAGCGTGAGTTTTCAGAAGGGAGAATGAAGGGGACCGCATTTGGAATGGCTAAAAGCTTCGAATGTAGTCTTTCTTCAAGGCTCCATGACGCCAAGTCGTTTCTGGTCGGGTGCAATTGACCAGGAGATCCCTAGCGCTCGACCCTCATAGCTTAGTCAGCAGCGAGAGATAATGAGAATCAAAGAGGGTGTTAGAGAATCTAAGCTAGTTCTGCAGTACGACGAAGTCAAGGTGAAAAAATGGACCTTTAAATTTTTTGGTCGCATTTGGAATGGCTTGAAACTTTTCAAGTTGAGCCTTACTTTGATGATTCATGACGCCAAGTCGTTTCTGGTCGGGTGCAATGAAAAAATGACCCGTACACTTCTAGATGTTTTTTACCCCTGCGCCCGACCCTCATAGCTTAGTCAGCAGCGAGAGATAATGAGAACCAGAGAGGGTGTTAGAGAAATTCAGATGAATGCTCTGCAGTACGGCGACGTCAAAGCGAACAAATATAACTTGAAACCTTTTGGTCGCATTTGGAATGGCTAAACACTTTTCGAGAGGCTTCACGACGCCAAGTCGTTTCTGGTCGGGTGCGATTGACCAGGAGATTTTTAGATGAACGCCCGACCTTCACAGCTTAGTTGGCAGCGAGAGATAATGAGAATCAGAGAGAGTATTAGAGAATCTAAGCTAGTTCTGCAGTACGGCGAAGTCAAGGTGAAAAAATGGACCTTTAAATTTTTTGGTCGCATTTGGAATGGCTGAAAACTTTTCGAGATGCTTCTTGACGCCAAGCCGTTTCTGGTCGGGTGCAACTGATCAAGTGATTCCTAGATGATTATTTATACCCCTGGGCCCGACCCTCACAACTTTTTAGGCAGCGAGAGATAATGAGAACCTGAGAGGGTGTTAGAGAGTTAGACTCCTGCTCCGCCGCACAAAGCCATTCCCCGTGCGGCTAAGTCGAACAAATATGACTAAATAAAAGTTTTGCAATGGATCGAAGCGTTGTGGTCGCGTTGATTCAGATTCCAAAGTTAACATTTGGCGTAAGTCGTTTTGAGTCGGTTGCAAGTTATATTGAGCCGGCCATGCGACCGTTTTTTTTTTCACCTTGAACTGCAGCGCGGTACAGCCATTCCAAATGCGGCCAAATTCAAGAAAATTTGACTGATTCCGTAATTTTAAAAAATATTTCGCTGGAAGCCCACTTTTTTCTAGATCCAATGGAAAAACCACGAGCAAACGGAATTCGACACGGCCGATGTCCAACTTCGCTTACTCCGTCAGTTTCGAATAAAAAATTACAAAATAATGCTTTATTTTCAGGTCAATCTGCGTAGAAAATGAGAAACTAGTCACTTTTTTTGTTATTTTGTTTGTAAATGCCATGTAAATAAATTATTTATTCTCGCTGTGAAAAAGTGTGTCAATAATTATGACGCAAGGGGCATTCCTTGAAAGATATTGATTTTTTCGCATGGAAAAATCGATATTTTCTTTCTTTTTCATTGATTTAAAGAACCAGGTGTGTAATTCAATAAAAACAAGCCAATTTTCGGAAAAGAAACGTGAAAAAAAGTCCTCATTTCATAAGAAAGATGGCGGCCAAGTACCTGTTCTACATACTGGCTCTGTTGGTTCACCTACTCCGTGCCGACGATACGACTCTTCGAAGTGAAAATATACCCGAAACGTCCGCACTTTACAAACTTCAGCGTGCATCGGCGGGCCGGTCCAGAACTTGGACATTGGTTGCCAGAAAATCACCTTGGAACCTCTTATAATTCAGAAATTGAACGGGAACAGTGAGGATTTTTTTTTGCACGTTCTCGGCGCGAATTCGAATTTTTGAATTTTTCGCTTTGGAATTATTGAGGATCGTCAGAGTGGTCCTTATAGGGAAGTCCTTTCCTAACCCCTCTAGGGATCACTCTGGTGTCCCTTAGTAGGGGTCAGACTCTTAACCCCTAGAGGAACCACCTTGATTTTACCCCTATAAGGAGCCCTCTTCTGTCCACTATAGGGGCTTCTTCTCCTAAACCCTCTAGGGACCACTTTACCTCTCCGTAGTACTGGGCGCACTTTTTCGTCCCTATAGGGGCTTCTTTTCCTAAACCCTATAGGGACCACTTTGGCGCTCCTTAGTAGGGGTCAGACCCTAAAACCATATAGTAAGCACCTGTATTTAAGCCCTCTAGAGAGCCCTTTTCTGTCCACTATAGGGGCTTCTTTTCCTGACCCCTATAGGGACCACTCTGGCGTTCCTAATTAGGGGTCGGAGCCCAAAAACTTATAGAAAGCAACTAAATTGAAGCCCTCTAGGGAGCCCTTTTCTGTCCCCTGTAGGGCCTTTTTCCCCTAACCCCTCTAGGGACCACTTTGGCGCTCCTGAGATCAAATAATTCGGAGCGAACTTTTAGATTTTTCCTTGAACAAATGAAACCATTTTCCTCAAAAAGAACTTGAATTGGCGCCAAAAACGCGACGCGACCGCTCCGCTTGCCAATTCCAGAAAGAAAAATGGATTATAGAAAATTGAAAGTTCAGAAATAGCCGTTCTAAACAGCGGAAAATTGGAGACGATCATCGAAATTCGTGCCGGATTGGTCGTTTCCGAGAACGATTTGCCCGGCTTCCTGGAAATCCTACCCAATTTGAAAGTTCTCAATAATGATGGAGGTTTGGAATGGCTCGAAGCGCAAGTCGTTTCTGGTCGGGCGCAAGTGCCAAAGGGGTGTTTCAGCTTTGAATATGGCTCATTTTGGATCAGTTTTTTACGCTGATTCTGAATCTGTATTCAAAATTGGCTAGGAAGGTCTGAGAGAAAAGTTATGACCTATTAAAACGCCTCAAACCATTCCCCATGCGACCATTTTCAACTCTATTCAGGTCCGGCACTCACCTTTTTCAAGAATAAAAACTTGAAGTCGTTCAAAATCGGCAAGGGCACCAAATCCGGCATTTCTGGGGTTTGAACCGTTTTTTTTTTTTTGAAATTTTAAAAAGTATGATTCTGAATGTCTTACCTACACTGACAAAATCAGCATTTTTCAACCGATTAAAAAAAATTTTCAGGAAAGCGTCGTTTTCAAGGACGAGCCGTTCTTCTCGGACGCCTATGAAAGTGCCGAATCGTCAGTTTTTTATCTTCCTTTTCTTTTTCCGAAAAATATGTTTTGGTTGAATTCTAGTGACTTTTCTGCAAGTGGCAATTCAAGGGATTTGAAAAAAAAAAACAATTTTTTTCCTGAATAACCCTGAGAAATTTGGCAAAAAGTCATGTGGCTCAGTGGCGTTTCAGTCGAACTGCCATTTTCAATACCAAGGTTCGGATCCTCTCAGCGCCAACTTTTTTTTGCCTTTTTGTCATGGGAAGATTTTAAGGTTCACAGCCGAAGTTAGTCCAAAAATGGCCCAAGTTTTTATCAAAGATCTTATTTTTTGCCTATGGAAGGGCCAAGTCGTCAGTTTTTTCCCTTCTCTGTTAATCAAAGTTCAAAAATCCTATAAAAGCATCAGTGTTCCCTCTAGTAACTTCTCCGCAAGTGGTCACTCAAGGGATTTAAAAAAAGCAATTCTCCCATGAAAAACCCTGAAAAATTTGGCAAAAAGTCATGTAGCTCAGTGGCGTTTTAGTCGAACTGCCATTTTCGATACAAAGGTTCGGATCCTCTCAGCGCCAACTTTTTTTTGCCTTTTTGTCATGGGAAGATTTTAAGGTTCACAGCCGAAGTTGGTCCAAAAATGGCCCAAGTTTTTGTCAAAGATCTTATTTTTTGCCTATAGAAGTGCCGAATCGTCAATTTTTTTCTTCTCTGTTTCTCAAAATTCAGAAATATTATAGAAGCATCAGTGTTCCCTATAGTGACTTTTCTGCAAATGGCCATTCAAGGGATTTGAAAAAAACAATTTTTTCCTGAAAAACCCTGAGAAATTTGGCAAAAAGTCATGTAGCTCAGTGGCGTTTTAGTCGAATTGCCATTTTCAAGACCAAGGTTCGGATCCTCTCAGCGCGAACTTTTTTTGCCATTTTTTCTTTGTGGCCATTCAAGGGATTTTGAAAAACATGTTTTTGTTGAAATCTAGTGACTTTTCTCTGATTGGCCTTTCGAAAGATTTAAAAAAAAAACAATTTTTCTGTGAAAAACCCTGAAAAATTTGGCAAAAAGTCATGTAGCTCAGTGGCTTTCCGGTCAAACTGCCATTTTCAATACCAAGGTTCGGATCCTCTCAACGCAAAATTTTTTTGCCTTTTTTTCTGTGGATCGGTTCACAGTCGAAGTTGACTCAAAAATGGTCAAAAAATTTTTTCACATTGTAGTCATGTACAGAGACGACTTAAAGTAGAACTCTAAAGGGATCACTTGAAATTATCGATTTTTCAGGTACAAAGCCCTACTTGACTTGGCGACCGAATTTAAAACATCAAATTGCTACGCGCCATTTGTTGGAAAAATCACTCCGGCGGAAGTTGAAGGTTTGGTTTGGTCGAAAAGGCCGCATGGGGAATAGCTCGGCCCGACCGGAACGACTTGCGCCCTGTCTGAGCCATTCTACGTGCGACCAATGCTTTTTTTAATGAGGGAAAATTGAAGGAATGAGCACTTTCGAAATCGTGTACATTGTTGTGGTCGCTGTCTTCAGTCTTATCTTGATTGGCGTCCTTTTTGCCATCATCAAGTGTGACTACCATGCACTGGGGAAGCTGGGAAAGGAGAAACCGAGAGGTGATTTTTTTCAAAAAAAAATTGTTCATTTATAATAGTTTTAAAGTTAGTTTAAAGGCGCAGACCCTCAAAATAACATTTTTTGGAGTTTTCGAAGTTTTTCGAAGTACTTTAGGGGCCGCTGGGAAAGGAGAAACCGAGAGGTGGTTTTTAAAAAAAATAGTTCATTCATAATAGTTTTAAAGTTAGTTTAAAGGCGCAGACCCGGAAAAAAATCAATATTTCTCGAAGTTTCAAAAATTTTCCAAGCACTTTAGTGGCCACTAGAAGAGGAAAGAACCAGAGGTGACATTTTTGAGAAAATAGTTCATTCATAACAGCTTGGAGGGCAGTTTAAAGGCGCAGACCCTGAAAAATTACTTTTTCTTGAATTTAGAAATTTTTTCAAGTACTTTAGGGACTACTGGGAAAGGAGAAAACCCGAGGTGACAGTTTTGAAAAAAAATATTTCATTCATATTAGCTCGGAAGGTAGTTTAAAGGCACAGAACCTGAATAATCAATATTTCTCGAGTTTTCGAAATTTTTCCAAGTACTTTAGGGGCCGCTGGGAAAGGAGAAAACCAGAGGTGACTTTTTAAAAAATGGTTCATTCATAACAGCTTGGAGGGTAGTTTAAAGGCGCAGACCCTGAAAAATCAACATTTCTCTATTTTCCGAAATTTTTCAAGTACTTCAGGGACCACTAGGAGAAGAGAAAAACTAGAGGTAGAAATTCATAGTTCATTTATAACAGATTGCAGGGTAGTTTAAAGGCGCAGACCCGGAAAAACTACTCTTCCTCGAATTTTCGAAATTTTTCCAAGTACTTTATGATCCGTTGAGGTATTTTTAGAAAAGCCAAAAATGTACAGAAATCCTTGCTTTTTCTGAAAATAATTGCTTAAAAGTAGTCCTTCAAGAGTTTTAAAGGCGCAGGGCGTGGCTTTGATCTTTTCGCTTCCAGAACTTTTTTTCAATTTTTATCTGCTCCTTTAAAAAATTCCCAAAAAAATATTTTTTTTTATTTTTTTATTTTTGCCTGTACAACCCTTCCATTGAAAAACATAAATAATTTATTTCATAATTTTTTTAAATTCTCAGAACATCGCCCGAGAGAATACACGACAAAATCGCCGATGAATTTCGCAATGGAGCCGCACAAAAGATCGCATTACAACAGCAAGAAAGAATATTGAAACTTGATAAATATTGGTTGAAGTGGCTGGGTTTTTGTTGATTTCTTGAAAGAAAGGGAGAACTATATGATGATTTTTTGATTTTTTGAAGCTCCTGGATGAGAGCAATTCTGAGAAGAGGCTTGGAAATTGATGAAATTGATGGCCGCACTTGGAATGGCTTGGAATGGCTTGGACGGAAACGCGACCGCGACGCCTTGAGCCATTCCTAATGCGGCCAAGGTGCTTCAAAATCGGGTCAAACATCAAGAAAAGCCAGAGTGGTCCCTTAAGGGGTGAGGGAAAAAACAGCCCCTGAAAGAAAATAAAGTTGAAGTGGCCACTATAGGGGTCTAGCGTCTCTGATTTATTGAACTTTCCGCATGTTTTCATAAAGTATAGTCAACTAACATGTCCCCTATAGGGGCCACTTTGCAATCTCAAGTGGCTTCTTTAGGGGAAGGTAAAGTGGTCCCTAGAGTGGAACCATTAAGACCCCTATAGGGACCACTCTGATTTTCTTAAGTATCATTTTTAACTCTCCTCTAATTTCCCATGGGTCAAGGATCCTCCTAACTCATTTTTTAAACATTTCCCAGAATTTTGAAGTCTTTCTACTCTTATCCGACCCCCACCCACTCCATACGTGATTAGTTGGACGTCTAGTGCAAAAGAGCAAAAAGGACCTCTTCAAGGGAATTGAATATTCTGGCGATGGCGTGCCTTGAAGTAGTTTAGCTATACCTGTGGCCAATATATTCTCTCATCCTTGCCCCAATTTTCGCGACTTTTACCAGTTTCCAACCATTTTTTTCTTGGTTCAAGCTCATATAATGGTACGAGAGAGTGTGGGAGTTGAAAAGACGCGTTTCTCTCTTTCTCTGGTGTCTCTTCAGCTTCTCCGCTATTTATTTTCTGAACTTTAGATGAAATTTTTCTGCAGGCGAGAGAGCATAGTAACTGAAGAGACGCTGTTTTCTCTTTCTCTGGCGTCTCCTCCGCTTGAACGCTCTCTCACTAGGAGTGTTTTCCCTGCTGAATTTTAGGACTTCTCTTGTTCTCTGGCGCCTCTTCAGCTCCCACGCTCTCTCGCAGATCTTTGTAATGTTTCCAAAAATATTCTGAACCTGAGAAGAGATTTTTCTGCAGGCGAGAGAGCGTGGTAACTGAAGAGACGCTGTTTCTTTTTCTCTGGCGTCTCTTCGGTTTTCATGCTCTCTCATGATTTCTCAGGCGCAATTCTCTCTTTCTCTGCCGTCTCTCGAGCTTCAACGCTCTTGAAGTATTCCAAAAATTTTCAAAATTGACGAAGAGATTTTTCGCAGGCGAGAGAGCGTGGTAACTGGAGAGACGCTGTTTTCTCTCTTTCTCTAGCGTCTCTTCTGATTTCATGCTTTCTCTTCATAGGGAAATTTTCTGTTCGGATAATAGTTCAGATATTTTCATTCCAATTTGTCTGTAACCTTTCTATTAAAGAAGTGAGACGAGAAAGAGAGCGTTAGAACTGAAGAGACGCAGATTTCTCTAGTTCTCTGGAGTCTCTTCAGCTCCAACCCCCTCTCGCAGAGCTTTTTAATAATTCCAAAAATTTTCAGAACCGGCGAAAAGATTTTTCTGCTGGCGAGAGAGCGTGGTAACTGAAGAGACGCTGTTTTCTCTCTTTCTCTAGCGTCTCTTCGGTTTGCATGATCTCTCCCTAGAGTTATTTACTGCTGAACATCTCCAAAATTCATAATTTTGATACGAGCAGGAGAGTGTTGAAACTGAAGAGACGCAGATTTCTCTAGCTATCTGGAGTTTCTTCAGCTCCCACGCGCTCTCGCTCTCTCGCAGAACTTTGTCACAATTCCAAAAGTTTTCTGAACCTGAGAAGTGGATTTTCAGCAGGCGAGAGAGCATGGTGACTGGAGAGACGCTTTTTTCTCTCTTTCTCTAGCGTCTCTTCTGTTTGCATGATCTCTCCCTAGAGGTATTTACTGCTGAACATCTCCAAAATTTTCTGGAACCTTTTTCTGACTATTAGTGAGTTGAGACGAGCAAGAGAGTGTTGCAACTGAAGAGACGCAGATTTCTCTAGCTCCCTGGCCCCTCTTCAGCTTTCACGCTCTCTCACTAGGGCTATTTTCTCTGCTAAATTTTAACTTTTCTTCAATTTTTCTGAAACCTTAAAGGGTTGAGGCGAACAAGAGAGTTTTGAAACCGAAGAGACGCAGATTTCTCTTGTTCTCTGGCGTCTCTTCAGCTCCCACGCTCTCTCGCAAAATTTCGAAACTTTTTTTCCTTCAAAATTTCAGCTTTGGAAAAAACCAAGAAAAAACTCCCACATGGCCTTCTTAACACGTATAAAGACCAAAAACACTTGGATCCCTGGAATCGATGATCCAATTTCCTGTTTTACTCCGTCATTTCCGCCACCAAATCTCTTCCGATTTTACTTTTTATACATCTGAGAGTTTTTTCCTACACCTCCTCCTCTATATATTTGATCTGAAAATGCCGAAAAAGTACGAGAGCTTTGACCACGACCACGAGCTTCATCCCGTATGATTTTTGAAACATTATTTTTTTGTCATTTTTTTGTGATAAAGTTCAGTTTTCAGATATTAAAAAAATCAGCGATAAAGATCAAGTTGCAAGGGAAGTTGTTGAAAATTCGATCAAGGATGCTACAGGTGATTTTTTTCGGCTTGATTTCATGTAAACCTAATATTTTGGATGCGTCATAAATATTGAAACGCTCTTCTTTTTGTCATTATTTCGCGTGAAAAAGATGATTTTTTTCCAAGATAAATGATGATTCAAATATCATCCCTAATTTTAGGTAAAATGTAAGAGTTTCAAAAACATTCAGACACCATTTTTTTCTCCAAAAAAATAACTTAATACTGCGTCATAATTTTGGCCTCGTTTTTTTGTCTATGTTGCGTCATAACTATTGAAACGCCCTTCGTTTTGCAATTATTTTGCGTGAAAAAAATGATTTCTTTTTTTCGCGAGTTAAACTAATTTTGAAAAATATTACTAAAAATGAATTAAATCCAAAGTTTCTGAGAATTTATACTTTATTTTTTTACTGAACAAAAAAATCAGTAGTGCGTCATAATTACGGCCTCATTTTTTTGTCTAAATTGCGTCATAATTATTGAAACGCCCTTCGTTTTGTCATAACTTTGAAAGAAACGGTGAAGTTTTTTTATCTAGATTAAAAACTAATTTTGAAAAATATCATTAAAAATGAATTAAATCCAAAGTTTCTGAGAATTTATACTTTATTTTTTTACTGAAAAAAATCAGTAGTGCGTCATAATTACGGCCTCTTTTTGTCTAAATTGCGTCATAATTATTGAAACGCCCTTCGTTTTGCCATTATTTTGTGTGGAACAATGATTTTTTTTCGTAATCTTATTTCAAAATTCTCACTGAAATGGGTAAGACCCAAGATTTCTGAAAAAAATTATACTCTATATTTTTTTCCTGGAAAAACAATTTAATAGTGCGTCATAATTATGGCTTCATTTTTTGTCTAAACTACGTCATAATTATTGTCACAGCTTCATTTTCTTTTATACTGCGTCATAATTAATGAAATGGCCTCATTTTTGTCATTAATAAGCGGAAAAAAGGCGTTTCAGGTTTTTTTTAAAACTGCGTCATAATTATTGTAACAGCCTTATTTTCCTTCATACTGTGTCATAGTTATTGGAACGGCCTCATTTTTTTGATTTTTGCGGATAACAATGACTCTTTGGAGATGGAACAAGCTTTCCTAGAATTTTTTCAAGCTGTGAATAATAATTTTCAGGAAATTACTCATCTCTGATCGCAATGAGTGCGGACGAAGCTATCGAAATTGATTTCAGCAACGCCACCGACGACCTTTGTTATGTTGATAAGGTGAAAAAGCCTTTTCAGTATCGATCGAGCCATTCTCAACGCGGCCAAAGGCCTTTTTGAGCTTAAAAAAAGCAGAAAACTCCAATTTTGTGAATTTTGAGATCCCCGACAACATTCTTCCACCAGAACTGGTCCCCGGAAATAATTCCCCAATCGAAGAAATTATCGTGCCGGAAGTTCAGAAGGTTCTCCTCACCTGGAGAACGATTTATTTATTTTTTACAGGTAAAACTGTCCCAAGAAAAGGATCACAAAAGGGAAGATTCGAGGAAACGCAACGGTCATCATAGCAGCAAGAGCCATGAGAAAAATTCGGACGGTGGAAAGTCGAAAAAAGTGAGTTTTTGGCCGCACGCGGAAGTAGTATCAGGTCGGGCGCAATCGCCTCGCAGTCATTAACTTATGCCAACCCAACTTCACTTAAATCTCCAAAACTAAAAAAAAATTTTAAAAGCGAGAGCAACGGAGGTCTGAAGAGACGCCAGAGAAGCTAGATATCTTTCTTTCTCCGGCGTCTCTTCAGTAAGCCTTGATCTCTCGCTTCCGGTCATTTGCCCAAAGAGAAGAGATTAAAGACTGTCTGAAGAGACGCCAGAAAAGCCTGATATCTTTCTTTCTCTGGCGTCTCTTCAGGAAGCCTTGATCTCTCGTGTCTGGTCATTTTCCTGGTTTTTCAAAAACGAGATATCTGTCTGAAGAGACGCCAGAGAAGCTAGATATCTATTTTTCTCTGGCCTCTCTTCAGGCTTTTTGGTCTCTAACTCTATATCATTTTTTTAGAGACATGAGATCAAAGGCGGTCTGAAGAGACGCCAGAGAAGCTAGATATATTTCTTTCTCTCACGTCTCTTCAGAAAGTCTTGACCTCTCGCTTCCGGTCATTTGCCCAAAGAAAAGAGATCAACCGGGTTCTGAAGAGACGCCAGAGAAGCTAGACATCTCTCTTTCTCTGGCGTCTCTTCAGAAAGTCTTGATCTCTCGCTTCCGGTCATTCTCCTGGTTTTTCAAAAACGAGATATCTGTCTGAAGAGACGCCAGAGAAGCTAGATATCTATTTTTCTCTGGCCTCTCTTCAGGCTTTTTGGTCTCTAACTCTCTATCATTTTTTTAGAGAAATGAGATCAAAGGCGGTCTGAAGAGACGCCAGAGAAGCTAGATATATTTCTTTCTCTCACGTCTCTTCAGAAAGTCTTGACCTCTCGCTTCCGGTCATTTGCCCAAAGAAAAGAGATCAACCGGGTTCTGAAGAGACGCCAGAGAAGCTAGACATCTCTCTTTCTCTGGCGTCTCTTCAGAAAGTCTTGATCTCTCGTTTCTGGTATCTAAAAGTCGCGGTCCTTATTGATTTCTGATCACAATTTAGTGAGCTTTTGGTCAAAGGGATATCCTTTCAGAACAACTCCTCAATGTCCAAAAAAGACGACAAGAACCAGTGCAAGTGCGAGGAGATCCGCAGCGACAGCAAGCTCAAGACCAAAGTTTGCGTGATTATGTAGATTGGAATAAATATCATACATTTAAAGTTCAAAAGTTCAAATCATTTTGCATAGAGCGTAGATTCCGGGATGACAATGTCGTTGGATCCGCCAATGGAGGTCAGAGGTCTCAGGAGGACATCAGATTCTTCGAAAGTGCGCTGAAAAAAATTATCTTGGCTCATAGTCCATTCACCACGACTTGAAACTGTCTGACGTGTCTGCGCCCTTTTTTCCTTCACCAGAGGGATTCATAGTTCATTCACCACGACTTGAGACAGTCTGACCTGTCTGCGCCCTCTTTTCCCTCACCTACGAGGTCAATTTGATCGCGATAGCCTCGCTGAGAGAGAAGAGAGCGCAGAGAAGTCATATTTTTTATAAGATATGATGAATGCGGTATAGTTAAGAGGACTACATGGAAAAATCTCATAAATGGCTCAAAAAATTTGGAGTGAAACCAAGTTTTAAGCTCCGTTACGTCCTCAAAAGCTGCGCCCGACCTCAAGCGACTTTTGACATCCACTATAGTTCGTTAGATCTTTTAGCTTGCCAGTACAGAGAAAAAAAAATACCCGGCCGGGTCCATTTTCCTTGAAGGCGACGAGACTACTCAGTGGCGGGAACATGGCCGTTGCGGCTTCTCGTTGATTCTGAAAATATCGATTTTATTGATTCAACAGTGTGAAAGCTGAGAAAAGGAAGAAAAATCGGTAAAACATCGCTTGAAACCGTCTGACCGTCTGCGCTCTCTTCTCCCTCACCGGCGAGGCGGATAAATTGAGAGATAGCGCGTAAAGAAGAGAGCGCAGAGAAGTAAGAAGTCAATAATTCATTACTTGAAACCGTCTGATTGTCTGCCCTCTCTTCTCTCTCACAGGTTAGGTCGGAGAAACAGAGAGACAACGCGTGAAGAAGAGAGCGCAGAGAAGTAAAAAAAAAAGTCAATATTCTATCACTTTCTCAAGCGTGACAAGAAATGTACAGGAAAATGGTCTTGAAGCAATTTTGAAAAAAAAAAAATGAGCCTTGTAGGCTGAAATTGAACCTCAGCCTTTAAAGCTGAAATTTCAAACCCCCCCCTCCCAAATTTTTGAGGTTTCTTTTTTTTTGCTCTCAACCTCAAGACTCCCACTGATCATGTAGTTTGACCCCTCCACGACCGAAGATATGATTCTTGTGGCGAGCGAATCGGTCACGATCAACACTGAAAAATCGATAAATTTCTAATAAATAAAAAAATCAGAGACCGAGCTTTTCCGTGTTGGTGACTTCGAAAAAAGCCCGTCGGATATTCGAAACCACCTGCGTTGCGGAAAGAGGAGCGTTCTGGAAAATCAAATTTCTTTTCAAACAGTTTTTAAAATCTTACGATTTTCCGAAGTGGTTCATAGGTTGGATCCAGTTGATATCCAAGTTCAGAAAGAGAATTTTTGTCGAAGAAGACGTGAGACGAGCCATGAAGAGTGGAGAGTTCCGGCTCGACGCGCAATTTTCCGCAACGGCTTCTGAAACATTTTTCTCTGACTTCTCTGCGCTCTCTTTTCCCTCCAGGCATAAAAATAGCAAGAGAGCAAGAGGGTCCAGAGAAGTCAGGCAGTTTCAAGCTCGGAATGATCGAGGAAATGGTCCTGACACGATTCCTACAGTAACCTAGGCCTCTTTAGAATCAACATGAAACTTTTTTTTTTCTCTGACTTCTCTGCGCTCTCTTTTCCCTCCAGGCATAAAAAAAGCGAGTAAGCAAGAGAGCAAGAGGGCCCAGAGAAGTCAGACAGTTTCAAGCTCGGAATGATCAAGAAAATGGTCCTGACACGATTCCTACAGTAACCTAGGCCTTCTTACCCCAAGAACTTCTGGATAGCCGAGGCCGTTTCCAGAGAAGCCAGGTCTGGAGCACAGTAAACGTAGTTTGGTGTCGCGCCTCGTTCCCGCAACTCTCGCGCAATCAACTGAGCTGTTATCTTGCCCATCTGCAAAAGAAGTTATCAAGACTTGGAAAAAAGGTCGCATTTGGAATGGCTCGCGGTTACAAATTGGCTGAAAGTTTCGCTGTGAGCTGCTTTCGGAAGTTGAAGCCTTATAACTGCACCCGACCAGAAGCGATTTCAGTCTCATGCTAAAAAATTCCACTTTGCGCAAGTAGCTTCTGGTCGGGTGCGCTAAAAACAACCGCATTGTGACGCGTCAAGTCATTCTTTGCAATTGTAAAACTCTCATTTCTCTGCGCCCTCTTTTCTCTCGACGACGCTCTCCTCTTAACATGCTCTTTTCATCGTTCTCTGACATTCCCGTCGAGAGAAAAGAGAGCTCAGACAAGCTAGACAAAAAAAACTTCGGATAACGGCGGATCCGCCTGATAGGACTTGACCATATTGGGGCGACGTGGAATTTGAACCGGCACATTCTTGAAAATTATTTTTGAGAATTCAGAAAATTCATGTTTCAAAACCAAGTCAAAAGGAAAGTAAAAGTTGTCGTCCATTTTGGAGAGCTGAACCCAGTCGCCGAAAACCTCGGCGATCGTCTCGCTGTGACGGACCACCACAACTTCGTCGCCGAAAAAACGCGCCGGAGGGCCCAGGGGCTAGAAAAATGTCATTTTATTCGATTTTTCTAGAATCTAATTCGATGAAAATGAACCTTATAATGGCCGAAAGCCGCCGAGTCCATGAGACGTGTCGATTTTGAAGTAATTTCCGACATTCCTGAACTTTTCTTCTTTTTTTCGAATAAAACTATAATTTTCCTTGAAAGTAATCTTTTAAATAACACATATGAACCATATCTGGAAAAAGAAATAATTAAGAAGCGAGAAAAAAATAAAATAAAAAAAGAGCCGTTTTCAGCATTTTTCAGGTTATCCATGACTTTCCAGCCTTGAAAATAAATAATTAACGTTGTTTCATATTTCGTTATACTATATTATGATTCGTCCTTGATTTTATGGAAAAATTTCAGATTTTCAAAGTATTCTTACCAGAAAAAGAATTCCGAAGAAGTAGATCAGAAGAAATGGCTCTTTTCACGTTACTCTGTAAATTCCTCACTTAATTTTTTTAAAAAAATCAAGTTCTGCATTTCAAAAACAACTTTTTATTTCATTCCCTCGAATCTTCACGCATGGTTTCGAACTTCCAATTTTGATATTTTCAATAAAAAAACTATTTTTTTCAAAAATTTTTGATATACTGTAGCGTGAATGTACCCAACATGCCGTAGACACCTTACGCCTGTTTTTTTGGAAATTTTTTTACGAATATTTTTCAAATTTTTTTTTTTATTCAAACATTTTAAATATTGTATTGTCTCTTAAGTGGCCCTTATAGAATTGCCTAAAAAGTAGAAGTCTTGAACTGTCATAAATAGCGTTAAAAACGGCTTTAGGTCCCGATTTTCAACGAAAACTTTTTCTTTGATAAACTCAAAATTTTCGATTGTATGAGAACATTTTCAGGCTGAAATGGCCTCAACGGATACAGGAACATCAGGCGCCTACTGGAACAGAATCAACTATAAAAAACTGTTGATTGCTGGAGGCTGTGCAACGGCGGCAGTTTTGGCAGCAGGTAATTTTTGAAAGCGATCATTTTTAATGACTTTTGAGGGATTAAAGGTTTATTTTCACGAGAAAAATTGTTTTTGATGAACCAGAACTATTTATATAGTGAAAAAGGCGCCTCAATTGAAACGAAAACCCATCAAAAACTAGGAAAAAGGAGATTACAAGGTTTTGAGTCGTTTTCCCTCGAAAACCTATTTTTTTAAGAAGTTTAACACTTTCAGGAAATTTCACTGGCACATCAAATATATTCTAACACAAAAAAAACCTAATTTAATTATTTTTCAGGCCTTCTCGTGTCAACCGTAACGGTCTCTGGGCTACTAACCGTGGCTCGGGCCGTAATTCGTGGACCTTCTTCCACGGCATTGAGAATTCTGACTTCTGTGGCCACGACGGCTTCAGGATTGTACGCCTACAAGAGAATCAAGAGGAAAAGGTGGGTTTTGCGAGATAAATTCACAAATTCTTCTTTTTTTCGGTTTGAATAGCGATTTTTTTGATCAAAAAAAGGTTGATTATTCGCTTTTTTTAATTTACAAATTGAGCTCAAAAATAATTGCGATTTCTTCATTTTTTTGAAAAAGTGTTTAACCGGTATTTTTGAGGTACAACTTCATGTAGAAAAAAATTGCGAATTAGTTTTTTTAATGAGAAATTTTTTTAAAAAAATTTCAATTTTTTTGATTTTTTTAAAGCAAACTGGCGAATTTTGATTTGAGAGTAGTCCCTATAGGGGTTAAAAGCGATAAAAAACGCTATAAAAATCAAGGTGGTCCCTACAGGAGTTTAGGGTCTGACCCTTAGCCCCGAAAGCTCAAGTGGGCCCTAAAGGGTCTTTAAATTTCAAAAAACGCTTGTTTATTCACTTTTTTGCATAGAGTATGTAAAAATTATCGACTAGCATGTCCCCTATAGGGATCACTTTTTGCAAGCTTTAGTGGACCCTATAGGGGCTGGTAAAAGTGGTGTCTAAGGTTGCCCCTATAGGGACCACTCTGGAGTTCCTACGAGTGTTTTGAGGTACAAATCTAGGTTCAAAAAATTGGCAATTCGTTTTTCTTGAAGCTTTTTTCCATAAATAATTTTATTTTCTTTCCTTTTATTGTACCCTTTTCAGATATCAACATTATGCTGTTCCTCGCGTGCCTAGAAATACTCATTTCAAGGCGACTTCCCGGAAGATTTCCTCGAATCGAGCTCTCAGAAGACGTCAGCCAAGGGATCACGATTCTGAATCGGATTAATCATTTGTATATTTTTTGTTGTAAAAAGGGAAATTTCGTGTATTTTACGGGTATAACTGTGTAAAAACGAATTGTACAGAAAATGAATGTTCTTTTTTTAAATTTTTTTATCGAATTTTCAATAAAAAAATATTATTTTTTTCTTTTTACGCATCAATTTTTTTCTTTGAACAGGCTTCATTTTAAAGTCCGATTTGAACAAAAAAAGAGAAAAAAACTTCGATAAAAAGCTAATTTAAGACGATTCAAATTTTAAAGGAGCAGAGGCCGTTGGAAATGTGAGGTCTTGAAGCATTATTAAAGGCGCAGATGTCTTTAATTTCTTCACCTTATTTCAAGACCGTCACAAAATCAGCAGAATAACTAATTCAGAAAGATCTTTTGAACCGACTCTGGAAGCCTCAATTTTAAAGGCGCATACAATCGTTTGAAAAAATTTTAAGTCGTTATTTAAGGCGCACGGCATCAAAAATCAGAGTAAAAACTTTTGAACCGACTTTGAAAGCCATCAAATTTAAAGGCGCATGGAATCGTTATTAAATTATATTTTAGGCCGTTATTAAAGGCGCAGAAGCCTTGACTGCCTGAAAAAACGAAGAAATCAACAGCCCTATCAAATAATTCTATACGCCTTCAAAAATCAGAGTAAAAAGTTTTGAATCGACTTTAAAAGCCTCACATATTAAAGGCGTATACACTCGTTAAGAAATTATTTCCAAGCTTGAATAATAAATTTTGAAGCGTTATTAAAGGCGCAGATGTCTATAATCACCTGGACTAACGAAGAAAATGAAAAGCTTTATTAAATCATTCTATATCCCTTCAGAAAAAATACTCGACCTTCAAAATTAAAAGGCGCATGAAGCGAATCAGCTTATTTTCAAGCCAAATCACAATTTAGACATCAAAGACCTTAGTTTCAATAAATACATACTTTATTAAACCCGGGGGAAAACTCGGAACACAGGGCAATATATTACACCGTATCTCTAACACAATCTATAACAATTAAAGCAACGATAATTAACAATCAATTATATAAATTATCCCTTGATAACAGCAATCGGACGCAATTTGATGGCTTTTTTGCTGATTCCAGCCGCGTCACAGGTATCCACGACGTCGGTCACGTTTTTATACGATTCCGGGGCCTGAAAAAATCGATTATTTCTCCAAAATCAATGACTTTGATCAACCTCTTCCATGATGAGTTTGGGGGAAGCGATACGAATCGAGATATTCTTCTTGCCGAGGTCTTCAATCACCGCGTCCCACGGAATGCTGCGACGCGATTTCGCGCGCGACAACGCTCTTCCCTGGAAGTGATCAAAATTTGCAAAAAATGCGTTGAACTGATATAATTATATTGGTCACTTAAGGTGTTACTTAAAGGCATAGGGGCAGTAAAAAATGGGGTTTCAGGTGAAAGCAGTATCTTATATAGTTTTTCTTTGCGAATCGAATGGTGTACTCAAAAAAATTACAGATGTGACAACTTTAGAAGAAAAACGCTGTTTTACTTTCCCGCCTTTAATTTTGAAAAAAGCTTTGGATCGGCGCTCAGACAACTGTTTACAGTAGCCGTGCACGCGATGTTGCGGAAGTCTCATTAGACTCGCATTTTGTGAGAAATAACCGGATTTCTGCTTCAAATTAAGGGTTTCTTCTCTGAAAAATCGATCAAGAAATCAGAAAACATACAATGATAATAAAGAAAACACAAATAATCGCTATCCCAATCGAAACCTGTGTAAAGTCATCATTTTTCACCAGAAAAGCATTTTTGCGATCAAAGTTGGCAAATTATACATGAATAGAAAGCTTTTGTGACGGAAAGAACTTTGGTGACAACAGAAAAAATTTAAAATTGATAGCAACGAATAAAAAAGCGAAAATGCGAAAAATGGCGAAGCCTGTTGTCCATGGAGCAACTTTACTGCAAAACGCCCTTTTCGCGGGAACTAAAACTTTCCTCTCTCCGACTTTGAATAATTTTTTCTTCAAAACTAGGAACTTCTGTACGTTTTCAAGTTCACCGTTCGATTCGCAATCAAAAGCTCTATGAATAACCGCTTTGAACTGAAACACCGTTTTTTACTGCCCCTATGCCTTTAAAGTCTTTTCAGTAAATCTCCAAGCTTCATTTATAACACTAAAGTGGCCACTATCTTTCAGCCGATTCGCATCACCTCTCATTGACGTGGTCACTGTTTGTTATAAAAATCCGAGGGCTCAGTTTGAATCTTTATAGAGGTCACTTTCATTTTTAAAAATTCAAAAGCTCTATTTAAAGCCCTATAGGGAGCACTCTTACTTTCAAAGATCCAATAGCTCAATTTAAAACCCTATAATGGTCACTGTTAGTTCTAAAGATCCAAGAGCTTATTTTTCATCCCTATAGTGGTCACTCTTATTTTTGAAAATCCTAGAGATCAACTGAAACTCCTAAAATGGTCATTCTTATTTTTGAAGACTCAAGAGCTTCATTTGAATCCCTATAGTGGTCAGAAGCCTCTAAAAAATTATTTTCGAAGGTAGTAAAGCTTCAAAAAATTCTAGGAAGCTGTAAATGAATATAAATCAAAACATACAGCCCCATGACAAGTGGTCCCGAAAGTTTCGACCATTCCTTGGTCGGTTCCAGTCAGAACATAACTGCAAGTGCCCATACTGCCGCCGATGAGTACCGGTTGTCCTGGAAAAATTATTTGATCAGGAGCTTGCCAAAAAATATCCTAGAGCCTACAAAAATTCAACGAAAACACTTCTACCCGAGTTCAAAAAAATTTTTTTAATCTGAAAAGTTGCCCCCCCTTTCAAGGAAACCATTTTACCCCCTCCAAAAATTTTTTTGAGCAGGAACTTGTCAAAAATACCATAGAGCCTAGTGAATTCAACGAGAACGTTTCTGTCCGAATCCTGAAGACTTTAAGTTCAAAAAAATTCCCCCTTTCGAGGAAACCATTTTACACCCCCCTTGAACTTTTTTTGATGAAACTTGGCTGAAGTGTACTTTTAGGACCTCCTGATTGCAGAAAAAAAGAAAAAAATTTCTCGCAATATATCCGGTTTTCGATTTATAAAGCTTCAAAGACAGCAAAATACGCAAATTACAACAAAAAGCCCTATTTCAAAAAAATTTTTAAGCGTCGTATCTCGTAAAGCCGATTCATTGTCAAAAAAATTTTTTTCTTCTTTTGAAATCAGGAAGTACAAAAAGTCACTCTAGCAAAGTTTTCTCAAAAATTTTTAACCGCGGGGGGTAAAAAAAGGTTTCCTAGTTGGAAGGAATGTCGATTTTCGGTCAATATATCTCAATTAATAATTGAAAAAAACCCTTTTTTTCCTACAATGAAAAATCAAAAATTTTTTTAATGATGTATCCGCCAAGTTTCATCAAGGAATCGAAACTCTTTTTGAAAAACCAACCAGTCAACTGATAATCAACGGGAATCAGTGGGTGATGGGCCGGAAAAGCTCTCGTGGCACCTTTCCGATGGACACAAAGCCGTCTGGGACGGCCATTTATCAGATGTTCTTCCATTTTCGCCACGTTGTGCGAAACGTCGTAGATCATCTTAAATCGAAGTTAGGTGAATTCATGAAAGAAGGACCTAAAAACCTTCAGAGAGGTTGCCTGACAAAAAAGTCTTTACTCAAAAGAAAAAAGGCGTTTTCACAACGTTGTCAAGAAAAGAATGATCAAAAAGTTGATAAAATACACCTCCATTCTGGAAAATAGAGAAAAAGACACCTTATTGGTACATTTTCTGGACCAAAATTTCAATTTTCACGGTTTTGAAAAGTTCTTTGAGCTTTATCTCCCATAGAGTTCCAAAAAACGAGCCCATGATTTCATGAAATCTATTAAGCCGCCTTAAAATTGTATAGACAATTCACGGCTAGCTTGGGACGCAAAAAGGCGTGGCCTGTCTGCACTCTCCACTAACCAGGGCACTGCCTCGTCTCTTTTCGTGGCAGGACCCTTTTCTCGATGGCTCAAGCCAGCCGTGAATCAACTATACGATTAGAATGAAACTTCGCCAAGCTTTTTTCAAGACGATTCTGATATCAGTCTACTGAAAAAAAATTGAAAACAGCTAATGAAAAGGTTAACTGACATTTGCGCCCGACGAGAAAATACTTACGCTCCAAAGCCCATTTTAGCTTTAGAGATTCTAATTTTTCGTTAAATGATCAAGCTAACGTAACAACTTTTCAACTCTTCGGACAAAAAACCCCTATAGGGGCCAAAAAAGTGGTCCCTATAGAAGTTTAGGATCTGACCCTTTAGCCTCCAAAGCTCAAGTGGACCCTATAGGGGTCTTTCAATTTCATTCACAAAACGATGATCTATTCAGCTTTTCCCATGGAAATGCTTCTTCGCTTAGAGTTCAAAACAATTATCGACATGTCCCCTACAGGGACCACTTTTGTAAGCTTCATTGGCCACGATAGGGTTCAATAAAGTTGTCCCCAGAGATCCAAGAGTCCTTAAGTGGCCACTCTGGAGTTCCTTAGGAAGCTGAAATTCCCTCGATTTCCCTCAAAAACCTTTTTTCCAAATATTCTACTCGTTCCTCCCTCTCACCTGCATATCCATATCATCGGCCGACATGTCGAAAACCCTCGAAAAGGCCTGCCGAACGCAAAAAGTGATGCAAGATCGGTTGACCCAGGCGAAATTGGCGGCGGCCGCCATCCCCGCCAGGTAATCTTGTCCTTAAAATGCCCATTTTTCGATCATTTCTTCTCCAAAAAACCTTCTTTAGAGCTGATCCTAGCGCAGGCGAGCTGTTTGTCGTTGACGAAAATGTTGTCGCGAGCCATGGCTCGTTCCATTTCAACCAAGGCGTCAGTGGCCACCTGATGGCCCAAACCACGGCTTCCGCAGTGCAGCATCACGACTACTTGGCCTAGAATTACGGAAATCAACGGAAAATATTGTAATTTCGAAGTTAATATCAAAACTGCTGGGCCTAAAAAAACTACAAAAATGACTAAAAATATATTATTTCGAAGCTCTGCTAAGTAAAATGCCAACTACTTGACCTGAAATGATCAAAACATCAAGTTGATTTCAAAGTTTACAGTGTAAAAATCACTACTACTTGGCCTAAAATACTGTAAAATAAGTTCAATTTACGGAGTTCCACAATGAATTATCAGCACTACTTGGCTTTAAATTACCCAAAAACATATTTATTTTGACATTTTTATTGAAATATCAAGACTGGTCGGCCTAAAATAGTCAAAAATGACGGAAAATGTCTTTAAATTAAATTTTCACCGTGCAAAATCAAGACTGCTGGGCCTAAAAAACTACAAAATGACGAAAAATATATTATTTCGAAGCTCTGCTGTGTAAAATGTCAATTACCTGGCCTAAAATGGTCAAAAATCAAGTTAATTTCAAAGTTTACAGTGTAAAACTACAACTACATGGCCTAAACTTACGAAAATGAACGGAAATATATTTATTTGGAAGCTGTCAATGAAATATCACGACTTGTTGGCCTAAAATACTAAAAAATAGGAGAAAACACCTTCAAATTGAAGTTTCACAGTGTAAAATCACAACTACTTGTCCTAAAATTACGAAAATAATCAAAAAATCGAGTTAATTTCAAAGTTTACAGTGTGAAATCACGACTAATTGGCCTAAAATAGCACAAATTTACAACAAATGAACATTATCTCAAATTTAAAAAAGTAAGACTACAACTTTTTGGCCTAAAATGCCTAAACGATTCAAAAACCAATTTAATTTCAAAGATTACAGTGTGAAATCACGACTGATTGGCCTAAAAACTACAAATTAACGGAAAATATATTCATTTCGAAGCTCTGCAAAGTAAAGTGACAGCTACTTGACCTAAAATGCCTAAAATGATCAAAAAAATAAGGTTATTTCAAAGTTTACAGTGTAAAATTACGACTACTTGGCCTAAAATAGCACAAATTTACAAAAAAGAACATTATCACAAATTTTAAAGGGCGAAACTACAACTTTTTGGCCTAAAATGCCTAAAAAAAATCTATTTAATTTCAAAGTTCACAGTGTAAAATCACGACTACTTGGCTTGAATAGCACAAATTTACAAAAAAATTAGAAGAAAAAGGCCAAAAATGCTGATAAAAGTATATCAGAAAGCATTTTCATACAGTTATATTCAACATATTTGAGCTGAAAAGTCTTGAAATTGCTCTAACTTCCAGTTTTGAACTAAAAATCGGTAGAAAACGCGTGTAATTTGGTTCAAAATTATTAAAATTAAAAAAAGCGTATTTTCTCAATTTTCTTAACGTCTTCTTGGACAACTAAAATTAACATGATCAATTTACCCGAAAAATCAAAATTTTCAAACTTCTGCACACAAATTCAGCTGCAAACGCCCATGAGAAAATATTTTTTGAGAAAGTGAGACCTTAAGTGAAAAGCCTGAAATATTCAAAAATTCACTAACCAACTTCATCGATACCCATTTTACTGGCCGCATGATCGTTATAGATCTCATCGACGACTTGAACTTCGGCGTAATGATTTCCGGCTCCAAGGGTTCCGAGCTGGAACACTTTGGGAGTTTCTAGTGGTCACTTTAGGGTTTTGAAGTTCCAGTGGCCACTATAGTAGTCGAATTGGTAGCCACTCAAAGACTAAAAATTAGAGGCCCTTTTGGATGTCTAAGTTGTATTATTAGACCACTAAATTAGCGGCTTCTACCAAGGTGGTTTTAGTGGCCACTTTAGTGTCCTTGAGGAGCCTCTTAAGTGGCTACTTTTCGCAGTTAACATACGTGATGAACCATTGTCACTAAAAATTCACGTTTCTTTTTTCGAGCTCATAATTTTATCACAACAGCTACATAAGCTTCTAAAACGTTAAGTTAGATTTCTGACAAGCTCCGCCCCTTTTGTGGATTACTGTAGCGGAAATATGAAAAAAATCTAACTTTTTTCTCCCTGTTTCAAATCGAATGAAACTTTTTTTAAGCCAGTGAAAAAATGAGCGTTTTTTGTCAACAACCATTCTTTTGAATAATTTTTTTTCCAAACTGAAAAAAATTGATTTGCATCTTGTACCTGCGGCAAACCACGTTTTTTGGCCCTCATTGACACTTTCGAGGCGTCCGCTTGTAACATACGGCCTAAAATTTTTAATTCGTTGTAGAACACTTTTCTGTGTTCCCTCCTGCGCCTTTAAAACTTACCGTATTCCTCGCAGTGTTCCTTGTCTTCGGCCCAGGAGTAGCCTTCTCGCAGAGTCCAATCCATTCCCATTTCGAGACATCTGGAAAAAAAAAACTTGAAACGTCGCATTTGGAATGGCTCAATGCGTTGCGGTCGGTGGAATTTCGCAAACAAAAATATTTTGAAAAAAGCGATCAAAAGGCCGAAAAATCCAACTATTTATGAGCAAAATATGGAAATCTAAGACAATTTTAAAGCGTTTTAGTAGAAAAAATAAAATTTTCAGCCCATTTTTCCCAAAAATCTTACTCAATAAGGTCCCGGGCGCCCATTGGAATCGCTCCACGAGACCCAACTCCGACAGGAATATGATCAAACAAAGATTGAACGAGTTGTTCCTGAAAAAATTCATTTTTAACACTTTTATTCCAATTTAATGCCTAAACCTTAACCGGCGCGACATCGCTCTCAAATAAATTGGTCCGGAGCAGCCGCACCCCGCAATTTATATCAAAACCGACTCCTCCTAAATCGAAATTTTGATTCAAAAATATATTCCAAGCTTTTAAACCCGGAGAAATGACAGATTGTGGATCGGCCACATCAAAAGCAGCAATATTCCCGATAGAAAATCCATATCCCGAATGAATATCGGGCAGTCCTATCTGTAAAATCCATGTACTTTTAAAAATTTAAATTTAAAAGCTCTACCGAATGCCCAACGATTCCCGGCAATGAGGCAACGTTCGCAATCTGACGAACGGCTGGCAAAAAACCGCCAATTCCTGAGAAAATGAATTTCCTTTCGTTTGTATTCAAATAAGATCCACCTCCACCATCGACGGCTTGCTTCAACTCGTCAAACATCAAGCCCTCCAAATTTTTGTTCACATAGAATCGACCTTCAACCTGAAAAATTATTTTAACATCAAAAAAAAAAATTTAAAAACAAACGTTCATGTTAGGGACAAAACCCTTTTTAATTTGAAATTTAACATCACTGAGTCTATCAATATACGAGCATTCTTCTTCGTAGGTGCGTGGCATCCTGGAATTTAAAGCATATGACAAGTTTTTGATGAAATCGCGCGTGATGTTGAGTTTGTTGTGCAATGTTGCGTAACTGATGGAGCGCACTTTCCCTTTTCCGTTTTTTTCTTCTTTTTTTCCATTTTTCTTTTTCAATAAACTTTTTATAAGTCTTCTCACTTCATTTCTAAGCTGAATTCTTTGTCTGGAACGCTTTTCATCAGATGGAGAAAAATTTTCAGTTCTTGTTCATGTTTCAACATTTCTCGAAATCGATTTTTTTGCTCTTCTGAATCATTTTATTTCTTTCTGAAGCTTTTTTTCAATTTTGTTTCAATTTGTCGGTTTTATTTTAAGCTTCTCTAATTATTGATTGCGACGTTCTCTGATAGGATAATTAGTGTGGCAAAGTCTTTCTTGACTTTTTACTTGATAATCCGAATCGATTTTTTTTTTTCGAGTTTATCTCTTAATTTAACATTTTTTTAAAGGTCTTTTTCAACTTTGCAATTTTTCAAAAAATGGATGATGTCAATTTTTATCCGATTTTTTCCTTTATCTTTCTCTTCCTAAAAAATAGATTGATAACTAGCGATAAATGTACAATCGCCTAGTTGACTCAAAAATGCATTTATAATAATAAAATGTGCTTAAAAGTCCTTAAAATTATTTGAAAAATGGCTCAAAACCCCGAGACCTTTTTAAAACACGTCTTCAAATTATTTTGATTGACTTCTTATTGAAAGTCTTCAAAAAGCCATCCGTTTTTCTAAAATTTCTCGTTTTCTTCGATTTCCCGTACACCAATCAGTTAATAGGAACGTCTTATACTCATCAAAACATCGAAATCCGTTCCTTTTTCCACCTGAACCTACAATTATCGGCTCCGCGTGCGCCTCTTTTTGCTCAAGGCAGAGCCGTATAATGTTATTTTTGGAGGAATCGATTTTTCGGGCTCGCTTTTCGGCGGCCGTTCCTTCTTCTGTCCATGAATGTGTTTGCGTTCCCACGTTTATTCTACATTTATAGTTGATTCATCGCTAGCTTGAGCCGGAATTCGAAAAAATGGAATGAAAAGGGCACAATTGGGCCTTTTTCTCTACATTGATTTCATTTATGTTGTGATTTTCAAGCTAGCGCCGTGAATAGAAAATAAATTCATGTTTTTTTTTTTAAATAGAGTCCATTTTAAGCCACCAGAAATGCTCTCCTTTAAATTATAGTCCATTTTGAGCCGATTTTCGAAAAATTCACAAAAAAGTACAGTAATCATTGTCTCCCTTTTTGATAAATACAGTATGAAATTCTGTGGAATATAGTTCATTTTTCATTTTCCAAGAAAAATCAGCGAATTTTGCTATATATCATAAAAAAAATTTTTTCTGAGAAAAATTTTCTACAATAATTCTTTCCTAGCGTTGAATTTGTGTCTGGAAAATGATAAATCCTATCTTAAAAAAGACGTTTTTTTAGGGTATATTAACTCCTACGGCCATGAAGGGCCCAAAGAGGCCGGGCCTCCGGTCGGGAAACAGAAAAATCACGCGTCGGATGATTGCCACCTTGATCGGTAATTTTGATAGGTTCTGAATGGAATTTTGTAGATTCCATTCTTCTTCTTGAGTTCATTCAAAATTTTTTTTGAAGGGCTAGAAAAATTTCAAGTGATCACTTAGGGGTTAAATCCAAACTTTTGAAATAAAATAGCTTACAAATTAAAAAAGCCCAGTCTTGTAAAATCCACTTGAAATTTCTATAAAAATGCGTAAATTATAAGTGATCACTTAAGGGGAAACCTAGAGGACGGGGCCTTCTCAAGAAAACACTCCAATTCTACCAAGTGGCCACTCAAGAGGTTCTTGAGGTCTCTTAAGTGGTCACTAGTTTTTTAAGCATGGTCACTAGCCTTTCAAGCGAAAGAGCGTGAATAAAAACCGTTTTCCCTTAAGTGATCACTCAAGGGGAAGCCTGTAGAACGGCACCTTCTGAAGACGGCACCTCAAATCGAATAAGTGATCACTTAAGAGGCTCTTGAGGTCCCTTAAGTGGTCACTAGTCTCTCAAGCGATAGAGTTTGAACAAAAACCTTTTTCCCTTAAGTGATCACTCAAGGGGAAACCTAGAGTACAGCGCTTTCTCGAGACGGTACTCTAAATTGTACAAGTGACCACTTAAGAGACTTTCAAGGTCGCTTAAGTGTTCACCAGTCTCTTCAGCAAAAGAGCGTGAAGAACAATCTTTTTTCCCTTAAATGGTCACGCAAGGGGAACCTAGAGTACGACGCCTTCCCAAAAAAATATTCAAAATGGACAAGTGACCACTTAAGAGGTTCTTGAGGCCTATTCAGGGTAAGAGCGTGAAGAAGACCTTTTTCCCTTAAGTGATCACCATTGGTCTTTCCAACCTTTTTGGTCGCATTCAGAATGGCTCGACGCGTCGCGGTCGCGCTGCGGTTCAATTCAAAGCTTCAAATTTTTTTTAGCAAAGCGTACGAAGACGCGATTCCGAAAAACTCCAGTGTTGAGCCATTCCAAATGCGCCCAGAATTTTTTTTATTTCAAAAATCCGTTATAGGAATCAAAAACAAAGTTTTAGTAGTCCTTTAAAGGCATCAAAAAGTGAAAAAAAAGATCAAAATTTTCTATGGATAAACCTTTGTGAAAGACGTATTTCAGGTGCGGGTCCGGACTCGGAAAAAAAGCAGGTAAAGAAGTTCACGAAGAAGAAAGTGAAGGCCTCGACTACCACGGCTACCATAACAACTAATGGTGATTGAAAATGGAAAAACTTCAAAAATGTATAAAAACAGAAAAAAATTTCATTTTTTGAAGCGTTTCTGGGAAACGGTCTCATCTCAAAATTTGATTTTTGATAAAGATTAGGATCAAGTTTTTTTGCTGATTCCAAATCTGAGCTCTACTTACTGTTAAGAAGTCCAGAGAGGACCACTTTAACAAACCCTATAGGGGCCACTAAAGCTGGCAAAAGTGGTTATTATAGGGGTTTCTATGATAAGAACCAATTCCATGCAAAAAATTCGAAAAATTAACGTTTTTTGAATGGAAAACGTCAACGTAGGAAAAAATTATCGATTTTCAAATTGAACAAAAAATTGAAAGACCCCTATAGGGGCCACTTAGGCTTTATAAAGTGGCTTGGAGGTCACACTTTGAACCCCTGTAGGGACCACCTAAATTTTACCCCAGGGGCCATTTTTTTGCTGGCAAAAGTGGTCACCTTATGGATTTCAGTAGCCTCTTTAGGAAAAAAATATCGTTTTTTTCAAATGAAAAAAATATCAAAAATAAGATAAAAAGATCATTTTGTTTTTTTTAAATTTTCATGATGAACGAAAAAAATAAAAAGACCCCTCTAGGGGCCACTTAGGCTTTAGAGACTTGGGGTCATACTCTAAACCCCTATAGGGACCACCTTGAAGTTACCCCTATGGGGACTACTTTTCCGGCCCCTATAGGGAGCGCTCTGGCGTTTTCAAGGGGAACTACCAATGAGAACGGCGAAAAAAGTTATGAGCACCCAAAGTTCATAAAAAAAGAGCCCATTTTTGGGTTGGAGGGTAAGATTTCCCTGGTTATCAAGAAGGAGTCATTTTTGAAATAATATTCAAAAAAAAAATTTGCTGAGATAGGATTTTCCAAAGTTCTTCACATGCTTAAGACGTTACAGTAGACGACTCCGATAGCTTTTTTTCAACTTTTAGTGGTCATAACTTCTTTCACAGACCTCTTTGACAGTTTTTGAGTACATTTTTGGAATCAGCATAAAAAACTGCCCCTAACCAACCAGTTTAAAAGTCCTATAGCTGATTCACGGCTGGCTTGAGCCATTGAGAAAATGGTCCTGCCGCGAAAAGAGGCGAGACAGTGCCCTGGTCGGTGGAGAGTGCAGACAGACAGGCCACGCCTTTTTGCGTCCCAAGCTAGCCTTGAATAGTCTATAGACATGCTTCTTTCTGAAACTAATAAATCCCGATTTTTCAACTAAAAATTGAAGATTTTCCAGTTCTCGAACCCTCCGAACAATGGACGAGTACCAGTAGTTCCGGTACTCCCTCGATTTCAACCCGGGCTTCTAGGTTCTTTGATTTTTCTTTTTCTTCAAAATATATTTCTTCAGATCGAACAAAAATACCACACCGATGAATGAGCACGTTCTGCAACTTCTGGTGGACGCCAGGAAGAAAATGGACGAGTTGGACGGCTCGGTAGGTTTCGAGGTGCAACCGACCAAAAACGACTTGCGCGTTTTAAAGAAGTGCTTTGGAAATCCAGAGCGGTCCCTATAGGGGCAACCTTAAGGGCCCTCTAGGGACCACTTTAGCAACCCCTATCATACACTTCTTGAAGGTGCAACCGACCAAAAACGACTTGCGCGCGTAGATATTAGAAAGCAGTATTTAGGGCCTCCAGAGTGGTCCCTATAGGGCCCTTGGAGTGTACCGTCTAGGGACCACTTTAGCAACCCCTATAGAGACAACTGAAGCTTGCAAAAGTGGTCCCTATAGGGGACATACCAGTCTATAATGGTTATGAACTCTAAGCGAAGAAGCATTTCCATGGGAAAAACTGAATAAATAAGCGTTTTTGAATGAAATTGAGAGACCCCTATAGGGCCCACTTGAGCTTTAGGGGCTAAGCGGTCAGACCCCTACAGAAACCACTTTTTCGAGGTGCAACCGACCAAAAACGACTTGCGCTCGTCGATATTAAAAAGCATTCGAGTGGCCGCGACGCTCTGAGCCATTCCACAGAATAATTCAGAAAAAAAACTGTTTTTTGCTATTTTTTAGTAATGTCATAGACTTAATCAACTGGCCGTTTAATAAAATGAAAAAATCTATTTTTCCTGAAAGCTCACAGGCGAAAGTCGTTTCTCGGTCGGGCGCAAGTCCCAATTTTGTTGTTAAAAAGTTGTCGCGTTAGTTTTATCATTAAATCAAAACTTTTTAAGGCTTAAGGTGAGTCTTAAAGCTAGAATGTGCCTTGGAGCGTAAGTAGTTTCTAGTCGGGCGCATATGTCAGTTAACACCCTGATCCATTCCAAATGCGGTCATGCTCTTATTTTTTTTTCAGAAAAACTGTTTTTTGCTATTTTTTAGTAATGTCATAGACTTAATCAACTGGCCGTTTAATAAAATGAAAAAATGTATTTTTCCTGAAAGCTCACAGGCGAAAGTCGTTTCTCGGTCGGGCGCAAGTCCCAAATTTTGTTTTTTAAAAGTTGCCACGTTAGTTTTATCATTCAACGACAACTTTTTAAAGCTCAAAGTGATTCCTAAAGCTAGAATGTGCTTTGGAGCGTAAGTAGTTTCAAGTCGGGCGCAATCGTCAGTTGACCTTTTTCACCAGCCAATTCCCATTTTTAGTGGAGGGATAAAGCTTGGAAGTTTCATTTTAATCCTACAATTTTTTGGCGGATTAATGGATTTCCTGATATCATGGACTCGTTTTTTGGAGCTCTCCATGGCAAGGAACCTTTCAATTTTGAATCGAAAAAACTTTTTTTCGCGTCTTTTTTCTGTGCTTTACACTGTCCTCTTTGCACTTTCGAGGCGTCCTATTCAAAGTTGGCTTTTTTCGGTTCTTTTCGAAGGGCGGCCGCCGCTTTGTGACGCACTTTTCGTGGTCTTTTGTTTAGCTAGAAAGGAGAAATTTGGAATTTGAATTTGTCTAGCCGTTTGGTGAGAGTAGGGATTTTCGGCTTCTTGAAAAAAATTCTAGAAATATGTACCAAAAAAAGAAGTTTTTGTTCTGTGTTAGGAAATTCGGAGTGGTCCCTATAGGGTTTAGAAGGAAAATGACTCTTATAGGGAATGAAAATGTGGTCCCTAAAGGGATTTAGGGTCTCGCCCCTTAACCCCGAAAGCTCAAGTGGACCCTGTAGGGGCCGAAAAACTGGTCCCTATAGGGGTTTAGGATCTGTCTCCTAGGGTTCTTAAGCTCAAGTGGTCCCCATAAGGGTGATATTAAGGTGGTCTCTTTAGGGAATTAGGATCTGAGTCCTTACAGCGCCTAAAGCTCAAGTGGTCCGTATAGGGGTTAGGAGGAAAATGACCCCTATAGGGGTAAAATTAAGGTGGCCCCTATAGGGAATTAGGGTCTGAGCCCTTCGCCCACAAAGCTCAAGTGGAACCTATAGGGGTCTTTCGATTTCTTTCAAAAACACTTATTTACTGACATTTGCGCCCGACAAGAAACTACTTACGCTCCAAAGCACATTCTAGCTTTAGGACTCACTTTAAGCCTTTAAAAGTTGTCATGTAATGATAAAACTGACGTGACAACTTATAAACAACAAAATTGGGATTTGCGCCTGACCGAGAAACGACTTTCGCCTGAGAGCTTTCAGGAAACTGAAAAACCCTTTGGGGGCTGAAAAAGTGGTCCCTTTAGGAGTAATATCGAAGTGGCCCGTATAGGGGTTTAGGATACGACAGGTTAGCCTCTAAAGCTCAAGTGGACCCTATAGGGGTCTTTCAATTTCGTTCAAAAACACTTATTTTTTCAGTTCTTTCCCATGGAAGTGCTTCTTCGCTTAGAGTTCATAATAACTATCAAATATCTTGACCCCTATAGGGGCCACTTTTGCAAGCTTCAGTGGTCCCTACGGGGGTTGGTAAATTACATCCTAAGGTTGCCCCTATAGAGATCATTCTTGAGTTCCTAAGCAACACTGTCCTAAAACTTTCGCAAGCTTTAGCGGCCACTGTAGGGGTTATTAAAGTGGACCCTGTAGGGAACCTTCCAAAGGCTTCTAAGGTTGCCCCTGTAGGGACTGTCCTAAACATGCATGTCTTTGAAACGAAATTCTTCATTTCTTTTCCAGTCCACGACATCCGGGGAATCTTCGACCACCATGGCCGCCCAGCCACCCGTGACGCGCAAGTCGAAGAGAAAAATTCGAAGAATATCGGCGCGAATCATTGAGACAACTGTTGGGGAAGCTCCTCCGCAGATTGATGATATGGCGCCGCCGAAAAAAATATCCCGGTCTTCGAAGAATTCTCCGACGGATACTCCGAAGGCTACCCAAGATGTTCCGAACGTCCCGAAGCCGATCGTCGCTCGGAAGGATCTTCGAGTCGTTCAGCACAACGATCAGCTTTATCTCAGAGAGGTTTCAGATTTGGCCAAAGTTTGAGGGGTTCTTTTGAGGCTCTAAAAAAGCTTCTTTCTCTAAAAATTTCTTTGGGGAAGGTCCGAAAAGCATTTATTTTCATGTAATCAAGATTTTTTGGAAATAGTTCTCTTTTGATTTTGCAAAAAACGTTCAGTCGGTAGTTTCTTATTGGCTCTGAAGCTCGAAGTGTTTGAGCCTATTCCGCGCCAGCTTGTCACGTTTTTATTTCCGCCAAATGGAGCAAATTTGAGCAAATTGATTAACATTTCGCTTCAAGAACTTTTTTTGCAGTTTTCGAGCCAAAATTTTTTTTTTCCTGTTCTTTCAGAACGTGACCGTCCCGCTATACTTGATGAAAATTAAATAGCGATTTTCACAAGATTTAATTTTTCTTATCGATTGAAAGCATATGGTAAGCAAAAAAAAATGGGATTTGAGATAAGTTTTTTATTTTGTGGATCTAGGGCGTGTCGAAAGGTACACTTAAAAACGTACAGAAGTTTCTCGCTTTGAAGAAAAATTAGTTACTAGTTGGAGAACATCAGTTTGGCATACTGTATGTTTAAACTGTGCATACACATATCTTCATTGATAACGAGTTTTTTTGTACCAAAAAAATAGACGAATTTGAAGAAAAAAATATTAATAAAATATTCGAAAAATACAAATTTAGTATAACAGTTAATTTTTTTGCAAACGCCAGCAGGTCTCAAAAAAATGGCCTAATTTGAAAAAAAGCAACAAGATCCTATTTTTTTGTATTTTTTTTGATTTATCAATGTCGAAAATAGCCGTGTTCATTTTGTTAACTATGAAAAATAGTCTATTATGGGCAGCGGAAATGGCGCACTGGAAACCGGACAGGTTCATGTGAGAAAACCGTGTTTTGCAGTAAAGTTGCTCTATGGACAATAGATTTTCCCTTTTCAGTGGGACAGCAAAACCCGGAGTAGGATTTCTTCCGATAGACGCCTGAGGCGTCATTTCACTCTTCAGTTCGGAAATATTAGAAGCTGTTAGTTTTGATTTTTGAGATTTTTCATTGAAATGTCCCTTTTCAGACATTAGAATTAGAGCGATCCAACTCGAAAACTGCCTTTCTCGGATCGGAAGCTCGCTGACGCCGCAAAAAACCCTCGAGAGTTACTCTTTCCCCTTGCAAAAGTTGGAAAAATGTTTAATTTTTCATAAATTTGGAAAAATTCCAGTTTGTTCTACATGTCTCACAGTCATTACATCGCCCCGTCCGTTCGAGTTTTATTGAATCCGTAAGTTTTTGGGATTTTTTTTCTTTTGGGTAGGGTTTAAAAGGAAGCTCATAGCTCATCCTGGACTTGACGTAAGTATTCATCCAAAAAAAGGGAAACATGAGTTTTTTCGATTTTTGGATAGCGGAATCAAATCATTAAGAAACTGGCTTTATAAACGTTGATGGGTAAAAAATCAATTTTTCCTTAATTTTGAAAGAAATCATGCTGCAAGGTTTTCATTACTTTTTAGATATTTTTTGAATTTAAGTGTACCTCTGTAGGAGGGGCGGTTCTTCTTTAGAACCCACTTCAGCTTCTGAAAGGCATCCTGCCGCTCAGTAACTCCACTTATTGGAAAAAAATAGGGTCCCCTCTAGGGATCACTTTACTAACCCCTATAGGGGCTACTAAAGCTCGCAAAGGGGTCCCTATAAAATTTTAATTAATGCCCCCTATAGGGGGCAGTTTTTATGTAATCTTTGCGAAGATGCATTTCCATGCGAAAAATTCAATAAATGAGCGTTTTTTTTAAGAAGTTCGAAGACCACTACAGGGGCCCCTCAAGCTTAAGGGGTCAGACCTTAAATCCCTATAGGGACCACCTTGATATTACCCCTATAGGGACCACTTGAGCTTTAGGGGTCTAGGACACACACCCTGAACTCCTATGGGGAGGATATTGATTATACCCCTATAGGGGCCACTTTCTCGCCCCTTTTAAGGGATGTTCCCCCCTAACCCCTGTAGGGACCACTCTGGAATCCTTAAGTTTTTACAACGCATGAAAGTGGCTCCCAAAGGTTCCAAGGGGCGCCTTAAGGGAAAACGGAACAACCTTCTGATGCCTTTTTTGATAATTTGATAACTTTAGGGATTTGACAAACGGCAAAGCCCTGCCGATTCCGATGTACTCCGACATCGAATCCAATTCCGACCCGGGCAAAGACCTGTCCAAAGTGTCGATCCCGCCGAAATTCGACTACATAACTACCACCAACCTGGATTACCTGCCCAGCAACTACCTGCAAGAAATCGAGAATGCCAATGTCAAAACGGTTCGTTTTGGGAAGATCCATGTACGGACTTTTGCCGGTTTTCAGGTCACTTGCAACTGCTACGCGACGGACGACGGCCTGGCCTGCTGGGAATCGAAAACGTGCCCCTGTTATCAGCTGAACCGCGAGTTTTGCAACTTGCAAGGCGGCGTCCGCGGGAAAAATGCCAGGAAAGGGCATTACACGTGTTTTGTTAGTGTTTTGGTATGAAAATTCACAGAAAAATGAGGAAATTGACCTTAGAAGGAGAAAAAGATGCTTTGTGGATTGAGAAAATTACACGAAGTTTTTTTTTGACGACGCCCTGCAAATAGTTTTCCGTAAAGTGTAGTGTGTCGTGTGCATACACTGCGGCGCTCTGGCACACGCCGTGTTCAACGGATTTTCACGAGCTGAAAATCATTTATCGTTTTCACTCTCTGGTGGCTATTTTGAATTTCGCGGAATCACTTTGAGCACGGCAACAGAAAAATTGCGTTTTTTCAAATGAGAAATAAATTCGTCTCATGACCCATTGAACATGCGCCTTTAATATTCCCTGTTGTTTACGCGTGTTTCTCATGACGTCACATGGGAACGGCAAAGTTTTGACTCCGCCCCTTCATTTTCTGTTTTGCATTTTCTTCCTCTAACCAAAACGATGTGATTGTTAGAATTTTAGGGACTCCGGAGTGGTCCCTGTAGGGGCCCTTGTTGGTCACTCTAAGGACCACTTTACCAGAGCTTGCAAAAGTAGCCACTCTAGGGAGGCTTCCGTCGATTTTTTTATTCTAATAAAACTTTCTTATAAGAAGCATCTGTATGCAAAAAACTTGAAAATTTGCGTTTTATGTATTAAAAGTATCATTGTAGAATGAAATCATCAAGTTACCAATCTCTATAGGGATCACTAAAGCTTGCAGAAGTGGCCACTCTAGGGGGGCTTATGCCGTTTTTTTTTTATTCTATTGTAAATTTTTTATAAGAAGCATTTCCATGCCGAAAACTCAAAAAATAGCCTTTTTTGAATGAAAATTATCATCATAGAATAAGTTTATAATGTTACCAACCCCTATAGGGGTCCCTAAAGCTTGCAAAAGTGGTCACTCTAGGGAGAATTTTGTCGTTTTATTTTTTTATTCTATTGAAACTTTCTTATAAGAAGCATTTCCATGCCGAAAAACTCAAAAAAATAGCCTTTTTTGAATGAAAATTATCATCATAGAATAAGTTTATAATGTTACCAACCCCTATAGGGGTCCCTAAAGCTTGCAAAAGTGGCCACTTTAAGGGTTTTAGTGAGTGGTCACTCTAGGGGAGCATCTCTAGGGACCACTTCAGTTTTAAGGGCTTAGGCTTGCGAATTATGGTAAATTTATCACTTTTTTTGGATTTCCGACCGCGTTTCCACATTTTTATGACTTAGTAGTGCATTTTTGACTTTTCCATCTATTTTTCATCATTTTTCCAGTCGTCCTATGGTCCGGCGAAGATCTACGACACGTCCAACGATTTCTACTCGATTTTCGGCTTCGCCTGCGGTCCTGCCTGCAAATGTAGTGGGAAATGCGCGAATAATGCTCTGGCCATACCGGCGGACCCGATTTTTGGGTTAATAGTTCTGGGAAATCGAAAAATGAACCTTTTTTTCAGTTTGGAAGTTTTCCGAAGAGACGCCCGGCTCGGCTTTGGGGTTCGGGCGACCTCGTCGATTCCGATGGGTAAGTGAAATGAAGTTCGAATAAAAGCTTTATAGGTCTAGGGGTAGTAAAAATGCACAGATATAAGTAATTTTGCCAATTTCATTCATTTTAATTTTGAAATATGCTTCGGATGGTGTACGGAAAACTCAAAAAATCAAAAAATTAGGAACTCCAAAGTGGACCCTTGGAAGGTCCCCTCTCGGAACAACTTTACAAACCCCTATAGGGACCATTAAAGCTTGCAAAAGTGGTCCCTCTAGGGGACGTGCTAGCCGATAATTGTTATGAAATCTAAAAGAAGAAGCATTTCCATGGGAAAAACGGAAAAAACAAGCGTTTTTTTTTAAAGAAATTGAGAGGCCCTATAGGGTCCACTTGAGCTTTAAGGCCTAGGGGATCAGATCCTGAACTTCTATAGGGACCACCTTAATTCTACTCCTATAAGGACCCCTTTTACGGCCCCCAGAAGGGTCATTTCTCTCCTAACCCCTATAGAGTCCATTTGAGCTTTTGGGGCTGAAAGGTGACTCTATACCCCTATAGGGGTCACTTTTTTGGCCCCTATATTGGTTGTTTTTGCTCCGAAACCCTATAGGGTCCACTTGAGCTTCAGGGGCTAAGCAGTCAAACTCCTATAAGGACCACCTTAATCTTACCCCTATAGGGACCATTTTTCGGACCCTTTATGGGTTGTTTTTGCTCCTAACCCCTATAGGGACCACTCTAATTCCCAAAATATCAATTTCTCAATCGAAATCTGTACAAAATCGTGGTCAAATACCGTTCATTACTGGTAAACGAAAATCCCATTTTCAGGAACAGCGGTGATGGAATTCGCTGGCGACGTCGTGATGAGCGAGGAAGTGAACAACCGGGACTCCGACGACTATGCACTCCGGCTGCACAACACCGACGACCACAAGCAGTTCAAGGATTTCGTAGAGAAGCGTCTCGGATCATTTGCGAAGGTTTCTTTCAAGTGAAAAATTGAAAAATTGGCTTTCGAAGCTGGTAGATCGGCTGTTTTGAGACCTTCCTATTCATTTTTAAAACTTTCAAAACTCAAAACTTTCTAAAATTTGGCCAGAACACTCCTTGAGGTACATTACTGGCCATAAAGGTATTTCAAAGGGGTTAATTCAGCATAATTTCTCTAAAAGGGGTTCAAATGACTTGAAACTTCGCACAGATTTCAAACAGCTACGCAGTAACTTTTTTCCGAAAAAAAATCTCATTTGCTCGAGTCAGACCAGATTTGTGAGCAAAAAACCGAAAATCGTGGAAATGGAAATTTTTCTCTTCAGATTCGAAAAATCATATTTTCGAAGAAACGTCGATTTTCAATCAGAAATTATTTTTTCCTCGTAAAACAAGTCTCCGGCTTCCCAAAAAACCTAATCAGTCCCCTACTAACCCGATAGTAAGAGCGTAATGACTTTTTCTTCGGAAGGCCCTCGCGTTTTGACGCCTCGTTATTCAAATAGACTATACGAGGTCGATTTTGTTTGAGGACACCCCTTTTCATGTTGAAAAACTTCAAAACTAGTTTTACACTGTTTTCCTCAGATTTCTCACGTTATCCGCTCTCCAGAACTCACTAACTTAACTAGGACCGAATTTGAAACCTTTTTTCTGAAAAAAGAATAACCAATTTGAAAGACCTTTATGGTCAGTACTGTACTATACGAATATCCTGAAAATTTCAGCCTGTAGTTTTCGAGAAAAGACATGTTTCCCAAACGGTTGGCAACGGTTTCCTTTTTTCTGCCCTTTTCCGTCCTTACATCGCCCTTTATCCACCCTTTTTGGGCCCTTTTGAAGAATGCAGAATTTTTAAATTGAGAATAATTTTTACCAGTGACTGTGTATGCACCAAAATGTGCTACAGTAAGACAATCGGAAGTATCAATGGCCGAAACTTTCAGCACCCTTTTTGCACCCTTTTTGTGAGACTTTTTAGCCCACCAAAAAAGGCTCAATAAAGGCTGCAAAATGGAACCCTTTTAGCAACCATTTTGCACCCCTTTTCTGCACTTCCATAGGCAAAGTCGGAAGGACCCTTCACGGGCCCTTTGAGCGTCCGTTACGGATCCTTCTGTTCCCATTAATTGATCCTAAACGGGTGGCAACGATTTCCTTTTTACTGCCTTTTTCCGTCCTTTCATCGGCCTTTATCCACTCTTTTTTTACCCTTTTGAGAAACACAAAATTTTTTGAATTGAGAATTATCTTTACCAGTTACTCTGTATGTACGAAAATGTGCCACAGTAATAAAATCGGAAATCATCAATGGCCGATACTTTCAGCACCCTTTTTCACCCTTTTTGCACCCATTTTGCACCCCTTTTTCACCCCTTTTGCAACCTTTTTGCACCCTTTTTTCACCCCTTTTGCACCCTGTTTTCACCCTTTTTGAGGCTTTTTAACCCACCAAGAAAGAAAAGCTCAATAATGGCCGCAAAACAGAACCCATTTAGCGGCCATTTTGCACCCATTTTCAACACTTCCGACTTTGACAGTGATAGTTCAAAAAGTTTAGAATTTTTTTCTTTAAATGAATCCTCGATCTTTAATAATTTTTAATAATAACATAAATTTGTTTGTCCACAAAGAAAAAAATAATGAAAAATTTGTCAGAAATGGTTCTCGAAAAATTGGTACGTTGACCCGAAAGCACGGGGCAACGTTTCGAGGTACATTTCCCACGGCTGTTTTCCCAATCTAGGCTTTTTCCGGTCAGTTTAACGGGATCGACTTCATTTTCTTCAATTTCTGAATTTTTCAGGGTGTTCCAAGGCGGATTGGCACCACATCAAGGTCATCTTCTATTGATCGCCATGGAGGATATCGCTCCGGGAACTGAGGTTATTCAAAAAATTGACTTGGGAAGAGTTTTAATGCATCTTTTTAATTGAAAATCCTCGTCTTTTTCATGAAAAATATATATTTTTGTTCAAATTTTCCATTTTTCCAAGTTTTTTGGGTCTTCAGGGTCGTTAATTTTCAAAATTTTTCTGTTTTCTCCGGTTTTTTTCAAGTCCTTCCTCCTCTTCTAAAGTATAATTTTCGAAAATCGATAATTTTTTCTACTTTATTTTTTTCTTTAACTTAGGAACTCCAGAGTGACCCATATAGGGGACAAAACTTGATCCATCTAGGTGGTCCCTATAGGGGTTTAGGGGGATGATTCCAGAGCCCCTAGAGCCTGAGTGGCCCCTATAGGGGTCTTCAAACGATTTTTTTAAAATGATTTTAAAATTGGAAAGACAAACTTATCATATGTTGATAATGCTAATCATGAAAGCGTTAGTTGTCCCTATAGGGGTTGGTTAAGTGGTCCCCAGAGGGGTCGGTAAAGTGATCACTAGAGAGGAACCTTCAAGGGCTTCTAAGGTTGCCCCTAGAGGGACCACTATGCTCTTAAGAAAAACCCCTTTTTTCGATTTTTAGAGAACAATTTTTCTTTCCGTACATGGATTTGTAATGAGTGAGGTTCACGAAAAAAAGATCTTTGAAATTTTTTTTTTATTTTTAGAACTTTTTACAAGGCCTATTTGCCAAATTTCTATATAATTTTAGAAAATATCGATAAAATACCAAAGAAACCTTTTTTAACCTTCTTTTATGATTTTCAAACTTTTCCAGCTCCAATTCGATTACGGCGACAATTACCTGACGGGCCATTCCATAACCGAATGTCTGTGCGGAACGCTCGGATGTCCTTCCCAGCAGCCTTTCGTTCATCTCCGACATTTCAATGATGAAGAGGTCCGTTTTTTCTTCAAATTCAAGCCAAAAAAATGGCGCATAAAAATTGAAAAATGTCAAAAAAAGGTATTGAATTGACTCTAGCCACCAAAAAAAGCAAAAAAATATTTTTTTATTTTCAGAAATTTGTCCTTTTTTTTATCTTAGCTTGAATAAAAAAACCGATAAAAATATAGAAAAAAACAATCATCCGCGAAAAAAATAGAAAAATTTTATCTAAAGAGGAGAAAAAAATTTGAGAAGTTATAATTTAATTTTTGGCCTTTTTTTCGACTTCTCTGGCCTATTTATGTGAATGGTTGTGATTTGATGCATAACAAAGGATAACTTTTCCTAAAAAAATCAATTAAGAAAACAAAAAAACACATCGATAATGGAGGAAACGAAAAAAATATCGATTAAAAAATCAAACTCTGTGTAAAATCATCATTTTTTTGCACGCATTTTTTTCGATCAAAGTTTGCAAATTTTTTTTATAAATAGAAAGTTTTCATGACAGAAAAAAACTTTAATGACAACAGAAAAAAATTGAAATTTGAAAGAAACGAAGAAAAAAAGCGAAAAATTTAAAAAAATGGCGAAGCGGGTTGTCCATAGAGCAACTTTACTGCAAAAACGCCCTTTGGCGGAAATTCTTTTTCCTTGAGATTTTTTTCTCCAAAAACTAGGAACTTCTGTTCATTTTCAAGTATACCGTTCGATTCGCAATGAAATGCTCTTCAAAATGGCATATTTTTTTCTCCACGCCATTTTTTTTTCCGCCCTTATGCCTTTGAAGGAAATGGCATTGAAAAATTCAGAAAAAAGGGTTCGAAAAAAATTTTTATCTTATTTGATTTCGAGCTCAGATTCTAAAAAATGTTGGTTTCTGATTTTATTTAATGTTCCCAGATCCGGAAACTCCTGCGCAAAAGACACGAATCGGCTCTTTCCTGCTACAACTGGGTCAACGGCATCGAAGAGCCCAAAAAAGAGAAAATCCCAAAAACCAACGGTCTCCCCCAAAAAAGTTAACTTTTCCTTGTATTTTTCAGTCATCACTTTAAAACCAAATGATATCACCAAAGTCTTACCTCACCCCGATTTTTCAACCCTAAGTATTTTCAATATCTCACTGCCAAAGCTTTTCTTCTTTTCCGACCCCCCGACATGGCTTTAACTGTCTATTTATTATAGATCCTCGATTATAGACTATTTATTGATTCGTGTTCGATTTTCCATGTATTTATTTATTTTTCAAAAGTCTTTCTTGTAACATTCTTTTGATCCCGCCCGTGTTTTTCAGCTTTAAGTCTTTCTTATTCTAATCTTTCAAGTTTGAAGGGATTTTCTAGTGTTTTAAGATTGCTGAATGTTGATAATGGTTGAATAAAATTGTTGAAACAACTTTTTTGATTCGTGCCCGACTTGAACCTACTTGCGCTAACGGGCATCGGTAAGCATCAGACAAAGGAAGAGGTTCATAAAATCAATTGATTAACCTTCCCAGCTCGGGAAGAATTCCTTATCGAAATTTGCTCATCAAATGAGATAAAAACGCCCAAAAGGACCCCGTTCAGAACGCTCTTATCACTTCCTTCGATCGCTCTTTTCTTCAAATTTCCTTAGATGACGTCAATCCTAGTGAATTCTGTTGAAGACGAAAGACTGGGGGCCATATCACTAGGCCAACTTGATTATCTAACTATCTCCAGAAATTTGAATCAAATCTCAAAAGTCGACTTTCTCATCTTCTGTGGAGATGTCCTAAAAGTCAGAAAAATTGAAAGGTCGAGGCGATTTTGGGCTGTTTGGGACGATTTGGGTTCCAGGAGGGCTGTTATGAGGCTTTGTTCATTTATTTCAAAGTTCCTTTCTCACCGATGTGGGCTGGCGCAGTGGTTAGAGGGCCCGTCTCATGATTGATCATTGACTTTTTTGAGTAGGTTCGATTCCTTTCGAAGGCGAACCTTTTTTGCAATTTTCCTAACAACCGAAAACTTTTGAAAAGTCATAAAACTGATGAAAAAGCATTTCTCTTGGTTCAAATGCTTCTCAAAAAAATTAATTAAGTGAATAAAAGTCATTTCAGTACAAATACGATGCCCGTCAGCATTGCTCCCGAGATCTAGAGAGCATTTTTTCTGAATTCATTCGGAAATAAAAAACTATGTTGATAATACTTTCAAATCTTTTCGAATCCCATCTTTTACAAAGAAAATTGTCTTTAAGAAAAATGCAAAAAAGATTTGTCCTCGACAGGAATCGAACCTACTCAAAAATTCAATCGACACTCATGAGAGCGACCCTCTAACCACTACGCCAGCCCACCTCTGTGTGAGAAGAAAGTTCAGACGCATACAGGACTCTTCCTCGATTTCTTCGAGAAGCTTTTGCTCAGAATCTCTCTTGTTTCTAAGAGCTCATACCCAAACCACCATATTTTCAAATTATTACACGTACCCGAGTAGTTCCTTTGTAAGATTTTTTTATTATTTTTCTCTCTTTGTTCTAATAAACTGGAATAAAAATCTTTGATATTGTTTTTTTCTTGTGAAAACGATGCGAAACAAGTGCTTCAAAGGCCTGCACATCTGCGGAAGTCAGAAAAACTCACGCCCGATGTGACACCTCATAGCCAAAGTCAACATTGGCAACAATAAAAGTCTTATCAGGGCGATCAGCGTTGAAAACTTTTCTTTAATATTAGCAAGTCTCCCTTTAAGTACTACCCTGATAGCCCTTCCATTCCTTCTATCTCAACTTTTAGACGTCCTTTGGAATTTCGAAGTAAAAAGTCTCTCTTTTACTCTGGCGTCTCTTTAGCCCTTTGTTGATCTCTAGCCTTCCCTTTCACAAAAAATAAATTTTTCATTATTCCTTTCTGAACCCCTTTCTCAATTCGCTTCATATGTATAGTTATTGTTTCCCGACTTGAAAGGCGAAGGAAGCGGGCAAAAGGGCGGGACGCGTAGTGTGTGCGTACGCGGTTCTTGGCGCCAGTTCAATTCAATTGCCGCCGACTACTTAAAAAGCTCGGCAACCGCTCTTTCTCTGTATTTTCTACTAATTTTTGATGCACAAATTAACATAATCAATACATAATTAAAAAAGAAGTGAAAAGAGCGAAAAAATGAGCTCTCTGAATGCTCGCTGGCGGTAGAATTGAACTCGTGCCAAGAACCGCGTACGCACACGCTACGTGTCCCGCTCCTTGTCCCGCCTCCCTTGCCTTTCAAGTCGGGAAACATTGACTATATGAAATTGTCTCATCTGCAGATGGAAACAATCCTCGTCGGTACCGTCGAGCCAGATCGAATGTTCGCTGTCCGATTAGGGCAACAGCCATATCGAACCATCCTTTTACACTCCAAAAATTTCCCTTCAACCAATTTCCCAATCTGTCGCGGAGATGTTCTCAAAGTCAAAGTGAACGCTTATCGATGGGTAGAAGCTATTTTGAGCAAATGTGGGAGTTTCGAAAACGGGACCTCCTATTTTCAGGTGTGGATCCTTTTTTGTATTAGAGCCTCCAGGATTTTTTTTTTTAATTCACAATTTTCAGGCGGAAGCCAGGCACATGGATAACGTGATAACTACTTGTCACGGTAAGCTAGTATTTTTTACACGTTTTGAGCTCAACTTTCAGAAAGCATAAAAATAACTGACCCGGATGGAATCCACACAAACAAATCTGGAATTTTCACCGTTTGTTTTAAAGATCGCATTGACAAACAAAATGATCACCTCACGATTTTCTATGCTGTTGAAGTGAGCTTCTTACTTGTAAATCTTTGGAAATTATTTTTTGAAGGTTGGTGCTCGGGGTGAAATTTTTAGAAAGAAAGTTCCGGTCGTCCAGGTTACTATTCCTATTCCAGTATCAAATGTAAGGTTACCGACTTTTCTCTTTTTGTGAATCATTCCCGATATCTTGGACCATATTGAGGTGTAAAAAAAACGAGTTGAAAAATTTTTTGAAGGTCGACGCTGTGGGTGAAAACTTGGAAAAGAAACTGTCGGTCGCCCAGGCTCCTAATCCAGATTCAAATGGAAGCGCAACGATTTTCTCCCATTTGGTGAGTCCTTCGTGTCATTTTGAAACATTCTGACGTGTCTGCACTCTCTTCTCTCTCACAGCAACGGGATTGTGACCGAACATCAGTTGACCTGACCTCGTTGCCATATGTAATATCATGTAGGCCGCCATGATAGCTGCCTACTTGCGTTTGTCACTCTTGCGATCAGCACGCTTACCAACTAGCGGTTCCGAGTTACTCTAAAGATCCAAGAGCAATGTCGGTTCTACACACATCTGAATAACACGTCATGGTCCGGTGAAGCAGCTATGATTTCATTTGGAGTAGACTGAGATAGAAATGACTTCGGCACAGATATAGTCAATGTTTTCCGACTTGAAAGGCGAGGGAAGCGGGCAAAAGGGCGGGACGTGTAGCGTGTGCGTACGCGGCTCTTAGCACGAGTCCAATTCAAGCGCACCGACTATTCAAAAAATCGGTCACCGCTCTTTTTTCATATTTTTTACTAATTTTCAATGCACACATAAAAAAACGATAAATAACTTTTTTTAAAATGATAAAAATCGATAAACGAGCTCTCAAAATGGTCGCTGGCGGTTGAATTGAACTCGTGCCAAGAACCGCGTACGCACACGCTACGCGTCCCCTGCCCCGCCATCCTCGCCTTTTAAGTCGGGAAACATTGACTATATATTCTGTATGCCATAACGAAATTTCACGGAACGACATTCCGCTGCGCCTCTGCGCACCTTTGCGAACCTTGGCCGCGCTTTTAATTTTTTTTTTCTTTTATTAGGGTACTATACTTTCATGTGCTCCCACAGAAATAACAATCAATTGAAAGCGTGACTTAGATTTGAAAGATGCTTCGCGAACACGCAGCGGAACAGCGGAATGTCGTTTTGTGAAATTTCAAGACGTGGCACACAGACTATATAAGATCCTTCCATGACACGAGTTACTGTGAGAGAAAAGAGAGAACATACAATCAAGACAACATTTCTTAAAAAGGCCTTCAAGATTGAGTTGGATTAACTTATCATCTCTTACTGCTCAAATAGCTTCGTTTCGGATTTCCAGTCCTCTCTGGCGTTGGTTACGGCGGCCGACAAAAACAGGGCCTTCATGGTTACACTTGATAAGAAGCCGTATCGAACTATCCTGGCTCTCATCTCCAAAATCCATACTCCTTTCGATTTGGCGCGTGGCCAAATTATCGACATTGAATACACCAATGAAGGACATGTTACCGCTGTCAAAACCCTCAAAAAGACACTTGAAACGGTTGGAAACTCATTTAAGGTCTTTTATTACCTGGTTAAAGGTATAATGAGGGAATTTTCAGGTTGAGGCCACCTACAGGAACGGCGTCCTCTATTCAGATTACTGTAGGGTTCATAGTCCTAATACATTCTTGAAAGGATTTTTTAGACTCTTTCGAAATCGAAGACCCAAAAGGTGTCGGCAAATTCAATAATAATGTCGTTTTCCGTGCTCTCGACACGAAGGATGCCATTCACTCGACGGAATTTATTTCAGTTGATGTAAGTTTGAAAAAAATATAGAATAGATTCAATAGTAAAAAGAAAATTTCCAGCCTGAAAAGGACAAAAAGACAGTTGATAACTTACCTCAAGGCGTGGTTAGTTCACCTTTCCTTGACTGGTGAATCGGGAGGTAGATACAAATAGGTACGGGGCAGCAATTCAAGTCAATCGGCGTATGGTAATCGGTGGTCATTTGTATGCGACCGGGTACTATCTCTATGGTACCTGGAAAGAACCTGTTAGGTATCTGGATGCTACCGGGTAGGTACCTGAAATTCGCGATTGCCATTGGCTGGCACATCGGTCGTTTATATACCATCAGTGTTTTTTACACCTTTCCAAGTCTCCCAGGGTCTTATTGGATAAAGCTGACACAAAAAATAACGACCCGGGTAGCAATTCCAGACTTTTCGATAGCAATCGCAAATGTCAGGTAGCTACCCGGTAGCATCCAGATACCGACCCGGTACTATCCAGTTACCATAGAGATAGTACCCGGTTGCATACAAGTGTCCACCGGCTACCATACGCCGATTGACTTTTTCAAAAGTTGCTATCAGGTAGCTATTTGCATCGACTTCCCGATTTACCTCTGTTAGCTCAAATTTTTCTTATTTTTCCAGGCGAACGATAATAGCCGGCTGAACAATCGTTCCCCAATAAATATTCCCAAGGTGATTTTGAAAATTTTATAGCCTTTTTATCCTTAATCCGTGTTAATAATATTCAGGCCGAGGAAGAAGCTCCACCTTCTTACAGCTCCCTTTTTGGAGAAGCAGCAACTCGAAAAGATCCGAATCAGGTTAAACTAAAATTAAGAAATTTCCGAAAATGAAATCCTCTTGGAAAGAAACCTTAACAAACTCGATTTTTCAGGACCCGCCGGTCCGTAAGCAAGAGAACAATAAGTTCCAGCCAGCTGTGCCAGTTCGAAATTATGCGGGTGCACTCCCAAAGAAAGCACCTTTGGAAAATCAGGTTAAACTTGAATTTGAAAAATTGTCCGCTTATTGAAAAACCGAGGAACGCCAGAGTAGTCTTTAGTCGGGTTCGTGATCTCGTGCAGGGACAAAATAGGGCTCCCTTTTTCTTCCTACGCCTTTGTACCGCTTGAGCGGCGTCGGCACCCCAAGTCAATTAGCCGCGGTCTTACCCTAATATCAGTGAAAATCAGTGGACTGGCTCTAGTGACGTATCCGTCCTTCTGTGTGACCGTTGGGCATTCTTGAAGTCGTGGTTTCCCACTATAGCTGGTTCACGGCTGGCTTGAGCCATCGAAAAAAGGGTCTTGACACGATAATGCACGAGATAGTGCCTGGTCGACCGCTAAAAGGGAGAGGCCACAGAAAAGGAGCACGAGACAGCGCCTGGTTCGTCGAGAGCGCAGACAAGACACGCCCTCTTAGCGTCCCAAGCTGGCCGTGAATCAGCTATACCAACATTTCTTAAACTTGCGTCGAGGCGGGGATCGAACTTGTGACCCTGTGGACCGTCACACAACCTGTTGCGCTACGGCTTGCCCTCTCAGGGAACCACTCTGGCGTTCTTAAAAATAAGTCACTCAAAACGAAAAACTTTATGTAGGCCTTAACAAAGGGTTTTCAGGATCCACCAGCTCGTAACCGTGAAAGGAATAATTTCCAGACACCTGTAGTATCTACTAAAAACGAATCAGAGAAAGATCAATTTCTTGAAGCTAAGGACGCCTTCAATAACTTAGATGGAAGAGCTGTTCAAACTATTAAAAATTTTGACGCCTATGCTTATGAAAGCCTCCGCAAGTTTTTCAACCAATAAAGTATCAGAATAAGTTCATTAAACTTAGGGACCAGGGATGCACGATTTTTCGAGATATCTCGAGACGAGATCGTGTCTCGTGCATCTCTGTTAGGGACCGCAACCAATTTTTACAAAAATATCAAATGATATGTTTTTCTTAATGTTCGATGGAGGAAATTATCTATAATCATAACCAGTTAAGTTTTTCTAAAAAGGTCCGCTAACCAGGGAATGGTCTCAGCTCACAGTGGGACTTCTGAATGAGACCACGTTTCCTAGATGTAGTTTTTCATGCTGGTTCCAAATCCGTTCTCAGAAGCTGCCAATTCCATGGTTTTTCGTGACCAGAGGGACAAGACCTATACATCCTCCAAAAATGAACTCAATCTGAGACTATGATATTTTTGACTTTTGAAGGTCCATAACTTTTTTCACAGACCTCGGTGGCAGCTTTTGAGAACGGATTTGGAACCAGCATGAAAAACTACATCTAGGAAAAGTGGTCTCATTCAGAAGTCCCACTGTGAGCTGAGACCATTCCCTGGTAAGAAAAAAGTTAGGGTCAAAAAAATAGCGCAGTAAATCTCACGGTCTTTTTAATCCATTTTGCGACATTCTGAACCATTTGTAAGTCTTTTTTTTTTGTTTTCAAACGCATCGTAGTCTGTGCTGAACATAATTTCTATCTTATTTCATAAGTTCCGCATAACATAAATTCAAAAGTTGACATCGTGAAAATTTTTCAATTTGAACGTTACTTCTTCTAAACTTTTCCAAATTGCTTCCAACAACTGCGTGAACCAGAAAAACAGAGCTAACATCAATAAATTTTTAGAAAAAAACATAAAAAAACCGATGGTTTTGAATCAAATTTTTTTCGAAATTTTCGAGGTTAAAAACGCGCTAAGTAGCAGAATGACGCAATCCTAACCCCAAACGCGCAAAATTTAATTCGAAAAAAATATGGAAAGTAGCTTATTTAACGAATCATTCTTTTTTTAAGCCCGAATCCTCCAATTAATTTTAGAATTTGAAAATAACAAGGAAAACTTTATAGAATCGTTTTGAAAGGTGATGCTATTGCTGGAAATATTTTTGGAGTAAACGTAGAAAAGCGTCACTTGTTTGTAAATTCACAATTTCTTTTTAAACACTGTTTCCGGCCAAAATTTTTCTAAATTGGTTTTATATATGTGTAAACTAATTTTTTCCAGTATATAAAATGCGGAAAACCGTTTTTGCAACAAAAAATGGCGCGTTTTTTGAGGTTGCGGTCCCTACATTTAACATTACGAAAAAATAATCAAAAAAATACTTCTAATTATTTTAACCATATTTCGTTCAACCTTTATATATGAAAAACATTGTTACCCTTTTTGCTCATTTCAACTAGAAATGTTGTTTTTTCGTTATTACCGTTTATACTCATTTTATAAGTTTTTTTTTTCAAAAACTTGTCGTATCGCGATAAAAAAATTATAATGTTGTAAGTATGAAGAATTTCAAGACTTATGTGAAGGCCAAAAAAATATTAGTAGGTACGTACGTAAGTATTCATTTTTTTTTTATGTCCCTTGTACCCTTTTTTGATGTGTTTCCCGTCTGTATCGAACTTTTTTGTTATATTTATATTTATCTGAATGTACGTGAAAATAAAGCATTTTTTGCGTTCTTTCACTTGTGTCACTTTAAGAAAGAGAGAGAGGAAAAAAAATTACTGAAAAATTTTCGCGCATTGTCAATTGTTACACGAAGGCCCATAACGAAGTAGTTTCGTGATTCTCAAGAATTTAAAAAAACATTTTGATGTGGAATCAGCGTAAAATAAGACCCCAAACTTTGAGTCCATCGATCGAATCGAAGAATTTTTTTCCGTGACGTCACACTTCGGCGCGGCGTTTTTTCGACGACGCCACGCCCACTTTTTCTCCGTAAAGTGTCGTGTGTCGTGTGCATGCACTGCGCCGCTTTCGCACAGAAAATTGCATTTATGAAGAGAAATTTCGATTCGTCTTAAAGACATCTGGAAAGACGGCGGCCTGCGCCTTAAATATGTCCTGTTATTTATGCTGTTATAGACGATATCTCTGCCGTTCCCATGACGTCACTTGGGATAGGCGGATATCTTGGCTCCGCCCACCGTTTTTTTGGTTTATCTTGGCTCCGCCCACCGTTTTTTTGGTTTATTTTGGCTCCGCCAACCGTGTTTTTGGTTTATTTTGGCTCCGCCCACCGTTTTTTGGTTTATTTTGGCTCCGCCCACCGTTTTTTTTTTGTGTTTATTTTGGCTCCGCCTACCGTGTTTTTGGTTTATTTTGGCTCCGCCCACCGAGTTTTTGGTTTATTTTGGCTCCGCCCACCGTGTTTTTGGTTTATTTTGGCTCCGCCCACCGAGTTTTTGGTTTATTTTGGCTCCGCCCACCGAGTTTTTGGTTTATTTTGGCTCCGCCCACCGTGTTTTTGGTTTATTTTGGCTCCGCCCACCGTGTTTTTGGCTTATTAACAAAAACGCCGTGGAGGGGTCATCAGAGGAAAGTGGACCTCACTTTCAACTTCTGAATGAACTGATCACACATTTGGAATCAGCGTAAAATTTGGAACAAAATGGACCCTAAACATCGAGCAAGCGTAAAAAAGGTTGGATTCCGTTTCTTTTTTTTCCCGGTTGAAAACTGCCGCCAGCCTGGAAAATCACAAGTCGTCCTCCTAGTCTTGTTCGTTTGTGCTTGACCTAAAAATAAAAAAATCAAAAAAATTTTTAAATTTTAAACAAGAAAAAAATGACATCGAGTTACCTGCCGACAGACCCCCCTTGACCGTCGCCGCCTTCTACCGGTCGCCGACCTGGAAATAAAAATATTACTTGGGAAATTATTCGGTTTTCGTTTTGCCCACCCCGTGAGAAAGCCCCCGTATTTTTTGATTGGATCACAAAGATTCTCTAAATTTTGGGTTTCTTTTTTTTGGACCTCTATAGATTTTTTTAATTTCCTTTTTTTGAGAACTCATTGAGAAACTATAACTCAACAAGAAAATTTGAAGAGATGTATTGACACTTACTCCATCTCTTCAAAAAAAAAAAAGGGAATAGAAAACGAAAGATCACAGCTTTGTGTGAGCTGCACGGAACTTGGTTCGAAACGAGAAACTTTGACTTTTGGATCAAAAATCGGGAATGAGAAGAAGAAAAGTTTAGCGGGCCCCGATAGGGGCAAAATAGAGGTTCCCGCGGGTGAAAATGTTCGGAGCCCCAACTAAGAAAAGTTTAGGGGGCCCCGATAGGGATTTTGCCATTTCGGGGCCCCGATAGGGGGTAAAATAGGCCACCCCCACAAGGGGAAAAACTTTAGGAGTCCCTATAGGGAATACATTTTTAACTTCTAAGAAAGTTTAGAGGGCCCCATTCGAGGTTAAAATTGGGGCTCCCTGCAGGAGGAAAATTTTGGGAGCCCCTGTTTAAGAAAAACTTTAGGGGCCCCTGATAGGGATTTGGCCATTGGGGGTATAGGGGGCGAAAATGGGGGCCTCCCACAGTGGGAAAAGTTTAGGGGGCCCGTCTATGAAAATTTTAGAGAGCCCCGATAGGGATTTCGCCGTTTCGGGGCCCCGTTAGGGGTTAAAATTGGGGCTCTCGCGAGAAGAAATTTCAGGAGCCCCGTCTAAGAAAAGTTTAGGGGGCCCCGATTGAATTATATGACCATTTCGGGGCCCCGATAGGTGGTGAAATGGGGGCCCCACAGGGGGAAAAGTTTGAAGGGCCCCGATTGAATTATATGACCATTTCGGGGCCCCGATAGGTGGTGAAATGGGGGCCCCCACAAGGGGAAAAGTTTTAGGGGGCCCCGATATAAAGATTTCGCCTTTTCGGGGCCCCGTTACAGGGCACTAAGGGGCTCTCGCAAGGAGAAGTTTTAGGAGCCCCGACTAAGAAAAGTCCAGGGAGCCCCGATAGGGATTTGACCATTTCAGGGCCTCGGTAGGGACCCCGGAGCTTCTCTCGAACCCCTCAAACGATTCGGGGTTCCTATAGGGAATAAACTTTTTTTGAAGTTTCTAAGAAAAGTTTGGGGGGCCCCAATAGGAATTTCGCTCTTTCGGGGCCCCATTAAGGGTTAAGATTGGAGCTCCCGCGGGAGAAAATTTTGGGAGCCCCGTCTAAGAAAAGTTTAGGGGGCCCCAATAGGGATTTGACCGTTTCGGGGCCCTGATACTGGCAAAAAGGAGGGCTCCCGCGGGAGGAAATTTCGAAGCCCCGACTCAGTAAAGCTTAAGAGACCCCAGTAGATTTGGTCATTACAGGGCCTCGATAGGAACCCCGGAGCTTTGATCCTACCCCCTATAGGGGCCCCAAAACCACATTTTTGTTGATTTAGGGGCCCCTACAAGGGACCGCACTTGTCCCAACCTTTTCTTAGGAGAGACTTTTGAAACCAAAAAGCTTTTTTTTGCATACCACTACAAAGAGTAAAATTGGAAAATTGAGAAAATATTCTCATCTTAAATATACCGATAAGATCTGAAATAAATCAAAATTTTTTGATATAGCTTAAGTAAATTGACTAGAAACTGTGCTCCGATTAGGCTTGTGCGAGGGCCGGCCCGTCAACCTCCCGGCCATTTCCCAAGCCCGGTCCGGGGACTCAAGGAGGTTTTAAGCAAAAAAATCTCCGGCCCAAAAAAAGCTCGAATTTTCTTCAAGTTGAAATTTTCTTTTTTTGATTTTTTTCGCTTATTTTTTTCCTTATAGAGTTATTAGATACTATGATTCTACAAGTAAAAATAATTTTTCGGTAAAAATTGTTTAATGTAACTAAACAATTTTTTCGAAGCCGGACAAGCTTTTTCTCAAAAATAAAGATGCAAGTTTTAAACAAAATCTAGCGTCATTCATGAGAAAAATCTCTACGTGTCGCGAATTTTGGCAGAAATGAAAAAAACAAAGAAATGCTCTTCGAAAATCTTTGTAAAATCGGAAAATATCTTTGATTGTTCGTGGTAAATTTCGAAGGCGGTTGGATTTTACAAAAAAAAGTTTTTGATTTAGCCTTTTTTTCTGAAAATCGACGAAAAGCTTCTGGAAAATTTCGTTTCGCTACTTCAAAGGCAACACCTCGAAAAAATTTTTGCAAAATGGAGCTCAATGAGAGAAAAAAAGACTATAATGGAAGCCTTTTTGAGCTAAAAAGTACAAAAACATTGAAAATTTGACTTATATAGCATTGAAAATGTTTGAAAATTGGACGTTTTGCGACTTCAACGACTAAATCTCGGAATGAATTCGTAAAAAAAAGCTCGAAAGAGCGAAAACATATAATGACAGCCTTTTTTGTGCTTAAAAAGACGAAAAACATTGAAAATTGGACGTTTTGCTATTTTTAATGGCAAAACCTCGGAATAAATTCGTAAAAACTGAGTCCGAAGGAGCGAAAAAATTAAATTGAAAGCTTTTTTTGTGCTAAAAAGGACGAAAAACATTGAAAATTGGGGACTTCAAGGGCAAAAACTTCGAAAAAAATATTAATAAAAGTTGAGTTTTTAAAAGAGCGAAAAGTGATGATGAAAACCTTTTTGAGTTAAAAAGGACGAAAAAATTGAAAATGTTCAAAAATTGGACGTTTTGCGAATTCAACGGCTAAATCTCGCAATGAATTCGTAAAAAAATTGAGCTCGAAAGAGCGAAAAAAATTGAATGAAAGCCTTTTTTTGTGCGAAAAAAAACAAAAAACGCTTTTAAAAAAACTTTTTAAAAAAATTAGACGCTTTGCTATTTTTTTAAAAACCTCGGAAAAATGTGGACGAGCTTGAGAGTGATAATGAAAGCCTTTTTTGTGCAAAAAAAAAGACGAAAAACATTGAAATTTAGACGTTTTGCGGCTTCCACAACAAGACCTCGGAAAATTTTTGTAAAAATTGAGCTTAAATTGTGAAAAATGGGCTTCAAGGGGCGAAACAAATTAGAAAGCCTTTTTGTGCTAAAAAAAAAAGGACGGAAAACGTATGAAAAATTTGAAAAATAGATATTTTTCCTCGGAAATGGTGTAAGAATTGAGCTCGAAGGAGCGAAAAAATTGGAATGAAAGCCTTTTTTGAGCTGAAAAAACGAAAAAGCTAAAAAAAAACAGTTCTAGTTCCTGGGTGAAAAACCACGGTTCAACACAAATAGAAATAAGATCAACAGGGCATTTCAAAAAGGAACTCGACTGTCAAATGAACTGAATGAGTGAAAAAAATAATAACTCTAGCCTTTTTTTTAAACAAGGGGAAAAAAAAATGTATAATCGCTTGAAAAAAACGGCATTTTTCTGCCTCCTACTTTGAACCATTTTTGAGAATTTAATTGAAAAAAAGAGTAAGAAAAATTTTTTTCAGCAAAAAAAGAAAAAAACGAGACATTTTTTTCTGAAACCATGAAATAGAGGATGTAGGGCAGTGCCGTAATACCTCAGAAGGAAAAATGCACCGTGTAATTTCGAATAAAAATAAAATTTTGATACAGTTTTTGAACAGCCATTTTCGATCTAACTTTGCAAAAAAGGAAACGCAGAGCATCTAAGCTCCGCCTTTTATAAAATAAATAGATAAAATTGGGGAAAAAAACTTGAAAAATGATCAAAAAAATTTGAAAGACTTGAAAATGAAAAAAAAGGCTCTCAACCAAACGAGGCTTCTGAAGCAAAAAAAAATAGCAAAAAACAAACTCACCAAGTACCTCAGCATTGTTCTTCACAAAGGGCAGCCATGAAGATCCAAAAAAAAAATTAATTAAAATTTCGGTTGCGGCTGTTTTTAGCCAGCACTGAAAAGAAAGTCGGCAAAAATGAACTTGAGAAATGATCAAAAAAACTCGAAAGACTTGAAAATGAAAAAAAAAAACTTTCAAACTAGCCTTCTGGCGAAAAAAAAATGAAATAAAATAAACTAACCGATAAACTCACCATTGTACTTTGCAAAGAGCAGCCATGAAGAACCAAAAAAAAATGAATTAAAATTTTGGTTGCGGCTGTTTTTAGCCAGCATTAAAAAAATTGGCGAAAAAAAAATTGTAAGATTGAAATATAGACCAAAAAAATGAGTAAAGTACTGAAAAATGGTGAAAAAGATCAAAATTGGCTGTTTTAGAGCCTCTTATCCACTTCCACTTCACCAAAGTGAAGAAGTGTGAAAAAAAAAATGAGAAATTTCAGAAAGGACTGTTTTTAGCCCGTCAAGTGTAAGGACTCGCTATGATGAGCGAGCTTGGAAAATCTCCCGGAAAAACCCTACGGAGAAAACCAGAGACCGAAAAGTTACGGTTCTGTATGAAAAAAGCGAAAAAGAAAATCTTCGGAAGAGGCCTTTATTGAGCCTCTTTTCCCTTTGAACTTCACCCTAAAGAAGCCAAAGTGTTCGGTAATGAAATGAATGAAAGCTCCAACTAGGACTGTTTTGAAGTCCGTCTCTGAATAGCTGAAACTCGTTTAAAACGAGTAAATCATCAAATAAACCTACGGAAAGCACCATCAGTAACCGAAAAATGACGTTACTGGTTAAATGAAAGGCATTCAAAAGTCTAAAAAGAAGAACGAGTAAAAAAAAGATGTAAATGCAGAAAAAGAAAAAGACTAATACAGACCCAGCCTTAGACGTTTTTTTCTTTTCGTCTTTTTTTATATTTTTTTTTTTAGTTTTTTTTATTTTTTTTTAGTTTTTTTATTTTTTTTATTTTTTTTGTGTTTTTTTTGTGTTTTTTTTATTTTTTTGTGTTTTTTTTTTTTTTTGTGATAAGGCCTTGTCCGTATCAAAATACTACACGTAGCGGAGATTAAATTAAAAAAAAAAAAATGACTTTTTGAATGCCTTTCTAGGAATAGAAAGAAGAGAAAAAAGAAGAACAATTTGAGAATCTAAAATTTAAAAAAAAAGAAAAGAAAAAAAAGAACAACTTTGGATAGCACAGAAGGTATAAAAAACAATAAAAAGCGAAAAAAAAATCCTCCCCGGCCCTAACAGAACTTCCGGATCCTCGTCTTGAGCTTCTCCAGGCCATCGTCCGTGACTGGGCGACCCTCGACGATCTTCTTGAGGGTCGTGATGGCGGCACCCAAGCGCTCCGTCCTCCTCAGCTCTTCGACGGTCATGCCGCCATCCACGCGCCGAAGGAGTTCGGCGCGCACCTCTTCGAGGATTTCTGCTGGCGCCTTGGCGTCCATGTCCAGCTGCTGGGGCTGGACCTGCCGGGCCACGGGGAGGCCGCGGAGCCTCCGCGAGCAGCGCTGCGGAGGGCCGTAGAACGGCGCTCGTGGCTGGAACAATTTTGCTGTTGTTGTTTGTTCGAACTCAAGAGGAGTTCTGACTTTTGAGTTATTCTGTAGTAACGTGGTGGGGAAACGTCAGAAAAAGTTTGGCGCCAAATTTGTAATCTCAAGTACGCAGCCAAATGTATTCTTCATGCCGTTGAATACTCAGTTTCATTCGCAACGATAGGTATAGACGATTCACGGCTAGCTTGGGACGCAAAAAGGCGTGGCCTGTCTGCACTCTCCACTAACCAGGGCACTGCCTCGTCTCTTTTCGTGACAGGACCTTTTTCTCGATGGCTCAAGCCAGCCGTGAATCAGCTACAGCTGTGACGTCACAGTCCTTTTATCCGGAGCGCGCACTTACTATTTTTGTAAATTCAGAAACTTTGTCGCTCACCTTCCCTCACCCCATTAGGAATGCCGTGAAACGGGATAAGGAGACGTAAAAAACATTTTTGCGCGAAAATTCAAATCTCAAGTACGCAGCCAAATGAGGAGTAGGGTGTTCTTCATGCCTGCAAATCTAAGTACACAGACAAAGTGTTGACGTTGAGTACTCAGTGTAGTTTGTGACGTTGCTTTGACGTAGAATGATGCGTCGTGACTTTACTTTATCCGAAGCGCGCACTTACATTTTTTGTAAATTCAAATACTTTGACGTTTCGCTGACCTTCCCTCACGCCATTAGGAATGCCGTGCGGCGGGAAGTTTTTCTCAAAAACGCGCTTTACGCACAACTGCTTAATAAAAGCTTTAAGCTTTCAGCCTTTATGAGGGATCGCCAAGCTCCGCCCACTCCAAACCGTACATCAAGAAGTTTTCTGACCTATGTTCAGGAAATCGCAAAGAAAAATGACCTTTGTTTTTTTAATAAACCGAGTTTAGGATTGCTAGGTGAATTGAGAAACTTGTTACCTGACGAGCCTTCGGACGGCGCACTGGCCCTGGAGCGGCAGCCGGTGTTGGTGGCGCCGCAGCCAGGACGGGAGCCGCCGGAGCCGCTGCCGTGGGGGCCGGTGTTGGTGGCGCGCCCACTGCAACGGCGGCCGGGACGGCTGGCGGGGCGTCGTCTTCCGGTTCGTCGACCACGGCCTCCTCGTTGGCCGGACTTTCAATCCCTTCCTTCAATTTAATCATGTAGTATATTATAGGCCAAATACTCAAGATGACTCTACATAATTCAAAACTTTGATCACAGGAAAAAACCTTTCAAGCCTTGAACTTCATGAAACTTTTGGAATTTTTCTTTCCAATAAACGGACTAAATCGATCGAGTTGAAGCTTTTACTTTGTACGCGGCATGTACGAGAACGTCGCAGTGCATGCACACGATACACTACACTTTACGGGAAAAAAGGCGTCGTCAAAAAAAACGCCGTGTTAAGAGTTTATTATGTTCTCAATATCGATCCTCAAGCTTTTTTTAATTTTCGTCTAATTTTTTTAAATTTTTCGTCTAATTTAGAGGGATTTTTAAAATCTTTCCAAGAAAGCATCATAATAGGAATATAAAAAAAAACCAGCGTGAGATGAGAAAATTATCAAGGTTTTAATCTTTTTCCTGACGTTGTTTCTGTGAATAATCATTTTTTAGATACCAAAGCTTTATTCAATGTAGCCTATTGTAAGAAGTAGACCAACCTCAACCGGGGCTTCATCGGGAGATTCGGCCTCTTCTTCGGCGGCGCGAGCAGCCCTTTCCTCTTCGGCGGCTTCAAGGGCCCTCCTCTCTCCTTCTCGCAGGAAGAAAGAGTCTTCCGTGGAGATCTTAAATAATTTTTTTTTTGAAATATACTTATATTCGCAGTCAGGTTCCTTTTTAGGGGTTCCGAATTTTATCTAGAAGAGAAAATCTGATATTTTTTTCATATGGACGCATTCTCACTGTATGAATTCCGTCTACCGCGACTTGACAGTTTTCGCGTGTCTGCGTCTCTCTGTTCCCTCACCGGCGAGGTCAGAGAAAAATGGAGACAGCACGTAAAATTGAGAGAGACGTCTAGAGATAAGGAGGGCGCAGAGAAGTCCCGCCCTTTCAAGTCGCGAAAAACGGACCATTTTTTTTCAGATTTTGCAAACATCGTCGACCTCAAAGACAAAGTAATTCGAAGACTAACCGTTTCCGACTCGGGGAACTCTTCGGCGGCTTCCAACTGGAAGAGCAGGAGCACGTCTTCTTGTTGCTCACTGAGCGGGACCTGAAGAAAAAAAAAATGTTGGTGAGCCCAATCTTTTTGTAATTCAATATCATTTTTTCACTTTTTTGAATTTTCGCCTACTCTTTGTACATAAAACACACGGCGTTTTTTTGACGACGGCCAAATTTTTGCCGTGAAGTCTAGTGTGTCGTGTGCATGCACTGCGGCACTCTCGCACATACCATGTTCAAAATTTTTGCGAATTTCAGTTACATCATTTTTTTTTTTCATTTTCTATTACTAACAAAAACGCCGTGATACCTAGTCCACGGTTGAGTTACATGAAAATATTTGTGATTATAAATGAGAGAATCAAGATATTAAATTTATATAGCAAGATGAGAAAGGTACCGGGGAAGAGAAGCTGGATGACGATTCTTCGGAATCGTGCTCTCCTCCTTCTTGAGCCGCGGATTCGTCGTCGGGGGACAGGACAAGTTGATCTTCTTCGCCGGCGTTCGGAGAGAACGGCTGAAGGAATTTTTTGAAAATCCCACCAAACTTTTTTTTTGCAGTGCCTTTAGATGCTTTTGGTTACTCTTTTTGAGCGAACTCCTGACTTTAAATCGCGGAAAAAAATTTAATCATTTTACTTTGTCAGACCTGAAGTCTTCAGGCTGAAGATTCGTAAACTTCTGACATAGGCAACGTCGAAAAGGGTGGAAAAGACTCCATAGAAATGTTCCTTTTTTGCTGCCTTTTTGGCCCATTTTATCGGCTGTTCTGCACCATTTTTACTGCCACTTCCTTTTTCCACCATTTCTTGAGCCTTTAAAATTCCAAAAAGGTTAGATGAAGGGAACTCTTTTTGCTGCCTTTTTGCTCCCTTTTTGCTGCCTTTTTGCTCCCTCCCTGCTCCCTTTTTGCTGCCTTTTTGCTGCCTTTCTGCGGCCTTTTTTGAGCCTTTCTTTTTAGCGACCATTATCCACCATTCCGACTTTGTCCGAGGATTCACATTTCCACAAGTTCAATTTCAGTATTAACAATTTTACTATATAAAAGTTTTGAAAACGCTTTCAAAGTTGAACCGATTCAACACTTTTCTCACAAAATTTTTTTCTAATGATTTTTTTTTTTGGTTCCGATGGATATAAAGTTGATGAGAAGGCTGTGTTTTATTTCTTAGTTTTAAAAAAACCTTTGGTGGTGCGGCTGATCTGCTTTGCGAAGCATGCTTCTTCCTTGCTGTGATGTAAGACGTCGTGCTCGGCATCTGTAAATTTGATTTTTTTCGGTGATTTTACTGGAAAACTGTACAGAGAAAAGACATTTTTGGGCGCTACTATGCATGCGTTTTCCGCATTCGAGTATCGTAGCTTCATCATTTTTTCTCTATTCAGAAATAATAATAAGCGAAATTGTTTTATTTTTTACAAGCTCTGATTGTCAGAAACTTCTGTGAACAGGCTTCTAATTGATAAAACTCGACCTCTATTGGATTGAAATGGTTCTCTTCTTTTTTTGCTGCTTCTCCCTTTTTCCTCCATTTCTTGAAAAAATGGAAAGCTCGATAAAACCTTTCTTTGATTAGTAGCAAATCATTGAAGTTGCCTTTTTTGAAAATTTTCTTTCAATGGTAGAAAAGAACTGAGTTTGTAGACTAACCACCAACGGTTCGCTCATTTCGGGGATCTCCGCCTTCAAAATGGCGGGATCTTCCACGGGAGGATCGTCTCGTGCCGTCTCCACGACCTCGGGCTCTTTGAGCTCTACCGTCTCCTTGTACTCCTCGACTTTCTCGGGCTCCAAGGCCTGTTCAGGCTCTACCGCCTCCTCGGGCTCCACCGCCTCCTTGTACTCCTCGACCTCCTCGGGCTCCTCGGGCTCCACGACCTGCTCGGGCTTCAAGGCCTCTTCAGGCTCTACGGCCTCCACGGGCTCCACGGTTTCCTCTGGCTCATCATCTTGAACTTCGTCCTGAATCATATCATTTAAAAACCGGATATTCTCTTTTTTCTTTCTCAATTTTTTTTCAATCAAAAAGTCAAATCTAGCATTCGTTCCGCTCGAAATACCCCCTGTTTTCCTGCTTTCAGAAAACTTTTTTTCCTGTTCTTTCTAGCTTTCGAAAGACTTTAAACTCAAAATGGTGCAACATTAGTTTCAAACTTACTTCAATTGTATAAAAAGTTCTGTTTAATGAATCAAGTTGTCCAATATCATCCCCAATAAAGATTATTGGTCAAATTGAAATTTTACGACGGAGAACGGAAAAATAAAAGGTTCGTTTTTACACTTTTTCAATCAAGTTCTCGCAAGTTCGTTTAATGAATGTTTGTTTAGTTTATTTACTTTTGTTTTTAAGGATATTTTTCTACTATTCAAATGTGGATAACCAGTATTTAACATATCCAAGAAATTTTCATATTTTGAAACATTCTCATGGCGTTTTCATCGGAGAAAGGGAACGTTTCAGAAGTTTCGAATCAAAACGCGAATAAGCAATCATCGTCGCCTCAAACAGTTCTAATTATTGTTTTACAACAACGTTTCGAAACAAGTTTTATTTTTGCGATGAAGACGCTATTCAAATAATTTCATTAAGGTGTTGAAAAAAAGGCAATATGCATTTTTCCAGGCTTATTATTTTTGAAATTCAAGTCGACTGGTGATACCTTGTGGGGGTTCATTTCTCCCTTTGATTGACATGCGTTTTTTCGGTTCTGGTGTGAAAAACGGGCTCTTTATGTTGTAAATTTGAGCTTAACTGATGATATTTTATCCCTTTTTTTTTTGAATTGATTACAAAATCATTCGGCGTCCTTCAGTCTTTCTGTAGAATTTTAAGCTTTCAATTAATTACTCAAGTGGTCTTGGCGCCTCTTGAAAGTTCACTTAGCATTATTTTATATATTTTTTTTCGTAGGCCCTTCATTTTTCCATTAAATTGATGAGTTCAATTAAGTCACATTTAGATTTTGTTTTTCAAACTCATTTTTTAAATGCAGAGGCTTTTATCGAATTTTTTCTGAACTTTTTGAAAAAGTGTTTCAAAAAAGAAATGTGATCGGTTTTAAAATTAGCATAGGCCAAGTCAGAAAGGGTGGAAGAGGCTCCTTTATTGCCGTCTTTTTGCACCATTTCATCGGCCTTTATGCGCCATTTTTGCTGCCTCTCCCTTTTCCACCATTTTTTGAGCCTTTGAGATCCCAGAAAAAAATGGAAGGCTCGATAAAGGGACCCTTTTTGCTGCTTTTCTGCGGCCTTTTTTGAGCCTCTGCCTTTTTGCGGTCATTATTCACCATTCCGACTTTGTCCGAGAGCATGAAACTTTGATTTTAAAAAAAACTCACGTCGAAAGAATCAGCACAATGCCATTTTATCGTTGGCGCATCCTCCGCGTCTTCTCCTGCTTTCCTTTTCTTGGCTTCGTTCTGGGGACCCAGAAGCGCTCGCTGAATCAAATTCGCTTGACTTATTAATAATTTTATTCGGGAATTGGCCTATCCTTGCGCTTTCTGGATGAATAAAAGAAATTTTTGTTTTTCCGCAACTTTTTTTTTGAAATTGTAATGGAAGAGAGTCTACAGTAGATTTGAAATTTCGGCATTCTGCTCGGCTTTTATTGATTCTAGAGAGCCCAATGAGCTTATAATGGATAAAATGGATTTTTTTTTGGCTCGTAATGTTGTTTTTATGAAGCCCATAGCTTCTCGAAGCTCAAGCTTGGAATTTTAATAATTTTGCAATATGGGAATTTTGAAAACGCTTTGAAGAATTGAACCCATTCAATAGTTTTCTCACAAAATTGTTTTTAAAATGGTTTTTTTTTTGTTTCGGTGGTCATAAAGTTGATGAGAAGGCTGATTTTCATTTCTTAAGTGTTGGATTTGAAAAAAAACCTTTGGAGGAATGGCTGATCTGCTTTGAGAGGCGTGCCTCTTCCTGCATGTGATGTGAGACGTCGTGCTCGGCATCTGTAAATTTTATTGTTTTGGTGATTTTACTGGAAATCTGTACAGAAAAAGACATATTTGAGCGCTACTATGAACGAATTTTCACTATTCAAGTATCGTAGCTTCATCATTTTTTTTTCTCTTTTTAGAAATAATTATAAGCGAACTTTTATCTAATTTTTTCATGCTTTCATCGGTAAAACCTTCTGTAAATAGTCTTCTAACTGGTAAAACTCAACCTCTATCGGATTTACATGGTTTATTCATAGGCAAAGTCGGAAAGGATGGAAAAGGCTCCATAGAAATGTTCCTTCTAGGGTGACAAAGGCTCCTGTTTTGCTGCCCTTTTGCGCCATTTCATCGGCTATGATGCACCATTTTTGCTGCCTCTCCCTTTTTCCACCATTTCTTGAGCCTTCAAAATCCCAGAAAAAATGGAAGGCTCGATAAAGGGAACTCTTTTTGCTTCCTTTTTGCTGCCTTTCTGTGGCCTTTTTTTAGCCTCTCTCTTTTAGCGGTCGACCAGGCACTATCTCGTGCATTACCGTGTCAGGACCCTTTTCAGAAAAAGTTAGGAAACGGCGCAAAAAGGCAGCATAAAGAAGCATTTTTCGAACCTTTTTGACGTTTTCTATGTTCACATTTTGGGGCGTTAGCTTTCAGTAATCTCATCCGAAGTTTTAATAGATTAAAAAGGAATATTTTGTATAGTCTGTGTACCGCGACTTGGAATTTCACCAAACGACATTCCGTTGTGCCTCTGCGCGCCTTCGCGAACCTTGGACGCGCATTTTTTATTTAATTATTAAGTAACTCTACTTTCATGTGCTCCCACAGCAATAACAATCAATTGAAAGCGTGATATATATTCGAGAGATGCTTCGCGAACGCACGCAGCGGAACAGCGGAATGTCGTTTTGTGAAATTTCAAGTCGTGCACAAAGACTATTATTGAAAACTCTGAAGAAAATCAGAAAACGGACTCTGGCATTGTCGGGCGAGTCGGAACGAGTCGTGCGACTCGGGCTTGGCTGTGAGAGAGCTTCGTTTTCTTGCCTCTGATCTTGACTTTGTGGCCGGACGTCGTTTTCCTCATTCACAGTTGGCTGAAAAATATATCCATTTAAAACAGTCGAATAGATCATATCATTTTTGTGATCCGCGTTGACTTAAAAAATTTTAGATCAGTTCCTATAGGGGTTAGGGTGAAGAACAGTCTCTGTAAAGATCGAAAAAGGGGTCCCTATAGGGGTAAAATCAAGATAATCATTATGGGAGTTTAGAGTCTGACTCCTTAGCCTGTAAAGCTTAAGTGGTCCCTATAGGGGTCTATCGATCTTATTGGAAAAACGCCCATTTATTCAGTTTTCCCATGGTAGTACTTCTTTGCATAGAGTTTATAAAAGTTACCGACTAGCATGTCCCCTATAGGGACCACTTTGCGAGCTTTAGGGGCCCCTATAGGGGTTGGTAAAGCGGTCCATCGAAAGGAACTCTTCAAGAGCCCCTAAGGTCCCCCTATAGGGGCCACTCTGTTGTTTTTAAGTAGTTTTAGACTGAAAATGTCCCATAAGAGATTACTTGAGACTATTTGTGAAGGACTTTTCACAGTGCCTTTATATTTCATAAATTTACCGAATTAAAAAAAACGAACCTCTTCATGGGTTTCGGCGCTGCCGACGTGCTCTCGCATGACAAGGTGCTGTAAAATAGAAATTTTCTTTTTATCCAACCTTTGTCAGATTTAGTGAGTTTTCAGGTCTCTTACCGTTGGTAAGTCTTTGAATCGCTATTGATTGACATAAATTTCTCTATTTTAATAACTTATTGACCGATCAGCGTGAACCCTACCGAGTTCACTTGGATCTAGAATTCGAGAGAATACATTATACAATTACAAGTTAGGCTCTTGTTTCAAGTTCCTAATGGTCCGAAGGGCCTCAATCGATACCAAATATTTTTTTCATCCAAATAGATTCAGTTCTGAAGATTTCAAGGATTTCTAAATGTTTTGCCTGAAGTTGATCTTGGGTATCATTCGGCTCATTTGATTAGGTGTTCATTGAAGATAAAATGTTGCTTATTTTATCTCAAAAAAAGTCATTAAATTTTTAGGGACAAAAAAATGAAGAAGATCCTTTTTTTGAAGGCTCTTACACATTTCTAGAGGCGTTGGACCCTTTTTTTCTCATCCAGTATGGCCTTTCTGACATCAGAAAGGCCCTACTGAAACGTTAAGAAACTATCTCAATTTTTCAGATTTCGATTGGGTCAAAAAACTCACTGGGGTCCCGAACCAGTCCGTCATCACAGACACCTCGAAAAGCGGTGGTGCTGCACCCCGGTCTTCTTCTGACTCCGGTCTCAAGTACCGCGAGATCTGTAATGTAGCCAAGTTAGAAATATCGATAAAACATGTAGTCTGTGTGCCACGGCTTGAAATTTTACGGAACGACATTTTGCTGTACCGCTGCGCGCCTTTGCGAACCTCGGTCGCGCTTTTTATTTATTTTTTTTCTTTAATTAGGGTACTACACTTTCATGTGTTCTCACAGCAATGAAAATTAATTAAAAGCGTGAACTAGATTCGAAAGACGCTTCGCACGCACGCAGCGGAACAGCGGAATGTCGTTCCGTGAAATTTCAAGTCGTGTCACACAGTCTATAATAAAAAAATTTTTCATTATGTTCACAATGCACAAAAAAAGTATAAGAAACAGTTAAGTTTTTAGCTGATAAGGGAAAGTTTCTTTTTTTTAAAAACTTTACTTCTGCTGCCTCGTTGTCCCTTAGGACCATGGTGTACGATCGAGCAAGCTGTAAAAGTCATCTTTTTTTTTCTTTGCAGTATGAACTCTCTTCTTTAGATGGATGATATTTAAAAAATAAGGCCTTTTTTCCATAAAATAGGGTCACTCGTTATTTTTAATCTTTCGTTTGCATCTAGGAAATGTCACAAATTCTTCACATGGAAGGTAATTATTGTCATAGAAATTTTCAAAAAAAATTTCTGTTTCGAAAGAAAATGGCCATCGAACGGTTTATGAACGGTTTTAACCATGAAGTTTCGATATTTTCATCATGATCAGTCAAAAAATAAAAGTCTCAAAAAGAGTAGCGGCAAAAAGATTCGAACCTTCATCATAGGTTTCCCAGGCTACCGCGCTAGCCACTGCACCACCCTCCTAGCTGCCATGCAATGGCTAGTTGCGCGGACAGATTCCTTCCAAACTTCGTCACATGGTTAAGGATAAAAACTTTGAAGAATCATATCTCCAAAACGAAAAGTTAGCGCAAATAGCGACTATGGGGAATCGATTCCCAGTCCATCAAAGATTTTTCGAGCAAATTTTTTTGAAAATTCTGAACTTTACGCTGAAATGACTGTCTTTTTTCGGTATCGTTTGCCAAAAAAAGTCATTTAAAGAAAGGCGATCAAGTTTTTGGTCTATTCATCATTTTAAAGACAATTTTCGTTTTTCGAAAGTTCTAGAAGTTAGTTTTGTTCAAACTTTTTTCCTATTTGAAAAATTCCGGGAAAATCGTATCAAAATGGTAAGCGAATAAAATAAAGGGGAATACATATCTTTTGTCTAATACTGGTTCATTTATTCCAATAAAGCATGATTCATAGTATGTTCAGATTTTGGATGTCAAACAGGAAACTCCGCCCCCAACAACGCTCTGGGATTGGTGTGAACTATGAATAAGGGGCGGAGTTTGAGCGATATCCGAACAGACTATCAAATTTTTTTTTTTCTGATGCGGAAAACCAACATGTCGACGTATTTGGCTTGGACGAGGGCTTGGTGAGAAGTCGCGGCTGGGCTCTTCATGCCGGTTCGGCGTTGCGTTTGTGTCCATTTTGGACCTTAATGATTTTTTTTAAAGCTTCAGTGTGATAGTGAGGTGATTCAAAGGGGGGTAAAAAACGTTCCTTGGTTGGCTTGAAAAAAAAAACCAACTTCACTTGAGCGGTTTGCTCGGTTCACTGTCGATTCGAAGATCGATCGCTAGTCTGGAGATCAATGATACTCTGAAAAAAATCAGAATCTGTGATCCAAAGCGAGGAAAAACGAAAAAATACGGATCGGCTATAACCATAACTTCGCTTGAAGAAATAATAAATACAACCGCACTCCATATGAACAAGATAACTGGACATTAAACTAATGAAAAATGATGAAAAATTGCGAAAACCGAAAATGAATGAAAAATAAACAAAAATGACAACTTCTGCGACGTGGTAGTACACGTGACCACGTGAAGAAAGTTGAAAAAAAAAATAATTAAGAAAAAAAATAATTTTTTTTTCACGTAGTTGACGCCGCTCATTTCTTCTTGCAATGGAATGATCTCCATTCTCTGTTAGTGGGACTTTTGAATTCACTGAATTTTTTTTATCCTCACCTCTCTGCGCTCTCTTCTCTCTAACAGGCATGATTATTGAAATGCAGAGAGATAAGAGAGCGCAGAAAAGGCAGAGATTTTTTTTTTCACTTTTTCGCAGGTTCACTGAATGGATAGCTGATTCACGGCTGGCTTCAGCCATAGAGAAAAGGGTCCTGAAACGATAATTGAAGAGATAGTGTCCGGTTGGTGGAGGGTGCAGACAAGCCACGCCCCTCAACGTCCCAAGATAGCCGGGCTATAGTTTTTTAAGTTTGAGCATTCTCACCTCTCTGCGCTCTCTTTTCTCTAAGAAAAATGATTATTGAAATGAAGAAAGATACGAGAGCGCAGAGAAGGCAGAGATCCCCCTTCACTTTTCAGAGAAACGTTTCTTCTTTTTTCTTAAAAGCCATACGGGGCAGTAAAAAATGGGATTCGGAACGCGATAATAAAGTTGTTCCTAGCGATTTCAACGGTACATCCTGAAATCTTTAAAAAGTATATTCATGTGATAAATTATGGAATATTTTCTTCACATCAGTGACACCCGAACGGAGAAAAAAGCTCTTGGAAGCGGTTTTCACGGTGATCTCCGCTTTTCCCTTATTCGGATGGGATCCCGGATCCTGTGTTGAACTCTCCGACGTCGTGGACGGCACTGAACTTTTTTTCTTGCCTTTTGATTTTAAAAAAAGGCTCGCTTTTTGTGTTTATTATTTACACACGTATTGGTGTCAAATTATTAGGATCATATAATATAATTATTCACAAATACTATTTTTCCAAAAAGACTTTTCTATCGTGAGGTAGTTACGGTTGTTCTGACGATTTCACTCGTTGAAAGAAATTTGATTTTACCTTTTTTTTTTTTCTTAATTTTCTTAGTTGTTTGAAAATTCGTAGGAATACATTTATGAGATCTTCAATTTGTGAGATTCTCTTTCAAATTTTCGAGTCGAATCACGGCTTTTTTTGACGACGTCCATATTTTTTCCGTGAAGTGTCGTGTGTTGTGTGCATGCACTGCGGCTCTCACTCACATGCCGTGTTCACTGTAATTTTCGCGAAATTCAAAATCATCTCCGTTTTTCGAAATTCAGTTATATTTTTCACTCTCTGGCGGCTATTTTGAATTCAGCGAAATCACTTTGAACACGAAAACAGAAAAATTGCGTTTTTTAAATGAGAATCAATTCGTCTCATGACCCATTGAACATGCGCCTTTAATATCCCCTGTAGTTCAGCGTGTTTCCCATGACGTCACACGGGAACGGCGGATGTTTTGACTCCGCCCCCTTCATTTTTTCAATTTTCTTCCACTAAGAAAAACGCCGTGGAATAACTACCTGGAGATCGATCTCCATAAAAAAAATATCGAAATTGGAAGCCTTGAGATCAAAATGAATTTTTTTTTTCAAGATAACGATTTTTCCAGAAAATTTGCGAGAGTCATATTCCTTTCATCCTTTTCGAAATCACATTTATTGCATTTCGAGCACAATAACAGTCGTTTCAGGGTTTCAATCCCGTAAAATTGAAATTTAACTTGAAATTCGATCCTAGTTATAACCAAGGCGAATAACGTAAGGAAGGTTAAGGTCTTGAAAATTAAAAATATAGGTTTATAAATGTTTACTTATTAATAGCCACAACGGCTGGATATCCTACAAACGGACTCGATGCCTTCTAGACGGAGAAACAGACTTTCTTTTCCATATTTTCAGGTTTTTTTTTGGGAAGAAAGGAATATCAGACTTTTTACAACCGTTTTTTCTTGGAAGTGGGATGGCGATCAGTGGATTTGACTATTCCACGAGTTTGGACATCACCAGGAACCTCCAAAGGCTTGACCTTCCGGGCCAGTAGTATGGCCTAGAATTCTCGTATTTTAAATATTTCGAATGAAGGCGTCCTAGGGCACGGGAAGAAATTTCCGAGCTTGTTAGTTTTTTCTGATGACCTTGATCCTGCGGCTCTTATCACCTGGATAGCACGAGCCTTACTGTAATCGATGATTTTTTGGTTCAGAGGTGTAAAATTTTTAAGAGTTCTCAAGTGAACCATGAGATATATAGGGGCATCCTTTGAAAATTCATCTCTAGGGAACCACTTTAGCATCCTATAGGGGCCACTAAAGCTTGCTAAAAGGTCCCTATAGGGATATAATTGATTATTGTGCCGCTCTATGAGAAGAAGCACCTCATTGCTAAAAGCTCACTAAATCAGCTGTGTTTCCCCTAATCCCTGTAGGGGGCCACTCTTGTGACATTAAGTATGCCCCTCCAACCAAAAACATTGAATATTCATACGATATAAACGCCAGAAAGTTGTGGGACAGAAGAGCAATGAGGGGACATGAAGGTGGTGGGCGTGGCGACGGAGGACGACGACGTCTCGGTGGGCGGAGCGACGACGATGACGTCAGCGCCACCGCCGACGCGCTCCTGCGCCTGCTCCTTGGACATTTCGAGGCGTTCTTCACGCATGTCCCGCCTCTGGCGCATCATGCTCGTAATGCAGGCCAGCACGTAGACGACGCAGTACAACGCGCACAACGAGTACATCACGATCAGAACCCACTGAGCCCGGACGCTTTTAAAGTGCGGACAGTTGGAAAACTCACAGTCGGCACGTGGAGGTGCAGTTCGGTGGTTTTAGAAGACTCCGTTGTCATCTTCGACAGTTGGTTTGGATAGAAATGAAGGGAGTTTCACGATGCTTTTTAAAAAGCTTCTGATTTCGTGTGAAGAAGACGTTCTAGAAGAAAAATGAAAAAAGCCGAAACGCTGGTTGGAAAGGAAAGTCATTTCATCGAAAAATGGCAAGTACCGTGCAAGTAATCGTCGTGACCGACACAGAGGACCGAGTTGTCGCCTTTTTGCCAAATGTAAGCCGTTAGGAAAATTCCGCTGTCGCACTTGGAATGGGTTGGCGCGACGCGGTTCCGTCAGTTCGTTACGGTAGCCTTCAGGAATTTTAAGTGATGCTGTTGAAAGCTTTGAGGTATCTGGTCGCATTTGGAATGGTTTAGTGCGTCGCGCTTGCGATGAGTTTTAACTTTCGATGAGAGTTCGAGAGCTAGGTAGCATTTTCGAATGAGTTAACTCTCAGAAGTCCTAAATTTCTCAGATAGGAATTTTGTGAGATAGTCCATTTTCCGCGACTTGAAAGGGCGGGACTTTTCTGCGCCCTCCTCGTCTCTCTGCGATCCTCTCATTTTGAAGTGCTGTTTACTGTTTCTCTGACCTCGCCGGTGAGAGAACAGAGAGACGCAGACACTCGAAAACCGTCAAGTCGCGGTTGATGGACTATATGAAGTCTCAGGAAATGATTTTGTGGTCAGATGTTTTTCGAGACTGGTTTTTTGTATAAAGTAAGAGCGAATCTGTAAAATTTTTGTCGCACTTGGAATGTCTCTACGAATTTCATAAAACCTCGTTTCTAACTTTCAGTGGGTGTTCTACTCGATCGTCGCGACGGCGATATGCTGCCTCATTTGCTGCGTTCTATCGTGTTTGTGCAACATGTGCTGCTCAAGAGGAAACGGCGGAAAAGAAGCGGCCGAGGAAGAGAAAGAAGAAGAAGTCGTCACCATCGTCACCTCGAATCCGACCAACACACCGCTCTACGCTCTATGATCCTCCTTTCTTCCGATTTCCCAACAAACAGGCTATGAATTTAACTGGGTCTTGAGTTGAAAGCAGCTGACAAAGAAACTTCCCGTTAAATCGCAAACCGCTACTCCCTGACGTCATCCCTATGACATCATCTTCATTTGCAAAACTTGCGCACGCAGCCATATCATTTTATTCATTTTTTACGTTCCAATTTATAAAATTAGATTCGACGTGAAAACTTTTCCGGTCACATGAGAAACAGAAAGATAACACACTTGAAAAATCCCCTTTTTGATTGGAAACTTTTTTTATTCTTCTATTTTTCTTACTTTTTTTTAGAAACCTTTTTAAAGGTTTGGAATAATCCGAGGCGTCGAGGCCCACGCCTACGCACAGTGTGCTCCTTTAATTTTTTTTCTTTTTTTTTTGGGAAATACATTTCGCAGATTTTTTCGCTACGCGTATCAAGTTTGCAAATCGTTTAGAGCGACCTGATAGTGTTATTGTGTCCACGTTTTGAAACTAAATGCATTTTATGTCAAGTATTCATTTATTTGACGAATTTTTCACTGTGGCTCAGTTTTTTCGAAGCGAGCCACAGTCGGCTTTGCGCTATGCGCGCTCCGCCTCCGTGTGAAGCCTTAAAACTAAGCCTATTTTCTTAAAACCTGTAGGCGCAGTTTTAATGCAAAGGCGCAATTCAGGCTCCTCCCATTCTTCAATTTTTTCAATCTCAATTTCAATTCATATCAATTTATTCAGTCTTCAGAGTAAGTTGAAGAAAATCTCTGCTGAATCATGGTATAATCGAAGAGTTAGTCGTCGGCGCGGGTGACGGTCCACAATCGTTGTCCAATACGTCCCGGAGTGACAGCTAGCGTTGGGAAATAATGTTGACCCGTTGGTAGTACCAGCGAATGAACTGCTTCACCATAATGGAACAGTACGGAGCCCAGCTTGTCCAGGGCTGACGGGCGTCGGAATATTATCCCATGCGAGAGCGGCAAAGAGACCGACCAGTCGACGTGATGAAATGAGATAATAATAATCTGCTGAATCATGTTCACGTGAATAAAATAAATATTTCGATTACGCTTATTTCTTGTGTTACGAATGGTGTCATGAAATGACGTCAGGGAGTAGCGGTTTGCGATTTAACGAAAACTGGCAAAGAATTGGAAAAATTTTGAATAATTTGATGATTCTGTGGTACTTCGAGTGATATAGTCCGTCCACCGCGACTTGACATTTTTCGAGTGTCTGCGTCTCTCTGTTCCCTCACCGGCGAGGTATGGAAATAGCGCGTAAATATGAGAGAGATGTCGAGAGATAAGGAGGGCGCAGAGAAGTCACGAATAGTGGAGTGAACTATAGGCCACTCACGGCTAGATTGGGAAGCTAAGGGGGCGTGGCTTGCCTGCGCTCTCCACCAATTAGACGCTATCTCTTTCATTATCGTGTCAGGACCCTTTTCTCGATGGCTTAAGCCAGCCGTGAATCAGCTATTCCGCTGAGTTATGCTCCGAGGACTTTCGTCTTGTTTCTCAGCGACCGACCAGAACTGACTTGCGCGAAATTTCTGATAATCAACAAATTCCAAACAAAAAGAAATCAGTTTATTATTCGAAAATAGTGAAAAAAAAAGAGGATTCTTCCATCATCTCGCTCGATTTTGACATGCCCAGAAGCAAATAATTGGACAACACAAAACACAGAAAATCGACATGACGAGTACCGCGTAGAACACGTACTGCAAAAAAAAGCGTAGGGAGAACTCGAGTAATGGTTGAAAAGGTCGTGGGTTCGACACCTTTCAGAAAAAAAAAAGGCTTCGAGTTGAATCGCAAACCGCTACTCCCTGACATCATCCCTATGACGTCATCTTGACTTAGCGGTTTGCGATTGAACGAAAACTGAAAAAAAGAACATACCAATTGAGCTGCATGATCCTCGGGCGACACCACCGTGGATGACATTTTGTTGGGAATGAGGGGAATGATTGAACTCGCCGAATAATTATTTATTCTCACTTATTTCACGTTTGCGCCTGACCTTTCCCGAGTTCGCTGGAAAAGAGAGACTGCAGGAGTTAAGAGAGTGTTAGACTTGAATACATGAATCTGAAGGAGCCAAGAAACTTGAACAATCTCAAAAAAGTCGGAAGGGCCCTTTATGGGTGTAAAAGGTCACCATTAATTTTTCCTAAACGGTTGGCAACAGTTTCCTTTTTACTGCCTTTTTGTGTCCTTTCAGCGCCCTTTTTGCACCCTTTTTTCACCCTTTTTGCGGCCTCTCTTCATCCTTTTTTCACCCTTTTTCGAGGCTTTTTAGCCCACCAAGAAAGAAAGGCTCAATAAAGGCCTCAAAACGGAACCCTTTTAGCGGTCATTTTGCACCCGTTTTCGGCACTCCTGACGTTGGCAGTAACATTTATTCTTTTTTTTTTCAAAAAATCATAACTCAACATGCTCATGCAACTGTTATAAGATTCTTACCGTGACCATGTACTTTTCAATATTAAAAATAACTTAACGTTTACTTGATATGTATTTGTGCTGATAGAAAACATCCAAAAAACAATAAAGGATACGAAGAAAAAGATGAACGTTCAGACGGCGTCGATTCTTGTCGAAACCGGCGTGAAGCATAATTCCGCGTAGCTCCCTTCTCTGACGACATCTTTTCCGCCGCCACTCCGAGTGACCATGCTCCAGATTCGTTCCAAAAGGAAGCAAACGAAGAAACCGACCACCGCTATGATTATTGTGTACGTCAGCCACTGAAAATAATCTTTTTCTCACTTTTTCCATTCTCATTATGATGCTGTATCTGAAAATTGAACAAAACTATGTACTTTACAAGAAAAAGATGAAAATTTTATTGAAAATCGATCGAGTAATTTGAAAAGGCTAGTTATGCAGCAAAGCTGCTCCATCGCACTTTGAAGGAAAAATTTTTTTTTTGTTTTTTTTTTCGTCATTTCAGTTTTTTTTTGTTGTTTTTATGAGGTTCTCAGTTTTCTTAACCACCTATTCAGTTATATAATGTTGTATTTAGCTAGAAAACTCACATTTGCCATCAAAGGTACCAGCCGATCTTCTGGTTCCGTGACGACCACGATGACGATGGTCTCAGTCGTGGCGGAAGCCATTTTTTAGAATGAAGTTGTCTCAGCTGCACTTTTTGTGTTTTCCGAAGCGTTCACGAAGGTTTTTGGATAAGGATAATTTTTTAGAAATAAAGGTTATTTTTGAAACAGAAACGCTGTTTTCTTATTCTGAACGGCTAGCCGTTGAGTCGTTTTCATTTATTTATTTTTTATCAAATAGTCTTCGAAAGGTTTTTTCGAGCTTTACGGAGTAGTTTGAACTCTTTTTAAATGCTATATAAGGTCATTTTTTTTTACATTTTTGAACACTTAATTGTCATTTCGCACTCAAATAGAATCAGCATAGAAAAATATTATAAACTTTTTGAATTTTAAACTTTACATGAGCTTAAAAAAAATGGAAAAAAAACCTTGAATTCAGAGAAATAAAACACGTTTGAAACGAGAAGCTCGACTTTCAACGGTTCATTTTCTCAGGAATGGCGAAATTTCTCTTGACGCTGTTTTTGGTGCTGTTCTCCATGGCTCACGCCGCCAACCAGACAACAAGGTTTTTCTTTTTTTTTAGAAAAGCTAAAATTCCAATATTTTAGGAGTGTGCACCATTTGCGGAATGTCACTGAAGCGATTTCCAAAAAAAGCATAAAAACCGACCAAATTGTGAATTTTATGCCAGATGTAGGTTTTTAAAAAAATTAATTTAAAAAAATGTAGACAAATAGTGTAGAAATAATACGCGGCGTTTTTTTTTTTTTGGCGACGCCGCGTTCATATTTTGCGCGTAAAGTGTAGTGTGTCGTGTGCAAGCACTGCGGCGTTCTCGTACACGCCGTCGCAAAATTCAAAATCATCACTGAATTTCCGAAATGCAGTTATATTTTTCACTTTCTGGCGGCTATTTCAAATTTCGCGGAATCACTTTGAACACGGCAACAGAAAAATTGCATTTTTTCAAATAAGAAATCGATTCGTCTCATGACCCATTGGACATGCGCCTTTAATATTGCCTGTTTTTTACGCTGGTTTCCCATGACGTCACATGGGAACGGAGGCTTTGACTCCGCCCATTTTCGGTTTCTCCTTTTCTTCCAGGAAAAAAAAAATCAACGCGATTGAGTCATTCTAGTTTTTAATTGATTTTTTTTAAACGATTCGAATTTTTGCAGTGGGCCTTTTACGCAGTAATTATTGGTGGACCAATATTATATTCAGCCTTCTGTTTGTGTCCGTTGATTTGGTGTTGCCTCCTGTGGAAAGTTTCTCCAGTCTGACTTTTTTTTTCTTGATTCCAATAAAAATTTTGTTCAAAAAATGTTGAATTTGAACTTTTTTTTGATCTTACAGCTGTTCTGAAGCCTCTTGATACCATTGAGCAAAAGCCGTTTTGAAGCAAAAACAACTCTAAAAAAGGTCAAATAAATTTATTGACAACAGAAAGTTAGCTCAATCGTGAAAAGGCTTTTCACTTAGATACCGCCATCTTTCTGCTCTCCGTCACGTCGGCCGGCTTTCTCTTGTCCTCTTCGGCTTTTTTGATGAAGATTTTCTCGATGATCTCTTTCAGGAAGCATAAAATGAGCAGGAAACTGAACCAGAAGCAGAACGAAGCGGTGAAGTAGAGGGCAGACTGAAAAAAATGTTAATTATTTCACTGAATTCTTTAAAAGTGTTCAAAATTTACAGAAAATGGGCCGTCACGACTTTGTGACCGACTTTATTCGGCCTACGCCATCCCATAGGCAAAGTCGGAAGGACCCTTTAGGCGCCCTTTAAGCGTCCGTTATGGATCAAAAAGTTTCTATTCATTGTGACGGGTGGCAACGGTTTCCTTTTTACTGCCTTTTTCCGTCCTTTCATCCGCCTTTATCGACCCTTTTTGGACCCTTTTACAACATTTTTAAAAATTACGAATAATCTTGACTGTGTATGAACCAAAATGTGCTACAGTAATACAATCGGAGATCATAAATGGTCGAGACTTTCAGCACCTTTTTTGCACCCTCTCCTCACCCTTTTTCGAGGCTTTTTAGCCGACCAAGAAAGGCTCAATAAAGGCCGCAAAACGGAACCCTTTTAGCGGCCATTTTGCACCCGCTTTCCGCACTTCTGGCTGTGTCTGTCATCCCGGCCAAGATGACTTTTATGTAAAAATCAAGCTCAAACTTCGCACTTTATTTTAGGGATCTAACTGATGTCTAGTTTTTCGAAAACTTTCTTAGCGCCCGACTTGAACCGACTTACGCCATCCAACCTTTCATACAGTTTTTTTCAGAGTTGTAATATTTTTTGACGGTTTCTCTTATCACTTTTCAGCTCAAGCTCATGAAAATCCAACTCACCAAAGGAACAGGACCAACATAATTTTTGTCGCTCATCTTTTTTGTTAGAAATGACCTAGAGATCGACTTTTTTTCACGTTTATCCTCATTTTTTCCGCAGCAATTAACTGTAGTCAACTAATATCGGAATTGGAAAAGGTATGACGCGGTTTTGTTGGAAAGAGCGCGGACGTCGTTAAAAAACGCATAAAATTTGCAAGATAGCGATTACGTCCTCTTAAAGAAGTTTTATGGATTTTCACTTGATTAAGTTGGAAAGAAGAGTTTTTAAAAAGATGATTGAGGATGTGGGTTTAAGTCGAGTCGCGTAGCTGCGTCGCAATGGATCAAAATCGTAGAAACTTCCGTTTTGAAAAAAATTTCACACCTCATTGGGAAAGTCAGAAAGGGTGCAAGCTGGCTCCATAAATGTTCCTTTTAGAGGGAAAAGGCTCCTTTTTTACCTTTTTACGCCATTTTATCGGCTCTTATGCACCATTTATTTAGCCTTCAAAATTTCAGAAAAGACTCGATAAAAGGGCCCTTTTTTCTATCTTTTTGCTGCCTTTCTGCGGCTTTTTTTGAGCCTCTGCTTTTTAGCTACTATTATCCACCCTGCCGACTTCGCCCGAAAAAAATAATTATAAAAGAGCTCAGTTCTCTCTTTAGCCGAGTCGCTCATTCGAATAGCTCAGCCGCGTCGAATAGCCGCGTCGTATAACCGGGTCGCTCAACCGAGCCGTTTAGCCGAGTCGCTCAGCCGCGTCGCATAGCCGAGTTGTATAGCCGAGTCATATAGCCGAGTCGCTCAGTCGAGTCGCTCAGCAGAGTCACTTAGCCGCGTCGCATAGCCGCGTCGCATAGCCGAGTTGTATAGCCGAGTCATATAGCCGAGTCGCTCAGTCGAGTCGCTCAGCAAGTCACTTAGCCGCGTCGCATAGCCGCGTCGCATAGCCGAGTTGTATCGCCGAGTCATATAGCCGAGTCGCTCAGTCGAGTCGCTCAGCAGAGTCACTTAGCCGCGTCGCATAGCCGCGTCGCATAGCCGAGTTGTATAGCCGAGTCATATAGCCGAGTCGCTCAGTCGAGTCGCTCAGCAGAGTCACTTAGCCGCGTCGCATAGTCGAGTCGCTTAGCCGAGTTGCTTAGCCGAGTCGCTTAGCTGAAGGACAATATGAAAAATAAAAATTAGAAAAATAACGACTAAAAATTTTTTTTTACTGAATTGGATCCTTGAGTGATTTTCCAGTTCGAAATTTTACCCAAGAGAAATGAAGTTAGAAATTATTCAGAATGGACTTATCAATCGATAAATTGGGTTCATCTGATTCAGTACAGTTTTCATCCGAAATAAGTGACCCCTTGAGTGTTTTTCAGGACCAAAAATTTTCAGAACAAAGTAAGAACCTCTAGAATTTGGCGCCTGTCAAAATTTTCCAAAAAATACATCGATAAGTGTCCCTAACACCTTAGCAATCGCCTTAAAAGCCTCAAAGTGAGGAAAAGCTGGCGGAAAGGGCGAGACACGATAAGCGAGGCCACGCCCACTTTCTCGCCTTTCAAGCATACCATTTTCGGTTCCGCTCCGTGTGTATTTCCAACCAGAAGGAATGCGTTCTCTTTTCGCCTTCTTATCTCTCCTCGTTCCGGTAATGACGTCATACATGTTTAATGACGTCAACTTATTGATTTTTTCCGGTGTTGGTTCTGGCTGACGATGTCGAAAACTACCTTGGAGTTCTGTTCCGAAGGATCGAATCTCCGTCGGGGATGAATGCCTTCGGAAAGCCGTGCTCCGAGTACGACTTCATCGGCGTCGGCTGCAACTTGTTCCTTTCTGGAACCATTATTGCGTCTGTTTTTTTAGTTCTTCGGAAAATTTAAGATGATCTAAAGGTGTCTCAGAAACTCCTAACCGTTTTTTCTGAAACTTGTGAGGACCTTGGAAAGTTTTATTAGAAGGGAAGCTTCTATACGGCGTTTTTTCACGACCTGCTCATAATTTTCCGTAAAGTGTGGTGTGTAGTGTGCATGCACTGGCTCTCGCACATGACGTGTTCAAAAAATGTTTCGCGAAATTCAAAATTATCTTTGAATTTCGCGAAACATTTTTTTTTTACATATTTTTAACTTTCTGACGGCTATTTTGAATTTTGCGGGATCACTTTTAACACGGCAACAGAAAAATTACGTTTTTTTCAATGAGAAAATTATTCGACTCATAACTCATTGAACATGCGCCTTCAATAATTCTTGTCGTTGACACGTTTATTACGATTTTCTCTCGCTAGAATCTATAGAAAGTTCAGTTTTCCGAATAACCAAGTTGACTGGCTTTTTTGGAATAGCTCCAGCTGATTTGAAGCCCACTTTTCCAATTTTAATGGACCTTTTTTGAATTCATGTGACAATACTTGGAATTATTAGGATTTGAACTGATTTTTGAAGGACGATCCTTTTTTCGAAGCTGTCTTGGAACCTCTCCATAGCTTTTTCAAAGAATTTTATTCAAAAGATATTTAATTTCAGTTGTAACTTCTAGAAGGTTTAGTAATTTTTTTCAATGCCAATTGGACTTGTTTTTACAAATTTCATTTTTATTTTGGCGCTATTTTTTTTCCGAAAAAAAGTAAATTTTTCAAGGCATATCTTTTTACACGAAACATGACCGATTCATTTTTTTAAATGTGTTTAATGGAATACTTGACAATTTCCTTTCAAAAAAACTCTTCAACACTCCCCCTTTTTTTGGAAAAAGTTTAAAGGGGGACAAAGTTTTGAGTGATTTTAACAGCATTTTTGAGTAAATTTTTGAAAATGTAAAGAATTCGAAGTTATTGTTAAATATTTGAAGGATCTAAATTTAATGAAACTCTTAGCTTTTCAGAAACAATAACAAGAAAGACTTTGACTTGGGCCAAGTCACGTTTGGCTCGAATTTCGGCGACATTAGGTTCGACGAAAAAAATAATCAACGGGTCACGTGGCTAAATCTTCCCTACAATGTTGGTTTTTATTTCTTTTTTTTCGAGACAATCTGAAATTTTTTATTTTTCACCAATTATTAAAAATTGAGTTGAAGTTATCGCAAATAAAAGCGGAAGCTGTGTCGAAAATCGTGCAAAATTGCAAAATTAACAGAATGTGTAGCAAAGTTGCTCTATTGCAACAGTCGAAAACTTTTCCGAAAAAAATTTTTTTTATTTTATTATTTTTTTTCTTTTTATAAATAAACTTTTTCGGTCAGGAAATTTTTTTACGTAAGAGATAGCCTATTTCGATGGAGTAACGTAGGAATTTTCGAAAGCCGTCAATATTTTTTTAGGAAATATTACCTGAAATTCCAACTTGAGTACATTTTTGGTGATAAAATCTGTGTTTATTTCCTAATTTTTGCTTTTCCAACCTGCGCAAACCGTTTTTCTGAACTTATTTTTAAACGGAAAGGAAAAAATGATTTCTCCAGGGCTTCCTGATTCATGTGAAGCTTTCCTCCGACAATAATACCCTCGTCGACTCATTCAATGTCAGTTTGGACGCATCTTCTTCAACTAAAGGCTATCAAGTCTTCACAAGTGATGTCGGAACTGTGTCAGTTTTCATTTTTCGAAGCTTGTTTCATGGTTTTTTTCTGCTTTTTTCTGCTAAAATTGATTTTTGCAGTATAAATGAGTCATAAAAACGTAGGTATAACTTTTGAGGATCGAAAAAGTTCAAGATTTTTAGTGGCCACTATAGGGCTTCAACGTTTTCGTGACCACTATAGTAGTCAAATTAGTGGCCACTTAAGGGGTTAAAAATAGTGGCCACTATAGAGTTTTAAGTGCTACTGCTAGGCCATTAAAAATTTTAGTGGCCACTTTAGGGGTCAATGGATCAACATAACTGGTCCAATCTGTTAGTTTTAAAATTATCAGAGTTACTGGAAGGAATACTGGATGAAAAACTACTGAAGTGGCCACTAAAACGGAAAATAGGGACCACTATAGAGGTGGGTTTAGTGGCCACTTTAGTGTCCTCTCCAAGTAGTTCTTGGCGAGCCTCTATAGTGGCCACTAGAAATTTTCCCAGATGCTTTTTTAAATTTCTCACTAAGGATTTTTTAAAAAGATTATGGAATATGATTCAATTTGAATCAAAATCTTTCATGACACTTTTTGATTTTTTTTAAGCCTGAGTTTCGCCTGGACCTCTAACGCGACGCCGACTACACCAACCGCCGGAACTACCACTGTTTCCGGATCAACCGGCGTTTCTGGACAGACTGTTCCTACCACCACTGCTGGTAGGAGTGAAAAAAAACTGGGAAAAGTTCATTTGTGTATCGGAAGTTTTTCATTGGAAAAAAGTGTGAAGTGCAGAAAACGGGTGCAAAATGGCCGCTAAAAGGGTTCCGTTTTGCGGCCTTTATTGAGCCTTTCTTTCTGGGTGGGCTAAAAAGGCTCAAGAAAGGGTCTAAAAAGGGTGCTGAAAGTCTCAGCCATTAATCGTTTCCGATTTTATTACTGTAGCCCATTTCGGGTCATACACAGTCACTGGTGAAGATTATTTTCAATTAAAAAAATTTTGTGGTTTTTAAAAGGGTCCAAAAAAGATCCAAAAAAGGTCCAAAAAAGGTCTAAAAAAGGTCCAAAAAGGTCCAAAAAGGGTCCAGAAAGGGTCCAAAAAGGGTCCAAAAAAGATCCAAAGAAGGTCCAAAAAAGGTCCAAAAAAGGTCCAAAAAAGGTCTAAAAAAGGTCCAAAAAGGTCCAAAAAGGGTCCAGAAAGGGTCCAGAAAGGGTCCAAAAAGGTCAAAAAAGGGTCCAAAAAGGGTTCAAAACAGGTCCAAAAAGGGTTCAAAAAGGGTCCGAAAAAGGTCCAAAAAAGGTCCAAAAAGGGTAGATAAAGGCCCAAAAAAGGACGGAAAAAGGTAGTAAAAAGGAAACCGTTGCCACCCGTTTAGGAACAATTAATGAAAACCTTTAGGGGCCATTAAGGGGTCCTTACGACTTTGCCTATGAAAGTCTACCACTAAAAAAGTCTCTTCGCTTCGAGACCTCTAGATATTTTGTACATGATCCTTTAAACTCTAGAGAGGTACTAATTTTTGAATTTTATGAGAAAGTGTCCTTCCGACTTTGCAAATGACATAGGTTTTTGATGTGAAAAAAAAGTTTTCTAGCCTCTTTGGAAAAAAAATTGTAGTTTAAAGCTCCCTAACCTTAAAATGAGTGGCACTTGAAAAGTTTCTTAGACCATTTAAAGGGAAATACTCCGAGCAAACCCCAAAAAAAGGACAATAATGAATTCCCAGGCCCCATCCTGCCGACAAGTTGCGATAAGATTGAAAATCTGACGACGAGCGGCGTGCAGACGATCTACATTGGAGGACAGTCGGTCGACGTTTTCTGTGAGGTCGTCCAACCGTCTGGAGAAGTCTTCACCGTCATTCAAAGGTGCTTATTTTCCAAAGAAATTGTACGATAGAGCGAGTTTGACAGAGAAAATGAGCCGACTTCTTGAAAATATTGGCTGAGTGTGAAGAGAAAACTTGGGGTTCGATAACTTCTTTTTCGTAATATTTTTTGCACGCGAAAAATCCTTGTATACCAAAACTGCAGCGGAAAAATCAGAGCTGTTCTCAAGTCGGGGCGACCCCGGCCGAGGCCGCCCCGACCCGACCGCAACGCGCCCCTGAGCGCCCCGGCCCGCGAAGCGGTTTTCATTCAGGCCCCCGAAGCGAGCGCGAGGATTTTTTTTTCCGTATTTTTTGTTTTTTTTTTAGTTTTTTATATTGAAAATGAACTTTTAAGTTATTTATGATCCATGAAAAATTTTTAATTTTATTGTTTTTTTGACAGAAATCGTGCTTTTTTTGATTTCACTTTTTTTCGCATCTTTTTCGTTTTTTTCTCTTTGTAAATAAATAAAATAATATTTCAAATAGTGGTTTGAATGAATTTTTTTGCAAAAAAATGAAATTCCTGATGATGTGAAAAATTTCAAATTATTTTTTTATTTATTAATTTGTTTTTCTCTAGTTCTGTAAATTGTTCTGGCCACTTAGGAAACTATTGAATTTTTTTGGATTAATATCTCATTTTCATCGGTTTTTCTCTTTATGTGCTCGATAATAAATGTTTTTTTGTTTCACTTTCATTTCAGTAAAACTTGCGCTTTCCATAATTCGCAAAAAACCGGGAGTCAAAACAAAATTTGTATCTACGGGTCGACCGAGTTGACCCTTACCAAAGGCCGACCGCGGCCGCCCTCGAATACGCCGCAAGTCGGGGGGCCCTCGGTCGGCCGCGGTCGCCCCGAGAACAGCTCTGGGAAAAATGAACCAAGGCATGTGCGACATAATTATTGAAACAGGATAGTTTTGTAGTTTTTTTCTAGGAATTTTTTTGGTTTTGTTTTTTTGTTGCCGCACTGTTTCCCTTGTTTTAACTAGCCCCCCCGTCCAAGCCAAAATCCGAAAGAAGGGGGGTCGAAACTCAGGGGGCGACTCTGTAATCTAAAAATGCCCCCACGCGGTACTAATTGGAGCCGATTCTGAACGCCTAGGCAATCTTTCATATTCGCCCCTATTTTTACTTTGAAATGCCCCCTCCTTCGCAAAGCTCATTCGAACAAGTACTTCTCACATTTCAGAATCCCCCCCCCTCCCCAAGTTCAGAATTCGCGGTCTTATTTCGGATCATTCTTTCCGTTTTAAGCGGGGGGGGAGGGGTGAAACTATGAAGCGGAAAAGTGAGAGCAAAACCATGTGCGTCATAATTATTGAAACAGGATAGTTTTTTTCTAGGTATTTTTCAGCTCTGTTTTTGGGAAAATACGGTAATCCCTCTCCTCTAAAATGTCCCCCCTCCCCCGCGATATAAATTGGGGCCGATTCTGAACGCCTAGGCAATCTTTCACATTCGCCCCCCCAAACTACCCCCTCCAGAGCTCATTCGAACAAGCACCTCTCTCACATTTCAAAACCACCCTGTCCCCCACAGTTCGGAATTGCCGGACTTATGTGTGAACGGGGATTTACTAAAATATATCCCCGTAAAAGCAACTGTGATGCGGAAAAATGAACCAAACCATGTGCGCCATAATTATTGAAACGAGATAGTTTCTCAGCTTATATTGAGTATATTCGCAGCCTTGGTTTTATTATTTTCATAATAGTCATTTTTCGAGATTCCGTAGATTGATAAGAGCTTACTTCCCTCTGGAATTTGCTTAATATATGATTTCCAGTCGTGGAAATGAAGACACCACCGATTTCGACGTCTCCTTCGACACCTACAAGAGTCCTCTGGGCAATGCCGGAAAAGCGACGAACTTCTGGCTTGGACTCGACAATATGAACCAATTGACTGGATCCGATACATTCGGATTGGAGGTTTTTTAAAAGAAAAAAAAGAAAAATTGAATTTAGTAGAGTTCTAATAGACCAGCTTCCAGAAGCTTCATTCATGTAGTTTCAAAAAACCTAAAGTGGTCACTTAGGAAGGCTCGAGACCTTTTAAGTGGCCACTGAGGGATCTCGTAACTTGAAGCAGCTCTATAGTGACCACTGGAGGGTCGAAATCTTGCGGGCGACATTTTTTTTTCTAATTTCTCATGGGAAAAGTTTTAGTGGCCACTTTAGTGTCCTCTCCAAGTAGTCTTTTAGGACCACTTAAGTGGCCACTGAGAGTTCTAGTTACTTAGAAGCTACACTCAAACTTTTATAGTGACCACTAGAGGGTTAAAATCTCACAGGCGACTTTTTTTAAATTCTTATCGGAAAACTTTTAGTGGCCACTTTAGTGTCTTTCCAAGTAGTCTTTGAGGACCCCTTAAGTGGCCACTTAGGGCTTTCGTAACTTGAAGCAGCTCTATAGTGACCCCTGGAGGGCCAAAATCTTAAAGGCCACATTTTTCTGAATTTCTTATCGGAAAACCTTTAGTGGCCACTTTAGTGTCCTCTCCAAGTAGCACTTGAGGACCTCTTAAGTGGCCACTGAGGGATCTCGTACCTTGGAGCAGCTCTATAGTGACCACTGGAGGGTCGAAATCTTACAGGCCTTTATTCACTTAATTCTGATGAGAAGTGGCCACTTTAGTGTCCTCTCCAAGTAGCACTTGAGGACCCCTTAAAAATTAATTTTTAGTCCCGAAATCTTTGTTAATTTCTTCAGTGGAAGTAAGAGTGAGGTGACAAAAATTGATGAATAAAATTGAAATTTCCAATATTTTTATCCATTTCCAGATCGACCTGTGCTGCAATGGCGCCATCAAAAAAAGCTCATCTACCACAATTTCAAGGCATTTTTGGAAAAAAATTTATTTATAAAAAAATGTTTTTTTCGAAAAATTAGATTGGAGACGTTTCTACGACGTACAAATTGAGTGCGACTGCCGATTTCGGAAACACTGGTCTGAATTATCCGACCACGTTCAAGCCAGCTGGTGGGTTTTCCCTTTGAGACCTAATTTGGAATGGCTCGAGCTTTTGCGACCAAAAAGTTTTGGAAAAAGCGCGTTTATAGCCAGTAAAATGCCAAAATAAAGCTTTTATCCGTGGCGAAAAATGAAGAAATTCGAATTTTTTCAGGAACCAACCGGGATATCGGTGTAGCCTTCTCTACCAATGCGACCTACGTTGGAAATAGGTATAAATTGAAAAAAATTCCAGAATCCCCCCACTCCCCCAATGTCCGAACTAGCCCCTATCAAGGAAATTTTTTTGACTGGTGTGGGGCGGAGTCAAAGAGCTTGGGGGGGGTGAGTATATTTTATTCGAATCGTCCCCCTTAGTGCTAAGGGGGGCGATTCTAGATTTCCTACGTTATCTTCCGAAATCACCCCCCACCAAGGCAATTTTTTTGACTGGTCAATGGCGTAATCAAAGAGCTTTTTGGGTGGGGGAAAGCGATTCTAGAATGCCTAGGTTATCTTCCAGAATAGCCGTTCTCCCCCCTCATTTTAGGCTCCCCCTCACATCATTCTAGAATCGCCCCCTCCTCAACTTCATTTTAAAAAATTTAAATCCTTTTTCCTTTTTTTCGTTCGATTTGTTTTCTCCTAGCGAGTAGAAAAGGGGGGTGATTAAAACAGACGAAAAATAAGAGAAATTGTGTAGAAAAATAACTTTTTTTATTCAGAGCAGTTTGTGAAGAACTCGAATACGAAGATGATGCCGGAAATGAAATCGTTCCTAGCGGGTTTTTTTAATTGTTATTTTTCAAACTCGATTTTCAACTTTTAGAGGTTGGTGGTTCGGTGGCTGTGGTAACAATTTGAACGGAAAATATATCAAAAAGCACGCCGGGAACGAATTGCAGCATTTCGTGAGTTGAACTTGATGAGGATGATGGAAAATGGCCTTTTTCAGGGCTTCAATTGCAACCAACAAGGCGTTGGGTATCAATATGCGAACCACTGATGGTAAATTTTGGTAGAAAGAGCAAAAAATCCTAAATTTTTGTTTTTTAGAGTTTGAAAAAACACAGAGAATGAAAAAAAGACAGCTTTTTTTTAATCCGCAATTCAAAACGTTTCGTAGGTTATGGTGCTTAGGGTGTACACACCGAGACGCACTATCGCATACTCCATTTTTTTAAATTTTAGAAATTGGAATTTGAAGATAATTCTTTGAAAAACTAGATAAATAAATAAATCTTTCAGTAAATCTTAAAAATTTCTGACGTGTGTGCCTTGTAATCCAAAAACGGGTCCTGAAAAGATCAAAAACTACCGTAGTCCTACAATTTACGGCGTTCATCCCTGATTTTTTTAAAAATCCATTTCACTGCTAAGATGTGACACAGCATTGAGCATCTCAAAAATCCCCTGTCAAAAAAAATAATTTCTCAAATTTTCAGGTCCCTTCGGATCGGAAGGCGATGACGTTGACTTTGTGAGCTACGACCGGGTCCGAATGGCGATTTTCACGTTCGATTCGGCCAAAATCAACCAAAACTCCGACGACGCCCAATTCTGTACCTAATTTTCACCATTCTCCTTCTAAATAAAACATAAAAATGTCCCAATTTATCGTCCAAAAAAAAAAATATAAAACTGTTTAGTCATGTAAAGCTAACAGAAAGTGAAAAAGAATTGCACAAAAAAGAAAATTAAGCTTTCTGGACGACTCGACCCTTGAAAGTGTCCATGGTTTGGTTGGCGCCGAGGTATTCGTTAAGAATCAAAGTGACTTCCGTCGGGAGGAGTCTGAAATTGAGGAAATAACAGAGAATTCGAGTTGATCCAAGTAATTTTCTAGTTTTTGAAAGATCTCAAATTGTAAAATCTGGTAGCGATAAGTTCTAGGAGACTCGAGCTTTTTAAAACAAGGAAAAACTTGATAACGAAGAAAATATGACATATCCTAATGTTCAAAATCTACTGGGAAATTGAGCACCCTTTTAAAATAATTATGATGAAGTTTTTGAACGTGCGAAAGTCTTGAATAATCCCAAATTTCACTAAAAACGACGGGAAAACTTTCTGAACGAACCCAGCACAAGCGACGACCAAATGGCAGAAACGAGGAAGAATAACATTGTACCGATTAGTCAAAATTCCTTCCATAATGCATTCAACAACGTATTCGGGCTCCAATAAGGGCAGCAATGTTGGCGATCTAAAATAAAAATTTCTGCATTTTTCATCCATTTCTTGAAATTACTTGGTCTCAACACCGTCAAACATTCCAGTGTTAATGTAATATGGGCAAACAACTGTGGTTTTAACGTCTTTTCGGAGAGCGGCGATTTCTGCGGTCAAAGACTCGTGGAAACCAACGGCGCCGTGTTTCGAAGCGCAATAATCGACCTGAAATTTAATAAATGCTGAGAGAACTTTCGGAATCGACTGACCAATCCAGCAACTCCGGCTTTTCCAGCGATCGAGGCGACCGTGACAATGTGGCCGTGATTTGCTTCCAACATCGCTGGGCAGGAAGTTCTTTGTTGTCTGGAGAAAACATTAATATTTCGTATATTTCATAAAAATTACATAGAACAAAGAGTGAGTGTTGACGGCCATCGTCTTTTCCATCAGCTCATCGGGACAGTCGAAAAATTTTTCTTTCCTGAATTGCATTTTATTATAAAAAATTTAATTAAACTGTAAAAAAAACCTGTGACAATTCCAGCATTATTGATCAGGATATCTATTTTGCCAATTTCTTTTTTGACTTGAGCAGCAACTTCATTAAGAGCGTGACGGTTCGACAAATCAACTGTGTAAGCAGTAGCCTGCAATAAGAATAATCAATATGAAAAAAACGACGTAAAAGTTTGCACAAAGTTTGCGTCTATGATTGTGCGCTAGCGTAACTTTTGCTAAAGATCAAGATGTGTACGGTAGGTCAAATTTCTGTTTATGGCATTTTCTCCGATTTTTTGGCGTTATTTCCTTGTTTTTATACGTTATTTTCCTGTTTCCTAGTCGTTTTTAGTTTTTATTCAACTGTTTTTATGTAACTTATTGTAGCTCTGCTGGCGCACTCTGTTAGATTTTTCCGAAATTCTCCTCTCGTGTTTTTTTTTTTGCTAAAGCCGTGTGTTCAAAGCAATTTCGGCGATTTAAAAATTCACGCGTTACCCATTTGAAAAAATTACGCTAAATAGACAGACTCAGAATTCAATAGCCGTCATAAAAGTGGGTCCTACTACGAATTTTTGCAAAGTGTCACTTTTTACGGTGTCTTTTACGCACTGTAAGACCCATCTTTTTGAAGGTTTCTAAAATTCTGATTTTACCTATTTCGCGAAATAACGCGTTCAACGAATAGCGCGTTAAATTTCGAATTTGAACATGGCATGATCTTTCAGACTCTAGTGTATATAATAATGCAACAAAACATGAGCTCAAACCGCCGCAATTACGGAAGGCCACGAAGAGATCGCAACAATGGTGGCTCCAACGGCGGAAAGCGCAACAAGTCTGTTTTTTTATTATTGGTTTTTCTTAAAAAATCTTTCTTTTTTTGAATTAACACTGAAAAACCTATCCTAAAAAAACGAAAAAAATATTAGCCTATGCGTTTTTTTAGTGAAAAACTTTAGAAAAATGCTTTATTTTATTTTTGAATCTGGTAAAGCAAATTTATGTGCGCAGTTCCTGTTCGGAAATTGAAGTTAGGTGCAATTTTTGGAATTTAGCAGTTTTATTATTTTTCAGAATATTTTCATTCTTCATATAACCTAATTTGGATGTGAAGCGAGAATTGTTTTTAAACACTTATTTTTAGATTCCGATATTGTTCTCAATTTTATATTTTGAAGCTGGCAGCAGGGCAGCTACACGGACACTTCTGCTACCATGTCTGTGACGTCATCCACCAGCTCTGGACCTGGCGCCATCACTTCCGACGTTTTTTTCGAGACCGACGAAGACATCACGGCTGATGTCAACGGCGGACTTCAGGTAGGGACTATCCAATGTCGGAATCCAAAAAATAAAGGCTTGCATGTCCCTTTGTCCTTAATTTTGTCCGTTGTCTTCACGTTCGACATGGTTGGGCATCAAATTTATTCGAATTTTTCTCAGAAGAGCGCGCTTTCTGTTTTCATTTTCTTCTTCATCTTCAATATTTATTTTCTATTCATTTCCATTTTTATTTTTCCTGTGCCATATGAATGATGACATATTGTAAAGGTGGTCTTCAGGAGTATAATGGGAAAAAAATATTAATATTTGACATGAGGAGTGAGTGGTTGAAAGTCGTTTTTAGAGGGAATTGTATCGGAGCAAATAAGAGATATAAATCTAAAACCATTAAAGTTCTTTCATCTATAAAAATGAGTAAAGTTCGCGCTGGCAAATCGGAAATCATTTTAAATCGCATTTTTCGCCATAGTTTTGAATGAAACTCTAGAGAGTGCCATTTTTTGTGGCTTTCAAACAGAGAAAAAACTTACCAGATAATGTGTTCAAAGTGATTTCCGCGAAATGCAAAATTATCTCTGACTCTCCAAGATTTTCTTTTTCTGACGGCTATTTTGCATTTCGCGAAATCACTTTGAAAACGCCACAAGATTCCGATTTACGTGTATCAGATAACACTTTGTGCGCTCTTTTGGAAAATGAGATCAATTTGATGGCTTCATTTCTTCGTAAACTCGGCCCCACGGCTCCTGTCGTCGTTCACATTCTGCACACTCACAATCTAACATTTCCGCAAGAGAATTATCGGAATAACAATAACCAAAACATGGCCTACTACCGACGTCAAATGTCGAGTGATCCAACCTGTGGCACTTGGAATCAATTCCATCACCCCTATGAAGAGGATTCTCTGCCTTCGACGCCTTCGCCATTTAATTCGATGTTGCTCCCCTTGTCGCCGCTTCCGATCAACGCCAACACCGTTTTCTGTGGACCAGCGATTTTTCAGCGCGGCTCTCTTCATTCTCTCTACGGAAGCGCCCGAGAGCTCAACCATTTCAACACGTTCAATTCGTTGTATCGGTCGCAAAATTTGATGGACCTCGTCAATGTGACGGAGCCAAATTGGCGGGACCGGACTTCGTCGGTTTCGTCGAGCAACTCGTCTCGCGACCCCTTTTTCCCTTATTTGAAGAAGGTTTGACTTTGGGGGTTTTCTCGGACTCGACAGAGAAGTTGGACTTGAAAAAAGAAGTAGGAGGGTAATGAAGAGAGAAGATTTGGGAATACGGATTTGAAGGAATTAAATTTTACGAGTAGTAGAATTAGAATGAAAACACATTTATTGGGAAGCTTGGAACTGTTTATTTTAGAAGTATTTATATTTTTTTAAGCGTGAAATTTTTTTAAAAATCAGGATTTTTAAGAAAAAGTGGTACCGAAAAATCAATGGGTTGAAGAGAAAATGGAGAAATCAAGTTTTTTTGGAAAGTTTTTTTAGCCAGTTTTGAAATGAGAGAGCTTTTACGAAGTTCTAGAAAAAAAGGGGAGCGAAGTAATTTTTTTAATAAAACTCAGTCTGAGATGGTGTAATGAGACATTCAGGCATATTGATTCAAAAAAAATGCTAAGTTATATTATAAAATAGAAAAGTTGTTTTTCCAGTGTGGTTTAATGCTTTTAGCTTTTAACGGTTTTTCAACATGAAATTTTTTTCTAATACCTTCTTATTTCCTTAAAAACTATTGTTTTCCATAAGTTTTTCTTTATGATATTCCTTCGGAATGAGCTTTGTAAACTTCAGACGAAGCTTTGCGATCACTGGAAAAGGAATAATGAATGTGCCTACGGCGATGATTGTTGGTATGCGCATGGACTGCGAGAGCTCCGCCAACCTGTCCGTTTCTCTTATTTTTCATCGTTTTGATGGGGTTTTTGTAAAGTTACAGCCAGCCCATTCTGGATTCCTCGGCGATTTTTTCCCGTCGGCGGCGCCGACTTTGCAGCCGCTCATGTCCGTGGGAGTGAATGAGGCGGTCAGCATGAACCGTCTTCAGCAGCATTTCCGCTCCGACGTACTTTTATTTCGAGAAAATCTTTATTATTTTGCTTGTTTTTTGGTGTCCTCTAAGTGTTTTATGAGCTGGAGTTTAGCGCAGGAAATATAAGCCGAAAAACTTAAATTTTTTTGCGCGAAAGTCCTATGCCTGATCGTTTTTTTATCATTATTATTAATTAATTAATTTTTTTAGATGGAAAAATGTGAATCCCGAGGAAATGAACGCCATGCTGCAGGCCGCTGCCGCAGCCGCTAATCATCGGCCCGTTGGTTTTAGGATTCTATTGGAAAAATTTCAAAAAAGTTTTTGGAGTAGATTTGACTGTTGTATTGGCTCAAAAATCTGTTTGAAAAAAATTATTTTCGAAGGACGTTTTTTAATTGAAAACTCGGTCTTATAATGGGAATTTTTCAAAAACAAGATGGATCATTTTTTTCTACACTATTAAAGGGAGGAATAATTTTTAAGAGGTAGTTACTAAAAAAAAAAGTTATCGAAAGAATTGTGTAGGATTGTAACAATGAGATAACAAAGTTTGAAAAGATTTTACTAGAATTAGCCCGTGAGAAGTTAAGTCAGTTATTTGAAAGCTTTCTCCAGGAAAAGTTTTTTTGAAATCTGTCCCTTTATTAAGAACGGCCGGGCGACGACGAACGTCAACGGTCTAACGCTGCCGACGAACAACAACAACAACAGCACGCCGTGGAGCATGGTTTCTTCGGAGGAAGCGCCGCTTTCGCCGGCTCAGGAGCGCTGGGTCTCCATGTCGCAAGACGGCGTCCGACGTTTCGGCGGCGCCGAACCGTCGCTCTCCGCTCAGTCGCAGAGCAACGAAAAATTCCAGTTTGACGCTCACGCTCTGGTCCGTAGTGGTGTTGAGTTTTGCGAAGAAAATGAGAAAATTTCGCAAAAGTGCGGTTAAAAAAATGTTCCGAAATTGGTGTAAAAAACAAGGTGCTTGAGGAAGAAATGAGTAAACATAAAAGGTCGCATTAAATAGTAGCAAAAAAAATGATCAAGAAATATTCAAAAATTGATTTTTACAAGAAAACCCAAAGCTTTTCCGGTTCAAAAAAAAACGTAAGCAGGGATTTTTTCAGTTCTTTCAAAGTTAACAGCAAAAAATCTTCGAACAATATTCAACGAAAAGTGCGATTTTTGAATCGGAGAAATTGTTTCACTTCGATTTATTCGTTATCTTGGACTTTCAAAATATTTATGGTACTTGGGAAATTGAAATGAAACTGAATTCAGCAGAGTTCATGGATAAATTAGACGCAAATTTAACTCTAGAGAGTATTTTTTGCCTTAAAACTATGATGAAAAAAAAAAGGAAGACGAAGACTACAGTGAAAATATTCAGAACCAGCAATCGCACGAGTATGGAACTCAACCGGAAGAAGATGTCGTGAACCGCAGCCGACGATTCCGTCAGCCCTACTCGACTGACTACAACAACTCTGGTCACAATCCGACTCACCCCCCTAGTGATTATTTATCATTTTGTATAATATTATCATTTTTCACGGAAAAAAAAGTATTTTTTTTTACATCTGCTATTAATGATTTTTATGTTTCCCAATGCTGAATTTGCCTTATTCTAGGACCCCCAATGCAATTTTTCGGCGAGCGTAGCGGTTTTTCTCGTCCCGCTCGCTCCAACTCGTCGATCAACTCGAGAAATGCCCTCGAAGCACAAATTCGCAATGAGGTGGAGATGAAGCGTCTGAACTCCTTTGATAATTTTGAGCTTCAAAGGCAGCAGGTTTGGATTTGGAAATTTTCGGTTTGAAAATTTCTTAATGCCGTGTTCAAAGTGATTCTGCGAAATTCAAAATAGCCGTCAGAGAAAGAGAAAGATAACTGAATTTTGGAGGGTCAGAGACCATTTCGAATTTCGTGGAAATTACTATGAACACGGCATAAATGTGGAAAATTTTTATGATTGACTTCAAAGTTGTGATACAATCAATTTACGTAAAACTCGAGTTGGAAAAATAGTAGAGGTTAATTGTAAAAAAAATAAAAGAAGAAGAAAAAAAAAGCCGAAGATCCAAAATATAATCAGAGCAAGGGGCATTGTAAAAATATTTTTATCACTTGAATATTTATCATGTTTTAGTTTATGGTGCTCAGAAAGAACGTTTTGACTTGATTATTTTTAACCCTAGAACTCTAAAATTCGAGCTTCTAGGTTCAAAATTTGATGTATGTGGTAAATTTTTAAGAAAAAGTAATTTTTGTTTAAAAAATCAAGAGTTGAAAACTGGTTTAAGACTTTGAAAAATAGCTTTTTATCTTGAAAAGATTCCAAGAAGTTTGGAGTAAAAACGACTTGGCAAAATAGACAGTTTTTAGAACAAATCTCGTTCAGAGTCTAAGTAGAGAAAAGTATGTACTTGAAGGCCTACATGGACCGACACGACCAGGCGATGCAGCGCCGGATGATCCAGAATCATCAGGAGCAGCAACGTCGCAACAGTCAGCAGGCGATGGTCATCGACAATTTGAACAGCATGAACACGGCTACTAGGGTATTATATATGGAAAGATCATGGTTCTAATTGAGTCAGGAGAAAGCTTTTCGTGAATCTTGTGGATAAATTTCGAAAAGAGGGATTTTTTAAGGTGGTAAGGTTGACGAATGCTATGGGAGTCTTACGCCTCAGAAATTTTTGTAAACGTCTAATCATAATTTTTAAAAAAATAAGAGTTAGCAAACTTCAGAGGGTAAATGTTCTTCAAGTTGAAGTGAGCACTTGAATGACCAACTATTAGCCGAAATAATCTATTTTTTATAGTTACGAAAAGAAGCTCAAACGTTAGTATATTCGAAAAAAAAATGGACTTTATCCATTTAGGAGGACTTTACCGTCCTTTGAGTGATTCTTGAGTCTTGATGCCGTGTAAAATGTGGTTCTGCGAAATTCAATAATAGCCGTTAGAGGAAGAAAAAGATAACTAGTTTTTGGAAAGTCAGACAGTTTTACATTTCGCAGATATTTCTGACATAATCTTCTTGAGGGTGTTAGTTAACATAGGAAAATTTTCAAAAATCTCATGGAAAGCCATGGAAATTTCAGGATGAAGTGCTGCGTCGAATGCTGCAAATCCACCAGCAGAAGATGCAGGCCCAGGCCTTCGAGCAGAAGCAGCACGCTGCGACCGACTGGAAAGCGGCTTACGCGCGCGCCGCTCGCCACCGTGCCCAGTGGCCTCACCAGCCACAGCAACAGAACCACTTCTTCCCGAATCAGCCGCACTTTGGCGCCAATTTCACCGGCGGCTTCGCCCCGCCCCCAAAAGCCGAGCCTTTGGCGCCGCCACCGGCCGTCGAACCATTGTTGATGCCGTCGGACGATTCGTTCTCGATTTGGCTCGAGGATCGTCGTCCGAGTGATTCGATTATGGTTTTTCAAGGAATCGTCCAGTAAAAAGACTGGTTTTTCAGTCGGGGGTCGCTCAGCTGAACAGCTCGAACTCGTCGGCCGCCAGTCAGAGCGAGGTGTTCTTTGATGCCATCGCCAAGGTTTGTGGTGAAGAGGAGGATTTTTGAAAATCGGTGTTATCGATAAAAGCTACGTTAAGAAATTTTAACTATTATTCATATTAGGGACTGAAAATTAGCGGATCTAGAGAGGAGTTTGCTTTGGCTTAGGAATTTAGAGTGATTTCTATAGGGGTTAGGGGGATGAGCAGCCTCTATGGTCTTTTCCTTATTTTATTTTTCATGGAATTGCTTTTTCGCATCTAATTCATGAAATTTGTTGACTAGAATGCCCCTATAAGGACTAATTTTTAAAGTTTTAAGGGGTTTCTATAAGGGTTAAAGAAGTGGCCCCTAAGGTTTTCCCCGTCTAGAGACCACTCTGGAGCTCCTAAGGAACACGATTAGATATCTATTGATCCTGGTTTGATTCTATAAACGCTGAGCGGCGATCAAAATTTTGACGTTTTTTTTTTCTCTTTGAACGCTCCATTTTTCACAAGTTCTCGCTAGATATCTAAATATCCTGGCTCGGAGTTCCAGATTTAGCCTCATCAGTTGATTGAAACAATCAATCTTCAATTTTTTTGTTTTTATATCGTTTCTTGGTCCTGTAGACTTGAGAGAATTTCATATGAAAGCAAAAACCGAAGATTCATTTACAAGAACAGGAGGTAGAGGGTCGCCAATCAACAGAATTAGCCGGAAAATATAAGATTTTAGAATCCCTTTTTGAAATTATTTTCAAATAAGGAGGTCTGAAAACCAAACTTTAGGCCACTACTAACGGACAGAACTGCGGTAATTGTGTGACTCCGGTCCCGACGGACTTTTTTGGTTTGTTTGATGTTTTTCAACCGAAATAGCTGTTATTTTAAGAAGGCGCTGCTGCCAACTTGCCCCCGTGGAACCTTCCCGAGAAAATGTTCATGATGGCTCACGAATCGGAATTTTTCGCCGATTCTATTCTGGACCGCAACGCAAACTTCAAGTGCGACAATGCTCTTGAAGAGGTTTGGAGCTCATTTTCGGAAGAGGAAAACTTATTTTCGTAATTAAAAAAGGAACGGGAAAGTTAACTTTCTGATCTGATTGTTTGTGAGAGTTTTTAGAAGGTTTTGTGTGTAGAAAACATTAGAATTTTGGAATTTTTTGAAAAGAAAAATGGAAAAATTGTCCTTTCAGATGATCTCGTCGGCCGATTGCGACGCCAAGTCGGACCTCTTCACCTTTGATAACATTGGAGATGTATTTTCCACATTATAAACAGAAAACTCTAAATTGCTGACTTTTAGGTGGACCTTGATCAGACTTTGAAGTCTCAGGATGAAGATGAGAAGCCCGAGGTCGCCAAATTGGCCAAAATTTTCCAGGAGAAGGTCGATGTCGAAGACGTGAGTTTGAGGAAGAGAAAAATGAGCATACATTTGGTATTTATTTGACAAAAAGAGTTTAGAGAGCGGAAAAGAAGGCCAAAAGAAAGTTCTTAGTACGTTGAAAGGCTTGATGATTTAGAGGGCTAAAATAGGCTTTTATTACTGAATCGAGAATTCGAGAACAGTTGTAGCGTGAAATCGAACCTACAGAGTCAAGTTTGAAGCTGTCAGAGGCTAAAATTCAGCCTATTGCCTAGGTGAGCGTTCTGCTCCTAATTGTGTGCTTTAGTACCGAAAATGATCAAAATAATCATCGTAATGATCATTCTCTGGACAAAAAAAGGGATCAAAACTTATGTTCTGTTACGCTCGAACGTCTTCAAGGCCTGAAACAGACCCCCTTTTATCAATGGAGCAAAAACGCAGCTTTTCTTTGCAGAACTACCTGCGCAACTGCTCTCCGTCGGAAGACTGCATGTTCGCCGGCGTCGGCGTCATCTGCCCCCTGGGCGAAGCTTGTCGCTCTTGCAACTTCGCGCCCAAGAAGACGTCCTCCGGCTCCACCTCGTCCATTTCTTCGACTGATTCCGCCCACCACAATGCATTCAATCCCATCAGTCAAGCCTTTTAGAAAGGCCCCATATACCAAGCTTCCTTGTACCTCTGCATTTTTCTACCTTCCAAAAAGCCGCGCATTCTTCGGCCCCAACTGTTTATTTCCCACGATTCTCCATTTGACCACTTATAATTAATTCCAATGTTGCCATTCACGCCCCCAGCTTATCGATAATCGAACACCTTGGATGATTTTTTTAAAAATGCCGCAGATTCTTCTTTTTAATACAGCCTTTTATGTATAATTATTCTGTGCGCCTTTTTTCTACTTCTTCCTCTTCCATCTAAACCATTGGACTCCATAAGTTGGTATAAATAAGCCATTAAATTAAGTAATACTGTGCGGATCTGGACTTTCTCTATTTAATTCGAACTTTTTTTTACCCGCCTTGTGTTTTTCATGTTCTTAGTGAAAGTTTAACTTGTCCTGTGTCTTCGTTGACCTCTTTCTTGAATACAGTGTAAATCTTTATTTTATTCCCTATCTTATTGCTTGTAGCTGCTTGTTCTTGGCTTTTTTGATCTAGAGACTTTGGAAAGTTTGGACGTTCTAGACGTTCAAATTTTGTAGTTTTTTCTGTGTTTCGACACTTTAGCTATGCTCTGAGCTCTTCTGGTATAGAAGTTGCGAAGAGTATGAAAAAAGTGGAGAACCCAGAGAAACTGCAGCGTCTGGGTCTCTGTTTTAGCGATTTTCCGCTTTTCTTTCCGGAAAGTCTAGAGAAAATGAGAGTCAATGGCGAAAATTTTCCTTTTTTGACTCCTTTTCTCCCTTTTCTCTACTTTTCGGTGCCAAAATCCAAGCAACCTTCATAAATAAATTAATATAAATGTTTTTCTCACCTATTTGAAAAAGTTTCCTTTCCTTTGTAATTCTCAGGTTTTCCCCCACAATCCATTTAGATCTCCCGAATAACTCGGTAAACAAAAAATTAACACAGGTAATTATTGTATACATATTATTTATGTGCTCCGGTTACAGTATAGTTGCTTTAGGGAAGAAAAAAAAATGCTTGTTTTTCTTTTCCGTCCGGATTTCTCGTTGTAAAATGTTTTCATCTTGCGAAAGAACACTGTCCTTTCTTTTTCTTTTCCCTCTTCTTTTGATATATATTTGTTACTCATACGTTTTACTGTGTGTGTGTGGTTAATAGATACCTACGTAATTTTTGCACGTTTATGGGCGGTGCCACGAATAAAACTTAATATCGGCCCCATTCTTTTTTTTTCTTTTTTGGAAGACTTACCTTGACCCCGGCTGATTCCAGCGTTTGACGCGTTTCCTCATTGCCCTTTTCGTTCACGTCCCAAAGCACCAAATAGCAGCCCAGTTTGCCGAACTGTAGTTTTTGTTTTGATTTTATTCAAAAAAGTTTGGTTTTTGTTCAGAAGCTTGAAAAAATACTGAAATTTGAGAGAGAAAAGTTGAAAAATGCTTGTGGGTCTGTGGTCTTGACCGCCAACTTCTTTTTAAAAAAATTTATTTGGCATTTTTGTTAACTTTGAGAAGCTGATAGTACTAGGCTTGTTTGGAAACGAAGAACTTCCAATAAATCACAAATTACCGTAGAATAAACTGTCTACGGACTTGGTTTCTACAGTAACCCGCTTAATTTAAAAAAATTCTGTTTTTTTTTGAAAATAATCAATTTTTATTTTCAGAAACTCACTTCATAGGCTAATAATCGGCCGAGGCCGCTTCCGGCGCCAGTGATGAGGACCGTTTGGCCTGGAAAAACGTGACTTTCTTTCAATATTTATGTAGAATGATTTTCGTTATTGAATTTTATCCTTGGAGCAACCTTTCCATAAGAAAATTGATTCTTTTTTCCGTCAATGGAGCGAAATCGCCGTTCAAAAATGGTCGTTCGGATGAGAAATTGTTTCAATTCAATTTTTTTCTCGTTTTCAAAAATCGGTCGAGCTAAATTTTTTTCACAGTATCGAGTACTTTCCGGAATGATAATATGTTTAAAAAAATTAATTTTTTTAATCAATCAATTATTTGCATTTTTTTCTCCAGTCTTGGTCAAAAAGTTTTAAACACACCTTTTCGAAACGGCTTTTTTGAAGTGGATGATAGGCTCAGGCATTTCAAACCTTCTTTAGAAATTCAAACAATAAATTCATCAAAAAAATATTTTTTTAGTTCCTTTTAATCATTGAAAATCACCAACCTTTGACATCTTTTCGTGGCAGAGCTCCATTAGGAAGGAAACTTTTGATAATCGCGACAAAAATAAGCCAAAGTGTTTTCCCGATGACAACGAAAGCGTCCAAAACTTGGTCCATTGTAATAGGTTCTGAAAAAATCTATTGAAAAAAAAACCAGAGAAAGTTTCGATTATATATTTTTTCCTATGCCTTTTCCTTGCCCGAAAGAGACGAAAACAACAGAAAGTGTCTGGAAAAGTCGAAAATTTCTTTTTCAGAAAAAAAGCCGAGGAAATGAGAGCAAGAATCATTTTCACAACGTAGAAGGGTCTTTTTGAACTCGGTCCACTGAAAAAACTTCTTCCTAGACTAGGTAAGCTCAAAAATAAATATACTTCTTGAAAACACGAAAGTAGTTGCCACAAAATACAGAAAAAACATATAGTCTATTCCGCGCCAGCTTGTCACGTTTTTGTTACCGCCAAAAAGACCGTATACCAAATTAGATCAAAATTATGTTTTTATAACGGCAAGCACCAAAGGTCTTGAAAAGAAAGTTGGTAAAATTTGACCTGGCCTTTTGGCGGAAAGAAAAACGCGACAAGCTGGCGCGGAACGGCCTATAAAAAAGGTTTCTTTAAAGGTAGGTTTTTAGACGATTTCACTGTTTCAGTGGTTTTGTGGGAAGGATTATGAAAGTTGGTTTTAAATGACATAAACTTTCAGGATTTTCAAGGAGAGCTCTTAGAAATGGTATAGTTATAACTTGAGGGATTAGGGTATTTTTGGAGAATTTTTGGGTAAAAACGGGGAAAAAGTGAATTTTTTCATTGAGGTTCTGTCCTTATACTTGAACCACCCGAAAAGTAGTTTTAAAAAGCTTCAAAAAATGCGCAAAAAAGCACCAAAAAAGTGCTTATGAAAGCAATAAATGCCTTTAAAAGGTGATGCCGCGAAATGCAAAATACACGTTAGAGAAAAGGAAAGATCACTAAATTTTGGAGAGTCAGAGATAATTTTTCATTTCGCCGAGTCAATTTGAACACGGCATTATTGTGAGTCCATCTTGGGAATAAAAAAGTTCCCCGACATCAAAGCCCAGAAATAAAAAGGAGGAAGCAGGAACCACAAAAGAAAAAAAAAAGGGATAACTTTCGAGAACGAACGATATTGTTATCACTTGGCCAACGTGTTTTTCATCATTCGATTGCCGTCTTATCATTCTGTGTATCTATTGTTATCCTAGAGTACACTACCTGGGACTCCCACGAACCTTGCTGTTTGATTAGGAAGACTAGAGCCCTTTTGGAACTACGAGGAATTTTGTTATTGTGTTTCGGGTTTTCGATGAGGTTGCTGTTTCAATGATTGTTGGGAAATTTTTGCAAGGAGGTTTCGAAGCAGCATGGGGAAATAATCAATGAGAGGTTTATGAACGGGGAGCTTAGAGAGACATTTGAGAAAAATGGAATGAAATATGAAAAAGTTTTTTTAGACGATTTTACTGTTTTAGTGGTTTCATGGACTTTTTTTGGGGAAGGGGTAAGAAAATTGGTTTTTTTAGACGATTCAGTGCAGGAGAACTTTTTAGAGATGGTATAGTTGTAACTTGAGGGGCTTAGGTGTTTTTTTGAGAAGATTTTTTTATAAAAAAGAATGTGCTATTTGTTATATAAAGAAAATTAAAGAACGATTTTTTCTGTTTAAAACACGGTTTGAGACAAATTTTCTGTACTAATACACCTCGTAAAATCGAAATTTGTGGAGATTTAGAAAGAAAATAGAGAAATTTATGATAACTGGTCTTGGAGCGAATTTCTGGGAACCTAAATTGGAATTTAACAGAAAAAGTTGCCAAAGAGTAATTGGAATCGATTGGATTGGGGTGTCGAATCGAAACAATTGGCTCGTACATTGTCTGTGTCTCCTGCTCTCTCGCCATGTTGCTCTCGCTGACCTCGAAAATGCGGTCACTTTTTTTTGTGAATGGACTGGCGGAATTTTTTTGAGTAACTGTTAGGTTTTTTTTTTGGTCAGGAGGTCAAAAAGGTAGTTCAACTATAATTGAAAGCTCTCGGGTATGCATATTTTTATGCATGAACTTCACATTTTGAGAGAAGAGGGCTCAAAAAGTTGCCCGTAATATTGATCACTATCACTGGTGTAAAAAATGATGGGTAATTTCTCAACGGAGCGAACTTGAAAATACCAAAAAGCTGCTTGTTTTTACAGCCTTCCCGGAAACAGGTCAAGTAGGCCGAACTCTGAAGTTATAATTATACCCCGTAATTATTTTAGTAAAATTGGCGTGGGATTAATTTTTACAGTTTTCAGGGGATTTATTCACAGTTCTTCCCTCAAAATTTAAAAATTATAAATGTTTTTTTGACACGAAGCGAGGTTTATATGGCAAAAGAAAGTTTTTTTATTGTTATGAAAAATTCAAAAAGTAAGAGTAGAAATTAGGCTGACTTAAAAAAATTCCATTTTTTTATAGTTGTAAAAAATAAATTTTATACGGAGGCAAGTTCGCAATGAATAAATAACAGTAAACAGGGGAAAAACCAGAAGTAATACATAGTTTTAGAAGAGACAACAACGGAATGCTAACCAACGAAAAGGTGTAATAATTCTTCGGCTGGTGACAGAAAAAAACCTTCAACTTTTTGAAATCGTTCTCGTCTTTGATAGATTGGGTGGGAAAGTGAAGCTTTTTTTTTTAGCGGAGAAGGAGAAAAATGCTTTTTGAATGGGAGAAAAGACCTTAGGAAGCTCAATGTTCCATTTTTGCTTGATACTTTTTTTTGAAGCTCAGGAGAATGGAAAAAGTAGGTTTTAGACTTGACAAGGAATCGGAAGGCTTAAAATATGGAAAATTTTGAGTTTTGTATGAAGCAAATCGATGCAAATGCAAAAATACATTATCAAGTGGAAAAGGGCTTACATTTGCTCTAGTGAAAAGGAAACCTGGAGCGTGAAGGCCAGAAAAAGAGCTTCTGAGGACCCGGGAGTACAAGAAAAAGAAATTTCGAGATGGAGGAGGTCTTGAAACTCAAAAATCGCTTTTAAATTATCGGAAAGCCAAGAAAGACTTGAAATAAACTTCATGAGAAAATTGAAATGCTTAAGTATAAGGAGTTCCGAAACTGTTGAGAATTAGAGATCACTGTAATATAGAAAGGCATCGACCTCCAAATGTGTATAAAAATATCCAGCTTTCCAACACTCTCTCGTTTTCTTTTTTTATTTCAAATAGAACTGGAAAAAAACGTACCTGTGAAGTGCGAATGGAGTGAGAGGTCCATTTGAGGGATTTTTTCTAAAAAATTACTTTTCGATTCTTAAAAGGCTAGTGAATGAGCTTGGTGCGCTTTCAATGCGCCCGACTTGAAACGACTTTCGCGTGAAGGTATCGAAAAATCTTGGAACATAAGAAAGACACGTTGAGCCAGCAGGCCAAGGATAGAGACGTATAGATCGATCTTTTTGTTATATAGGAGGTAACCTTTCAAAGGAAAAAAAAACTGTAGAAAGCAGACACTTTTTCAAGGTCCGTCGTGAATGAAAACAGTCGAATGCGACTGTTTTTCCTGTTGCGAGTAAAGAAACAACCCATTTTTGGTGTTCGGTCAACTTTGCTTTGCGTCACAAACAGTTGCAAAGTTAATGGGAATGGTTAAAGATGAAAAAAAGATCCGGAACAAAACAAAAAGTTTATTCAGTAGATGTGAACCACGACGCGAGTCGCAACGCGTTTCACAATTTTTGAATTTCAAGGGCTTTAGACTTGGCTTGGAGGGAACTTTGAGAAGTGAGAAGAAGGGTATTGGAAAATTAAAGAAGAAAATGAACTGAAAACCAAGTTTTTAGGGAATTTCGGGCTCGGTTGCTATTGTACTTCTTCAAAAGGGACTGTGAAGCATGTAAAGAAGAACCTCTTTTTTCTTCGAGTTTGGGGAACTCTAGGTTAGAAAATTCCATTGGTTTTGAGCTTTTCCGAACAGAATTGGGAAAAGAATCAAAAATTTGCAGAGATGGGAAAGATATGGCGCAAACCGCGGCGCGAGCCGCGGCGCACCGAACAGAACTGGTATGTTTTTCGGGTTTCGAACTTGGAAACGATCCTTTTGAAGTCTGGGGGAAATATTTTCATTAAAAAAAGTCATAATTTTAGAGGCGGGGTTAGTTAATCCTGATGGTCTTGGTTAATGGTTGGCTTGAGTCATCGGAAAGTAAAGGTCCTGACACGATAACAAAAGAGACAGTGCCTAGTTGATGGAGAGCGCAGACACGCCACGCATTTTCGCATCCCAAAGCTAGCCGTGAATGGACTATATCATTTTTTTCCTATTAAATTATTTCCTTCTTTTTGCGACTTTTCGATAAATATGAAATAGATTGCACTAATAAATAACGTTTATTCAAAAAAAGTGAATCACACCAAAAAAACATAATAATACCTGTTAACAATAAATTGCAAAATTTAAAAAAGGCAAAATCATTCATTCTCACTTAACCGCTGATTGGGGCGTAGGTCATTTGATTTGAAGCTAAACTTGCTCTCGCAAAGATCTTCTTAATCAAAAATTATGAAATCGTTGCAAATCAAGCGATGAAACGAAAATGAGACAGATTTGAACAAAAGTTAGACGTTTACTTCCGGGAGGCATCATGTTTTGTCTATTCATTTTCCTGACGCCGGCGCCGACATCGTGCAGTTGCATAATGCTCCGTCGATGGGCCTGTAATCAATACAGTTATTCAATCGTTTAATCAATGGAGAAAAACATTTGAAAAGATTATTCTTCCGCGCTTGTTCATTAACCTGGAATTTATTTACAAGTAAAGTTCTATACAAACTGGTAAATACGGGAGGCGCGGCCTAAAACACCATTTTCCTATGTGACGTCATGCGAAACAGCAACAGTTATTAAAGGCGCATGCGACTTCGTTTGCATAGGTCATGAGGCTACTCGATTTTCCAAATATCACAGACTTTCTTCGCTCAAGGTTTATTATCAATAATTTTTTGCTTATTTTTCCAAATGGGCAGAACGTCACCAAAAATACGCCGTGAACAAAAAAAAAAGTATCGGATGCACTTTTTATATTCACGTTCACACGAGCTTTTGAACGTAACTTTAAATAGAACAAGATTTATATGAATTTTCGCGGATTCAATTTTTCATCCCGCCGCCTTGAAAAAAGTTAAGCACTCTGACGTTCAAATGAATCGGTCAAGTGATCGGCTTTTTTTTTCTTGAAAAGTGGAAGAATTCTTACATTTCATTTATCGTCATCGCCGTGTTGGTATATGTCAATGTTCTATTCACGTTGCAGACCAGAGTAATCGGCGGCATGTCTTGGGTAGGCGTTGGCACTGTCACTTGGACATTCGTCGTCGTTTTGTGGAACTGAAAAATGTTCTATGAGCTTTTAATTTTGTCAAAGAAGTCGTTTTGATCAAATAACTCCCACGTTGATGGCAGTAATCTTTTATAAATTTATCAAAGTTTCACGTTCTTGCGTATATTTTTGGACGGAAATTTTTCGATGTCGATCGAACTTTAATATTTTCGCGATGGCGCAGGTTGTAGAACAAATATGAATGAGAAAGATGAAGATAAGAAAAACTTACACTGAGAGTGCAGCCCGTCGCGCAGCTCACCGTGAACCGAGCGCAACCGGTTCCCAATGGGGGATTCACACTAAAAACTAGATTTCAGTTAGGCCCTCTTTCCAAATAAATTTTCAGATTATCATGGGACTTACGCCGTGACCATTGGTGGTGCGGATCCCATTGGGGTACCTTCCACGATCGAAAGTTGGGAAGCAGTGCATTGCTCACAATCTCAAATTTTAAAATGAGACACCTACTCGAAAAATTAAAAAAAAATCTTGTCATTTATACAAACGCATAATGGTGAGGGAACATACCATCCTTCGGTGTCAAAGCGGTTGCGTTCTGAAAATCGTTGATTTATAGAAAATCTTTAAGAAATAGTTTATTATAACCAAGCCAATCTTCGGCGGTTCTAATAGTCTTTTTTTCGGCTCTACCCTTTGACTAAATTTTTTCGTTCTTCTCTAATTAATTGTCTCTTCTCGGGATATCACGCATAGAACGCTGGTCTCACTTTCGTCCTTTTTTTGCAGCAAAAATTCAATGAAATCAATATATTTCAATTTTGAATCAGAATGGAATTTTTTATAGGTCTACAGTTAAGATCTTAAAAATTTATGAGAATTTGTAGACTTGAACATTTTTTCGCGTCCCGCAGACACCAAAATTGAAAGAAACTTAACAATTTGAGTTCGAAAATAAAAGTCCCAAATTTCGTTGAAAACTGCTGGGATGTACTTCTAGGGTCACTGAATCTTTTTAAAAAATTCGATTTTGACTTTCAGTCGAAAATCAGGGATTTTGACGTTTTTCTGGCTACATAACTTGACTAAAAAAACAAAAATCAACATATTTTTTTGTTAAAAATCTTCATTCTTATCAAGTATACAGAGTTTTTTTGAACTTGATCTGAGAAGATAGTCTTGCAAGAAGATCTACACTTTTTTTTTATTGATGGAGAAATTTTTAAAAAGAGTGTATTCGTTTCCATAGGCCGAGAGACACAAAATTTGCAGAAAAGTCAAATTTTTCATTAAAAAAAGAATTTTGACGTGAGAATCTAGCGTAAAATGTGAATACTTACCGATGCGGGAACAGTCTGCAGGCAGGCCTGGTCGGCAGGAATTTTGAAGAGTACGAAAAAAATTGCGAACAAATAGGAAGGAATCGACATTCGGTTCATGTTGAAGTTGATGGTCGAAATCGAGGCTTGTCTCAAAATCTTCGCTAGGCTCTTTTATAGGGACTTTCTACTCGTAAGTCTGGTCGCAGTTCTTTTCGGCCCTTTTTTGCGATAGCCGTGAGTGATCGCGATCCTGGTATTTCCTATCGAAGTTTCCGAAAGCCTGTTTCGATGTTTCCTTTCAGGATCCGTCTTTTTTTTCAATAAGGAAGGTCATTTATCTCCTTGACTTTTTCTAAAAATTGAACTCGACTCTCCGAGTGAAAAATCGAGATCTTGTATTTTCTCTTCGGTTACCGCCTGTTCGGTTTTTCCTGTCAGAACCCGTTTTTTCCCCGAAATCTCACTTCTTGAAATTTTCTAAAAGTTGAACCCGACACTCGGCGGTGTACCTGATACTAGAGCTGTGGTTTTCCAACTATTTTCGACTTTCTTGTAGCGTCTTTTCTTCAAAAATTGGCAGTGATGTTGATTTTTGGGTTCTTTCTCTATTGTTCCGGCCGATTCTTCATAAATTCCCAAACTCAAAGGGAAAAAGCATCGTTTTTGAACTTCTATTGTTTTTTGAGCTCCATCCTGTTTTCCAACAGATCAAAATAGGGAGATTATCATTTTAGATATAAGTTTCCAATTTTTTTTTTCCGGATGTTCTTTTTAAGGCTGACTGTGAATTTTCAATCAGAAGTTCTCAAGGGATGAGCTCGCTTATAAAGTACGTGAGCAGGTTGACTCTGAATGAAAAGACCAAAAAATTCGGAAAAAATAGATATCTGCCTAGATGAGCTCGTTTGACGATTTTTTCAAAATCTGAGCGCTTATTACTTTTCTCACAAACCTCTTTGGCCTTTTTTGAGGAAAGATTTGGGATCTGCTCGGAAAACTGTATCCACAAGGAGATCATTTCATTTGCGGTTAGAATTTTCCTGAAAGTTGGCCAGAACGCTCCTTGATGTACCAGATGAAGATTCTAAGGGTCTCAACCTGCACAGCTCTCTAATTTTAGAGAAATAAGGAAGCCTCTTTATAAACTTTGAAGTTTCCTTTCTCGAAAACTAGGAAGTTGTGCAGGTTGCGACTTTCAGAATCTTCATTTGGTACTTCACGAAGTGTTCTGGCCAATTTTCAGGGAATTCCCAACCGCAAAGTGAAATGACCCCCCCCTCTGTTAGTCTCAATTAGAAGTACCACTGTAAGTTGAGATCAGTACCTAGACAGTTAGAAAAATGTTTATTGAAGAACTTCGAGTAACCTTTTCAATAATTTAATAATAAATTTATCTATCCATTTTCTCCCAAATATAGTCGAACCAAAAACGTTCCCCCTGATCCGCTATTGGAATTTTCGATCAACCACCCGCCAATTTGGTGATTCACCTGTTCCCCCCAGGCGCCGGTGTCGGAAAACCCTCCGAAAAAGAGAACCGTCTAGCTTCTCTCGACTCACCCTCTCACTGCGGTTGCTCTCTCGCCTCGACAAATTTTGCATCGGCTCCCTTTCCAACTGTACTATATTATTATCATCATCATACTGCTTCTTATCAATTTTATCATCTTTTTAGGGTTTTCTGGGTTTAAGAAGTGTTTGTAGTTTAGAGACGTCTTTTAGAGACTAAATTGCTCTCTTTAGAAATGTTTCAGTTGATAGGAAAATAAGAGGAAGTCTAGCCATTCCAAATGCGACCACGCAAACCGTTTTGAGATCGGTTTTGGTTTTTTGAAGGTATCGCCTCGCAGTCGGGACGGTTAGAGCCATTTTCAATGCGGTCATATCGTTTTGAAAATTTTTTTTTTTGAAATGGAAATTATGGACTTTTAGCTTTTTTTTTTCACTCCAATCGTCAGAAAATGGCAAAACCGAACTTATGACCTCAAACTTTGCAAGCAGACACACAACCTCTGGGCTATAGGGCTGCAAAAAAGACTTCTTCATTATTTTATTAAGTGATGTAACTGGGAAAGGATGAGCCATTTCAAATGCGGCCAGAAAACTTGTTTGCATCAGCCAACAATAACTGAAGCTTTTCCTTTCCTTTCCCCTGTAAATAATATAACAATTATCTTTTTTGTAAACATATCTATGTTGACAAGGAAGGTCGTTTAACTTTGTGGTCGGGAATTTCTTGAAAATAGGCCAGAACTTTCCTCGATGTACCAGAAGAAGATTCTGAAAGTTTCAACACGCACAACTTTCTACTTTAATAAGTGCCTAAAGCCCCAAAAAAGCCGATTTTAATGGATTTTGAGGTTTTCTTTGACTTAGACGCCTCTTTTCTCAAAAACGAAGGGTTGTGCAGGTTGAAACTTTTAGAATCAACTTCTGGTACACCAAGAAGCATTCTGACCAATTTTCAAGAAAATCCAAACCGCAAAGTAAAATTACCTCTCTTGTGAGTATGTCATTAGAAAATTTTCAAAAAAAAAAAATCACTAGGAATTTTTCACCTTCCACTCTTTCTTACCTTTGTTTACGATTCCAAAAAGTTTGCAGAACGGATTTTTTCAAAGCTTCTCGTTGTTGATTATTGTCTTAAAATTCAGGAAAACTTCTCGTCATACTCTAATTTTCGAATCTGCGAATCTAACTGAATCTTTCTTTTTAGTTTGGTAATTTTAACAAATGTAAACAAGTTATCACGTACTGTGATTACCTGCACATCTAACTAGGATTTTCGAAGCTTTGAAAAATTTTAGAGGTTTTTGACTGGTTGTGTTGGTACATATTGATTGATAAATGACTGATATTTGATCATGAAGAGCAGGATTTTACAAATCCGTCACCCGAGTTATTAATCAATTTTTTGAAATGAAAAATTGTTTTTTTAAGGGCGAAGAGCCGCTCTGAATTTCAAAAAATTCAATTTTTGGGTTTTTTTTTCCATTTTTCATGTTTGACTAGCAAAATGCCATCAAATTTTTATTGAATATTTTTTTTTTTCATTTTATATGAGAGTCGCAGTTTTTTTTTTTCAAAGGCCTGTTTTTGCTTGGAACTTTTCACATTTCGTTTTGATTTGAAAGTAAAAATTGCAGTGATGGAAGACATTTTTCTAAACTCTACGTTTTGTTCAACAACAAAAAAAAAAAATCAAGCCCCACATACTAGAAGTTGATCTAAACTCCTTTTTGTGCACCCTAGTACGAAGAAGTTCAAGCCAGTCGTGATTGAAAACTAGACTTCTAAATCGGTCAAGTTCAATCCCTCTTTTTTGAGTATCAGCTCAAAAATGCTTCTCAAAATCAACGTGAAACACCAATTTTCCCTTGAAAACCGATCAATATCAAAATTTGCACCGTTCCTTATGACCTGGCCGGTTTTGTTTTGTCTCGGTTGCCTAATAAGGGAGGCGAAATTGCGCGAAAAGGCAGTATCAATGAATGTCATCGACCTTGTTCCTCCTCCTCCTCTTTTTCCTTTTCCTCTTCCGTTTCCCCTCCCCATACCCTGTTTTCTGGGTTTGGGTTTCATTTATCGAAATTTTTTTTTGAATCATTTTGGCCCATACATCAGCTTGAACGTTGGAATCGGTAGAGAAGTCGTGAAAGGACAACAAAAAACTATTCCTTAGGTGGGAAGCGAACCACCGACCCTCTGATCCTTAATCTTAGTCTAACCGACTGCGCCATTCATCTCAAAAGATATTAGAATATTTTCTGATAATGACCTTACAGTTCAGAACTGCTCCATTCATTTTTGAAGCCTGGTTTACAAGAAATTTTCGTTTTTCAGTCCTGAAATACTCTGGAAACTCAGAATTTTCTTGAATTCGTTTCATTTATGGGCACTTTTTTGCTTTTTTTTTGTCGTGTGCAAAAAAACAGTAAATATTTGTTGAAAATTCAAAAATTAATCGCCGATAAGGCTTTGCAGAATAGTTAGCAAACAGTTACATGCGGCTCCAATCTCATGAGTCAGGCAGAATTATTTTGGCCCATACATCAGCTTGAACGTTGGAGTACTGTTGAAAAATCATAAATAACAACAAAAAACCATTTCGCCAGTAGGAAGCGAACCGGCGACCCTCTGATCCTTAATCTTATTCTAACCGACTGCGCCATTTATCTCAAGAAAATATTAGGTTATTTTCTGACACTGACGGTACTATTCAAAACTGCTCCATTCATTTTTGAACCCTAGTTTACTAGAAAAGTCAGGATTTTCTTGATACATGAGCGATCTTTTTTCCTATGTTGTATGGGTACGCCGCGCGAAAATTGTTATTAGTCGGGCGCAAAAAAAGCAGTAAATATTTGTTGAATATACAAAAATTAATCGCCGATAAGGCTTTGCACAATAGTTATCAAACAGTTACATGCGATTCCAACCTCATGAGTCAGACTGGGAAGAGAAATTTGCATTGGAATTTGTCTATTCACGTCATTTTTCGGCCCATTTTTACTGAAATTTTGGTTTTTTTTTTTCAAGACCTCCTAAAAGGTTATGGGCGAAGCATGCAAAAAAAATTTTTTAATGCTTTTTTTGCGCTTCATTGATAATCTTCGGAAACCCCCCATTCGATCTGAATGACTTTATTTCTTCTATTTGAAAATGGGATCATTATCGAAATTTACGAATTCCAGACGTTGGCGCGGTTTCCGTGCAAATGTGGTCATGGCTGACGATTGCCGTCGTCCTGACGTCTTTTCGGGGCTCTGAACTCTCGAATTTGTTGGTTTTTCTCATTCTGGGGAACTATTGGGCAGTCTGACCCTTATGAATACATTCTGTGTAATCTTAAGGTTTTCTGCTTGTCAGTTCATTCTCTTCAAGTTATTCTCTTCAAAATATTCTTTACCTTGATTCTATTGATTTTTAAAGTATCAAGAAAGTTTGAATATACTTGAAGCTTTAAATGGTCGCTTTTCAGCTTATTTTAAGACGAAAGGTATGAAAAAGCTGTTAACGTAGTTTAGCGCCTCTCCAAATATTCATCATTCATATTCTTTTGATTTAAAGTCCATGGTCGCATTTAAAATGGCTCAACGCGAAGCGGTCGCGCTGCGGTTCAATTCAAAAATCCAAGATCTCTCAAATTTTTCGCCCGACGCGCTTTCAGAGCATATATCGGCTGGATCCCACCCCAGCCTTTTGCGCGCGAAAAAAATTTTGAAATTTTACTGATGAGATAGGACGCACTTTTTGGGGGGGCTACAGTTTGAGGGAGGAAGTCGCCCCCCAAGATTGGGATCCAGCCAACGTATGTTTAAGAGCAAGCGAGCCATTCTCTGTGCGACCAGAGTTTTTTTTTTAAATTTCATTAAAACTAGTCTTTAACATTTATTTAGAAGCAATTCATGGCAAAATGTACTTTTTTTTCAGTTCAACCGAAGGAAGCGGCGACTTTCCATCGCCGCCAGTCTCACTCGCGGAACAGTTGAAATTTTCACCTTCAGTAGATGATTCTCTATTGACGAGAAATATTTCAAAGCGAGCCGCTGATTTTGTGGGTTTTCGAACTGATATTACTACTACAGTATATAGTTATCTCTGTACAATCTCAAAAAACCTACTTTTCGAAGCCTAATCAAGTGTAAATGACAGAAGAAGCTGATAAAAATCAACTTTTAAAATGTTCACTCTCACGAAAAAATGACGAGAACTGTCATTACTATGGTTAATGCTTTTAAAATGATCAAAAAAAGACCATAATTCCCAATAGAATGGTGGGAATATGTCCACTGAATGGCGAGTCGGTGAGACCACGCTGAGTGATATTAATCGGCGCACGCCGCTCCGAGTCGGGCGCGGCCGAAAACCGGGCTCCTCACCTAATCCAACAAGACAACTCTGGTTCCTTTGCATTTGACCGAGAAAATCTTTCGCCTTTTACTAAAGATTTCCGTGCAAAGGGGCAACTTTATGAGTATTGCCCAATTTTTGGAATCCCCTCGAAAGAGCGGGACAAAAACAAATTTTAAAAAGTGTCATTATATTTATTAATGTCGTGTTCAAAGGGATTCCGCAAAATGGGAAATACCCGTTAGAGGAAGAAAAATATAAGTGAATTCCCGATGTTGCGAAAATAAAATGATCAATCAAATTCTGGAGAGCCAGAGAACATTTTGCATCTCCCTGAAATTAATTTGAACACCCCAAAAATAATTAAAGTAGTTTATTACTTTGACAGAGATAATTAATAATCATGACTAAATTGGCGTTGGGGGTTTTTGCCAACTTATATGGATTTTATTGTATTTTTCTTATTGAAATTTGAACATTTCTTACCAAGGAACGGACTCCGGTCGCACGGGGACCCCTTAATAAGACCAAGTTTTCTAGATGTATTTTTTCACGCTGATCTGTTCTCAAAAACAGCTGAGATCTGTGAAAACAGTTATGGACCCTCAAAAGTTGAAAATCCATTGTCTTCGATTAGTTTTGACGTATGACGGAGCTTTGGAAAGTCATATCTATGCTTAAAATTTTTTTTCTTGTAGAAAAAGTAAATTGTTTTATGTTATCTGAAGAACCAGATCTGTATATGCTCTAAAAATGAGCTCAATCGAAGACAGTGAAATTTTCAACTTCTGAGGGTCCATAACTTTTTTTACAGATCTTCTCGGCAATTTTGAGATCAGATTTGGAATCAGCGTGAAAAAAATACATCAAGTAAACTTGGTCTCAATAAAGGGTCCCATTGCGACCGGAGACCAATTTCTGGTAAGAAGTAATGAACATGGCTGAGCCTTCTTTATTGAGCTTGAAGGTTTTACGAGTTTTTTTAGTTCAAAAATTGAAATTCTCTATTAAATATCTTCCCAAAACGCCTTAGATTGGAAGAATTTGACCATTCATAATTTTTTTATTGCTTCTAAATTTCCAGTACAACGGGATAATCGACCGAGAGTTCTACACTCCCTTTGTTTTGAGCCGTCCTTCGATACCAAAAACGGCAGTTTTGGCCTTCGATCGACCTTTACAGCGTGGAAATGCCGTTCCTCAAGTACAGTACATTGGGCTGTGGTTCGTCTTCTAATAATTAAACTTTTGACCGCGCTCGGAATGGTTTTTGAATTTTTGGGAAGGCCGCGACGCATTTAGCCATTCCGCGTGCGGACCTTTTTTATTTTCAAGCTGATTTTTTTCGAGGAAAATGGAAGAAATGTGGTTTTTCAAGCTAAAAAAAACCTTCTCTTATAAGATAAGAAAGATTCTCTGAAACCGATTTGAAATGGTTTACGTTTAGGTTATTTTTGAGTATTTATTCTCAAGAAAAAATGATTAATATATGACGCTTTTTGATGGTAGAAACTATCTGCAATTTTTGAAAATCTGGCTTAGCAGAACCTGTTTTACTTACCGACCTGAAACGGCATACGTGAAGGTTCACGTCTTACTATTTCAATTGGAACTTGCTTTTTGTCTATTTGATTTTTTTTTACTTGAATTCCTACCTTTAGGGCTCCAAGAGGACAACCGCCACATTGGGGCGCGATTGGCCTCAATTCCGTTGGAAAACTTGACGGCATTTTCGTCAAGGTTTTATTTCTAGAACTTCCCTGTGAAAATCCCTTTTTTCATCCAGGATGGCCGAATTTTCAATTTATCACGTCCAGAACTCATAAATACGCCGATTCGGTTACTACAGTACGTCGGAACAGCGGATCGGAACAATTTTCGGTCAGTTTTAATTTTTATTATATTGATTTTCAGTACCTTGCTATTTCAAAATGAAAAAGAAAATTTTGAAAAGGTATGAGAATTTAACGAAATTGACCGGATCAGTGTTAACATAGGCAAAGTCGGAAGGACCCTTTACAGCGTCCGTTATGGATCAAAAGGCTCCCATTAATTTTTCCTAAACGGGTGACAACAGTTTCCTTTTCACTGCCTTTTTTAGGTCCTTTTATCGGACTTTATCCACCCTTTTTGGACCCTTTTGAAAAACAAAAAAGAAAGGCTCAATAATGGTCGCAAAATGGAACCCTTTTAGCGGCCATTTTGCACCCGTTTTCCGCGATTCCGGCTTTGGCAGTGAATATTCAGAGAAGAAGGTTTTCCGAGGCTTTGGATTTGATAAAATCAGCATTACTCCACTTACTCTGTCATTTTCCCAGGACTTTTTTCAGATTTTTCAAAAATTCACATGTTAGTAACTTCTAGAATGTATGAAAAAAACAATTTAAATAAAATTTCGGCCGGCTTCATGTGTGTTGCGTGACGGTCAGAATGCGATTTTCAAAATTACCGAACCGCAACGCATCCAGCCATTCTCAATGCGGCCAGGCATGCGAGAAAAGTTGTTTGGGAAACCAGACTACGCCGCAGTTTTGCTCCATGGAAAATCGAATTTTAGACTTTTTTCCTTTCTATCAGTTTCCTTGGATATGGGACTCTTCATTGCTCTTCGCTTCAAACTAAACTGTTGCTTATTTATCATTGTTTCCCTAGGCAATGTTTTACCTTTTGTTGGAGGTAATTTTGTTTCTTGCCTTTTTTGTATGTATTTTACAAATTATCTCATTTTCCGATCACTCATGATTTTTTTAGTTTGGTTCATTCGGTTATATGAAGTTATTTTTGGATCCAAGAAAACAAATAAGAATTTTCAAAAAAATTGAATCAGTTTATAATTTTCTATGTAGTAACCATCGTATTTTGCTCGCGAGAACGATAAAATTGAATAAAAACAAGCGAAAACCTTCTTAGTAAAGTTGAAAAAGGAACAAAAATTCAGAAAAGAAAAAATTTTTTTTTAATTCTAAGCGTTCCATGGAGCAAAATTGCGGCGTGGCCTAGTTTTCCAAACTGACTGAATTTTGCAGCATTCCATGCGACAAAGTCGTCTTGAATGGAACTCTAGCCCCTTCATGGCGGGAAGGGGCAGTCAAAAATTAGAGCAGCCTTTAAGGTGAGGCCCCAACTGGCTCACCGCTGCTCATTTCCAAAAACAAAAATAAGCGTATAACGGGGCCTTTCAAATTATCTCCATGGGTCCACCTTCTAGGCTACCTAGTTGTAATTTTCATTGTTCGGAGAAATTTGAAGGACTAGGTCCTATTTGACTGCGACCGACTCGAGACAGGTCCACGCCTCGTGGCATATTTTGACGTGAAATGATGATTTCGTTAATTTTTTTTGGAAAAAAGGCTATTTTTTTTTTAATAAAAGTTCAGTGTCGTTATGTTTATTCAATTCAACCATGCGTTTTTCTGAGTTGTTTATTTTTACTGCGACCAACCTGAAACAGGACAGCGCATCGGTATACAAACAAAAAGATTTAAAAATTAGTTTATTAACAATTTATTTCCTCAGTAAAGCTTTGTTTTTGGAACGTTTCTTTTTCGTAATAATTAATTTTAATATTGTTAAGTTGCAACCGACCTGAAACGGGTCCACGTCCTGAGGTATCTTTCAACACATTTTTGGGCGTTTTCAGACAGTGATATTAATAAAAAATCTTTTTTGTTTTTTTTTCCATCAATTTTCATATAATTACTTTTTTGTATACACTTGAGTATTGTTAAAAAAAATAAGGAAATGTAATTTTGCAACTGATACGTGCTGAGATATATTGAATCATTCTAAACTGTAGGATTGACAAAAACTCTTTTTTTTCCATTTTTACGCTTTTTAAAAGCCGAAAACAAGAGAAATAGCGTTGAAGACTACAAAAAGGCGCTCACCGCTCCGCGTCGGGCGCAGTAAACAGCCACACGGTGAGCGTCCTAACCGTCCTTCGAATATTCCGGAGCAATGTTCGCAGGTTTGTTCGAACAACGTGTAGAGGTCACTTGCTCATCCTCCACGTGGGCGAGCAAATCTGTTTATTGGTTCGTTGTTTGGATCGAGTTTTCGTTGAGCTTTCAACAAAGCCATCCACACGGACTGAGTGGGCTGCTCCACTAATTTTTGCAATCCCTAAAGGGATAAATGTGTTGTTTATTAATAGATATATAAAGTATTGTCAGAGCACAATTTTCTTGTAAGAAATTCAATCTTTCTGAGACTTTCTGGAGTTGTGTGATAACTGTTATTTCTTAACACTATCATAAAGTCTCAGTTCATAGAAAAAAAAGCAGCTAATTTTAAGAACAGTGAATAAATGTTGCCTTTTGGAAGTCACGACATTAAGAACACTAAGTCAACAAATTTTCATTTTTTTTTGTAATTTTTATAAGAAAACTTTTGAAAACTGTACATTTATACACAAAGACGACAATGACAAAAAAGCTCGAGACCATAAATTAGTTTTTGCAAGAAAAAATGCAGACAGACAATTTTAATTACGTTTCTATATAGTTGAAGTTTTATAGTTCATAAGTTATCTTTATCAATCAAATCATTTATTTTGTTTTTTTAGTCTGATGTAATCGACTAGGCGGTGAACAAGAACTTTGAAAGTTATAACGAACAACCGCCTTTGGCGAGCTAGAAGTCCAAACGTGTAGTCGAAAGAGTTGAAAGAATGATCTTACGGTCCTTCGTCTCGTCCTTCTGCGCGTAGTTCATCCAGTTGCGCCTTGACAAGCTCAGAATGTAGCGGATGTTGTGCTGGAGCCCGGAGACCGTGCTCTAGGTGGAAGCCTCAGAATGAGAGCGACCACTTCGAGTGAAGATTTTACACGGAATGAAGATTTTACACGGAATGAAGATTTTACACGGAATTACTTTTTTATACACTTGAACGTTGTGAAAAAAGTTTCAAGAAACAGTCGAAATTAATTTTGCCTCTTATACGTTCTGAGTAGAGTTCTCAAAAGTAAATGTTTGAACGAACGTTCAACCAAACATTTTCCGAACGTTTGATGAATTCGACCCATTAGTTAAATTTCACATGAACCGTTTGTTAAAAAAACTTCATTTTGGTTAAATTTCATAACTGAGCATTTAAAAAAATGAACAATTACTTATTTTTTTCGAAAAAAATTTTTAGTTAAAAAAATGAACATTTAAATTTCATTTTGAAATGTTTGGTCAAAAAAAGTAAACATTTAAAAACTCATTTCGGAAATTTTGGTCAAAAAAATGAACATTTAAATTTCACTTTTGAAATTTTTGGTCATTAAAACGAACATTTATTTACTAGTCAGAATTTGATTGTTTAGAAAACGACCATTTATTCTTCAGTCATTATTTGAAAAGTCACAAAATGAAAAGAATGAAAGTGATCAATTTTGGTTGATCTTTCAAAAAAACGACATTCGTTTGAAATGTCAAAAAGAAAATTTTTCGTTTTTGAAAAATGTCATTTTTTTCAATTGGTCATTTTGAGAACTCTAGTTCTGGGATATATTCAATCATTCTAAACTATGGGATTTACAAAAACTCTTTTTTTTTTCCATTTTTACGCTTTTTGAAAGCCGAAAGCAAACGATATAGTGTTGAAGACTACAGAAAGGCGCTCACCGCTCCGCGTCGGGCGCAGTGAACAGCCACCCGGGGAGCGTCCTAACCGCCTTCGAATATTCTGGAGCAATGTTCGCCGGCTGGTTCGAACAACGTGTGAAGGTCATTAGCTCATCCTCCGCGTTGGCGAGTAAAGCTGTTTAAGAGATCGGAGTCTGGAAAACCTAATCCAACCGATATGAGTGGGCTGCTCCACTAATTTTTGCAATCCCGAAAGGGATAAATGTGTTATATATTAATAGATATACACAGTATTGTCAGAAAAGTTACGAAAAAAAAAACAGAGTCTCGGCTACAATTTACTTGTAAAAAGTGCAATATTTCTGGAGACTGTTATTTTTACACTCCGTAAAGTTTCAGTTTACAGAAAAAAAAACAGCTTCAGAAAATATCAAGAAGATTGAATTCCTTACAAGAAAGCGGTGACCGCGTTTTTTCGTTACTTTCTGACGGTTTTAAATAAATATTGATCGAAATCATGAAAGAAATTTTTTTAGAACAGTATATGAATGTTCTATTTTAGAAATCACTACATTGAGAACACTAGGTCAACAAACTTTCATTTTTTTTTTGTAATTTTTATAACAAAATTATTGAAAAATGTACATTTGTACACAAAGCCAATATGAAAAAAGCGAAAGAGAGAGAAAAAAATGGAAAATAAATCTGTGCTTACTTGAAAAAAGCTGCCTTCCAAGAGATGCTTAAAAAAATCGAGGTATCCGATAACAAAATCCAGAATTTTGATTTTGAAAACCTGGGTCTCTAGAAGATTTGAAAAAGCGCAGGAATATTGAACCTCGCTATATTCTTGACAAATTTATCCAAGAAATCAAAGAAACCCATCAGCGAACTTTTTTATAATATTTATTGAAAATAATCAATTTTTCAATTACACAAAAGATGTATTTTCCCCCCCACACACCGTTTGAGTGCGAAGAGCAGCATCCCAACGCTGAAGATTACAAAAAGGCGAGCGCCGTTCTCAGTCGGGCGCAGTGATTGTTGACGAGGCAAAGGTTCTCTAAATGCCCGAAACGTTTCGGAGCAATGTTCGCTTTGCACGTAGCAATTCGCGTCGTTGTGAAGCCGGATCGTCGGGAGTTTATTTTTCCCATATGACGAGCAAAGCTACTTGGTGAACTGCTCCACTAAATTTTGCAATCCCGAAAGGGATAAAATGAGTTGAGCCTGTTAGTTAAGTGCTTGGGTGAAAAAAAGTTTTAAAAAAAGTGTTCAAAATGAAAAAATCACGCAGGAAAACTATCAAATCATCTTATTATGAGAAACTTTGAATGAAGAAGTTTGATCCTAGCTATATTCTTGACAAATTTCTCCAAAGAAATTGCAAGAAACCATTTTCTAATATTAATTGGAAATATTTTTCAATTACACAAAATATAATTTTCATTGAAAAATAATCAATTTTTTTCAATAACACAAATCTTGCATTCGCCCCCTTCCCCCACATCGTTGTACAACCTGTTCAAAGTAGGAAAAGCAGCATCCCAACGCTAAAGGTTACAAAAAGGCGAGCGCCGTTCTCAGTCGGGCGCAGTGATTGTTGACCCGGCGAGGGTTCTCTCGATGCCTGAAACGTTTCGGAGCAATGTTCGCTTTGCACGTAGCAAATCGCGTCGTTGCGAATATCGTCGGGAGTTTTTCTCCCATATGACGAGCTACTTGGTGAACTGCTCCACTAAATTTTGCAATCCCGAAAGGGATAAAATGAGTTGAGCGCTTGGGTGAAAAGTTTTCAAATTACAACGATCTCGCGGGAAAACTATCAAATAATCTTTTATAAGAAATGCCTCCAAATGAATCAAAGGAAATCATTCTTGACCTGTTTTTTTTACTGTATTGTTCGGAAATATTCCATTCACGTAAAGTGAATATTTTTCCGGTGGTATGAAAAAATGACCAGCGAAATTTTGAACGGCAACTTTTCCGATTTTTCCATATCTTTAGAGAAGTTTCCGACTTTTTTTTCACGATAAATTCTTCGTTTTGAATTTTCCTATATAAAGTAGCATGATTAGAACACAGAGAAACAGAAAAAAAAAATCCAAAATAGATGGTTTATGAACCGAAAAAAATAAGTTCCCTAGTGATATGACAAAATCGGAAAGGTCGCCGTTCAAAAATTCGCTGGTTTTTTTCTTCATACCACCATTTTTCCCCATATCCAGCAAACTTTTTGAAGTGGAGGATCAGCATCATGTATATAAAGTTGCGCCCGACCATGAAACGACTTCCGCTAGTCATAACTTGAGCCATTACAATCGCGTCCACAAATGTTTCACTGAAATTAATGGAGAATCTGATTAATCAAATTCATGATAACAATGTTTCTATTTGAATTTTCTGCGCCCGACTTTGAAACGAGTTCCGCGAGTATAGGCATCAAATCTGCAGAGTTTTTAAATGAGCAATATAGAAAAATATTGTCAGCTTTTTTCAGTTTTTCCTGGGTTCGAGCAATCGACGCCGATGTGGCGACGGTGGTCAGTGAGAAGAAATACGGAGATTTGTGCTCACCGAGAATGGCGCCCGCTATTATTCAGGTTAGAATTTGTTAAAGAAACATTTGTGCGTTAAAGAAAAATTTCGGCACTTTCTGTTTAAAAAGTCCGATGGGAAATACAGCGTGGCGCAAGCCGGCTCGAGTCGGTTGCAAAAATAAAACTGGCGCCTTTTTATTGAGACACTTGATATTCACTCTTGTTTCCTATAACATGCCAATTTTTGGTTTTTTTTTTATTGAAGATGTCAGTTTATTGAAGGCGCATGACGTAAACCGTTTCAAGTCGGTTGCAAAGAAAGTCACGCCTCAAGTAGATATTTTCTGTTAGAAAAACTATGTTTCTCCCCTTCAACTCAGAAAAAAAAATTCCTTAGAAATTTAATCTTGTCGTAAACCGTCTCAAGTCGGTTGCAAAGAAAGTCACGCCTCTCTATCTTATTGGAAGAGGTTCTTATTGTTTGTCAATCATGAGGAAACCATATTGATTTCCTTCAACTCAAAAAAACATTAGTTAGAATTTTCATCTTGCCGTAAACCGTTTCAAGTCGGCTGCATTTCAGGACCAAGGCTTTGAATTCCTTGGCGAAGCCGACATTGACAATCGCGTAATGTACTATGTGCATGACGGTCTCGCGACGAAAGTTGAAAAGGTTGGATTTTCGGTCGCATTTGGAATGGCTCGCAATGCTGCCAATCCATTCCAAATGCGACCATCGCCATTGAAGTTGAAATTAATTAAAAAATCTTTCAGGATATATACACGACCAAGGTTTTTCTGCTCTCCAAAACGAGGTGTCAGTGCTCCTGTCCATTAGAAATTTATTGATTTTATTGATTTTTTTGTCTTGCGAACGGTTTGATCTCATTGTGATACAATTCATGTTGTGATAGCGAATATCGATTACGGGGATTTTTTTAGATATTTTTTTCTTTGTGAATAAAGAAATGTCTCGGTTTTTACAAGTGTTGTTTCATTGAAAATCAAGTTTCTATCGCATTATTTATTTATTCCTTGACTTTGGTCGCATTTGGAATGGCTTGATGCGTCGCGGTCGCGTTGAGCCATTCCAAACGCGGCCCTGGTTTGATTATGTTTTTTATATTGATTTCAATGAATTACTCACCTCGTAACTTCGTTTTTACGAAAATATTGGTCGCATTTGGAATGGCTCGATGCGTCGCGGTCGCGTTGAGCTATTCCAAACGCGTTCCTGGTTTAATAATACGTGTTTAAATTGATCTTAATGGAATACTCACCTTGTAACCTTTTAACAAAATTATTGGTCGCATTTGGAATGGCTCGATGCGTCGCGGTCGCGTTAAGCCATTCCAAACGCGGTCCTGGTTTGATTATACTTGTTTGTATTGATCTTGATAAAAAATTTTCCTTGCACTCTCGTTTTTAACGAAAAAATTGGTCGCATTTGGAATGGCTTAAAGTTTTTTTAATTCCAAACATTTGAAAACAAAATTCCCGTCAAAACTGCGACGCAAATCGCCATTTCTAACCATTTTCTTCCTCAAATGAAGATTCCAATCGTCTTTATTCTCTTGTCATTTCTCATTGTCCAATCAAAATCTGATCTACATGCTGAACTGGAATTGGTGATTTTTTGGTCGCATTTGGAATGGCTCTCTGAGATGGGTAAAAGTCAATTTCAGGAAAACAAGTGCATTCATGGTGAAATGTACATTTCGATGAGGGGTGAAGATCGTCAAAAAGTCGTCTATCGCGATGTCTTTCACTACGCCGGCTGCACGACTAAGGTGGGACCTGAAAAATGCAAACAAAAAAAGAAATTGTTATACCTGTTTTTTTTGTAACGATTGCGCTCCAGCGAACAAACTTTGAATGATTGCATATCTTGGTTTCAAAAAACCGGACGCTTCTGAGCAGTTCTAGGGGTCACTTAAGAGAGGGCTGAAGCTACTAAAGTGGTCACTTAAAATGTCCCGATCGTTTCGCGTTTTCAATCTCGGACCGAATCATTTTGAGTGACCACTTTAGTAGCGTCAGCACCCCTATAGATGCCCCGAAACACCGGTTTGCATTACCAATCTCGGAAATCAAAGCGTTTCAAGTGACCACTATAGTAGCGTCAGCACTCACTCTTAAGTGACCCCAAAAATTGCTTAGAATCGTCCGGTTTTCGTTTGTTTCGAAGTCCAGAAAGACGTGAATAGAACCTTTGAAAAACATGCTCCTTTTTTGGCCCTTTTTTAAGAAAAAAGAAGGAGCCGTTTGTACTCTGCCCGTGTTGCTGAGAGTTGAATAAAACATGAAACTGACGAGTTTTTACAAAATAAAATTTAAAAAAAACTTGATCTTTTGTATTTTTCCCATGATTCTATCTCATTTTCTTCATGAATACATATTTCTCCAGCGCCCCCAATGTGCAATGATCATAACGAACCGCAACATGTACAATCAGTCTCTGAATGACGTCACTGTTGCGGTCACCTACAAGTGCGCGACGATGAGGGAAATGCCGTCTAAGTGTATCGTTGCCAGTCAGTTATTTTTTTTTGGAAAAAATCGCCTCGGAAAATAGCTACTTTTATGAAGTGCGCTCTATTGATAATTGTCTCAATTTTTTTTAATTTCGTCCATTTTTGAATTTTTACATCAGAAAATCCACCTAAAAAGTTATTTTTTCCTTCCTGACAAAAATAGCCTCGAAAAAATAGCTGCTTTTTCAAAGTGCGCTCTGTTAATAATTGTCTCAATTTTTCCAAATTTCGTCCATTTTTGATTGATTATGACAGATAAACCCGGCTAAAAAATTCCTTTTTTTCTTTCCTGACGAAAATCGCCTCGAAAAAATGGCTGCTTTTTCCAAGTGCGCTCTATTGATAACCGTCTCAAATTTCGTCATTTTTTTGAAAAAAATTTGAAAGAAAAAAACCACCTAAAAAAATTAATTTTTTTCCTCCTTGACAAAAAAATCGCCTCGAAAAAAATAACTACTTTTTTTCAAAGTGCGCTCTATTGATAATTGTCTCAATTTTTTTAAATTTCGTCCATTTTTGAATTATTTTGACAGAGAACCCAGCTAAAAAGCTATTTTTCCCTTCCTGACAAAAATAGCCTCGAAAAAATAGCTGCTCTTTTGAAGTGCGCTCTATTGATAAATGTCTCAAGTTTTCTGAATTTCGTCGTTTTTGAATGTTCATAACAGAATATACACCTAAAAAGTTATTTTTTCCTTCCTGACAAAAATCGCCTCGAAAAAATAGCTGCTATTTTGAAGTGCGCTCTATCGATAATTGTCTTAAATTTCCCAAATTTCGTCCATTTTTGAATATTTATAACAGAAATATACAGCTAAAAAGCCTCTCACCCAAGAAAAAACCGCCAGAAATGATAGCCTTAATATTTTTACGCATGGTTGCTCTACTGATAATCCAATGCAATTTGTTCATTTTGTCTCTTTATCCGACAGAGAAACTGAAGGAAATCGTTTCAAAAACAGCAAAGAGTAATAAAAACATGGCAGTTGATTTCTTGAGGCGAAATATTTTCCAGTTATGGTCTTTGATCGTTTTATTCAATTTTTTTCATTTTAGACCCGGCCGGAAATATTTTTCCGTATGTACAGAACGAAGTGACGTACTTGTGTCCTCTGAATCATCGCTGGCAATTGGTTTTTCTTTTTTTTTAATTTCAAGGTCCTACTTCCACAAAAACCTCTGAATTTCATGTACGATCCTGAGAAAACGAAATTTTCTGTGTTTTTTTAAAACTAGGTCTTGGTCGGTTTAGCTGTCCTATAGGAAAAATCTAAATTTTCACGGCCTAAAAAATAAACCCTGACATTTTATTCAATCCTGGCTCGCTTTTGTGATGATTTTTGCATGACCGAGTTTTCCAAATATTAACAAGTTGGTGACCTAGATTTCCAAATAGGTCCAATTTGGTATATAACTTGAAAAAATATTTTTTAATTTTGTTCACAATAAATCCTTATTGATAGAGTTTTTTAAAAGGCGAAGTAAAAGGGCCTTTCTTTCCAAGTGTCCAAGTAAATCTTGGTCGATTTTAGCTGTCCTGAAGGGGTTTCGAAAACTGCGAATTTCCACATTATCTCTTCTAAAAAAAGTTATTTCATTAGAATCGTTGCAGGATTTTCGAAAGCTAGAGTTTCCCTCCATTTTTTGATGATTTTTGCATGACCGAGTTTTCCAAATATCAACGATTTGACGGCCTGGATTCCCAAATAGGTCCGATTTTGAGTATAGGACAAAAGCGCCGATTCCAAGAGCGCCGTTCAAATTTAGCGCCGTTCCGCAATGCGCCGTCGCGTGTATGCGCCGTGTATGCAGACGCCGCTTTCTTTTGCGCCGAGTCCGTTTGCGCCAAATCGTTTCGCGCCGTTATTTCAAACTTTTATTTTTTCGCTCTTTTTATATTATTTTTAATAATTGTTTACTACACATTAATATACGACTCGAAAAATTTTCGCGCCATCCGTTAATGATGAGTATTAGGTCTACTTTGGATCAGGTAAAATATTTTTTCCCCTTTTTTCTTTTCAAAGTACAAATAAAAAAGCAAATATGATCCCCTGATTCCGAAAAATACAGAAAACGAAAGGAAAAGAGAATGGATAAAAAAAAATTATTGCTTCAAACGACATATTGAGTGATTTTTTTTTGTGGTCGCAAGTTTTCTGCGTTAGGTAAGGCAGAGTTTCAATTCTAGTAGACGTGAAACAGCAGAAAATCGTTTTTCGTAACGTTAAACTCATTTTCTTGGAACAAAAGTTCGAGTTTTTTCGAAAATGCAGCAGAAAAGTCCATATTAACAGATGGCGCGAAAATTATTAGAGTCGTATATTAATGTGTAGTAAACAATTATTAAAAAAATAATATAAAAAAAGAGCGAAAAAATAAAAGTTTGAAATAACGGCGCAAAACGATTTGGCGCAAACGGACTCGGCGCAAAAGAAAGCGGCGTCTGCATACACGGCGCATACACGCGACGGCGCATTGCGGACTGGCGCTCAATCTGAACGGCGCTCTTGGAATCGGCGCTTTTGTCCTGCACTCCCGATTTTGGTATAGGACCTTGAAAAAAAAATTTATTATTTTTTTTTTCAACAAATACTTCCTAATAGAGTTTTCCTGAAAACGAAGTGGAAGGGCCTTATTTTCCAAGTATCCAAGTGAATTTTGGTTGATTTTACAGGGTGGCCAATAAATATTGAAACGCGTTTGAAACGTTATAACTTTCTCAAAAGTCAACCAAACACCACCAAACTTGGAACAAATTTTATTCATACAATATAGAAACAAAATTCAAGAATAGTTTTCAAAACGTCCTCCTTTAGCTTTGATAACGGCCTTCAGTCTCTTCGGCTACGCATCGATCACGGCACGAGGGTAGTCGTCGTCGATTTCGTCCCATTTCTTGATGAGCGCGGTCTTCAGGGCTTTGATACTTGGGTAGTTCTTAGAAGAGACCTTCTCGGTCAGATATATCCACACGGCATAGTCCATCGGGTTGAGGTCGGGCGAGGAAGCAGGCCAATCAGCAGCCGAGATGAACTCGGAAAATTGGCGCGATACCACTCTTGAGTCCCTTTGGCGCGATGAGCGGGGGCGCCGTCTTGCTGGAAGGTCCATGGTCGGTTTCCGTAGTGAGAATTGGCTCAGGGCAACACCCTCAACTTTAAAATCTACTCCCAGTAGTATACTTGGTTCACTTTGACTTCAGGATCCACAAAAATCAGCGGAGTTTTGCCGTCAGCGGTAATTCCGGCAAATCCACCACGGAAGCCGGATGCGAAGTTTTATTCAGAATTTTTCCTTTTTCACAGGCACTCTGATAGTCAGTAGCGATGATCCAATGATTTTGGCCTCCTTGTTCGCCTCCACAGTGAAGATTTTCTCGTCGGTAAATAGCGTCGTCAGATGCGAGCCATCTTTCGTGCCAGCGAGCAGCTTTCGAGCCTTTTTCATCCGGAATGTCTTGTTTTTTTGACTGAGGAAGGCTCCTTTCTGCATACGGTAGGGAATCATCTTCAGCTTGTCCTTGACAATAGTTCTCATCGATTCTCGACTCATTTTGTATTCTTTTGCCATCTTTCTCACGCTTCTTTTTGGAGTGCGTCTGATTTTCTCTCGAACGGCTTTGATTGCTTCTGGAGTCGTGACGGTGACTGGACGTCCACTTCTTTGCATGTCATCTGAAGTACCGAGACGCCGATAGCGTTGTGCAGTTCGAAAAACGAGAACACGAGACACTTTCAGCTTTTTAACGATCTCTGAATTCGTCATTCCGTTTTTGACACAATCAATGATTGCGGTAGGGTACGGAGATGGGGCCACCATTACCTGAATACTGAAAAGTATGAGCTGTAACTTCAAACACATGATAAGTGAGCATGAATGAACGAAATAAACAAAAAAATTCAATAGCCAACCCTTTGTGCAAAAAGCAGCGATCAAACAAAAAACGGTTTCAATATTTATTGGCCACCCTGTAGTTGTTTTCTGGGGCTTTCAAAAAATCCAAATTTTCACGGCTTCACTTCGAAAAAAAAATTAGCCCTGCATTTCATTCAAATTTTTCAGAGGATTTCGGAAGCTAGAGCTTACCTCCATTTTGTGCTGTTTTTTGCATGACCGAGTTTTCCAAATGTCAGCAATTCGACGGCCTAGATTCCCAAATAGGTCCGATTTTGGTATAGGATCTTGAAAAAATATTTCGTCATTTTTTTTTCAACAAATTATTTTAGGTAGACTTTTTTGAAGGCGAAGTAAAAGGCCTTTCTTTCTAAATATCCAAGTAAATTTTGGTCGAATTTAGCTGTCCTAAAGGGCTTTCGAAAAGTTCAACTTCCATGTTTTCAAAAAAAAACTGCTATTTTATTCAAATTTGTTAGAGAAGTTCAAAAATCTAGATCTTTAATCGGTTTTGACCTGCTTTTCGGATGACCTAGTTTTCCAAATATCAACGGCCTGACGATCTTGAATTCCAAATAGCTCAAAAAAGCCTCATTTTGAAGCCAAAAATTTCAAATATCATTGAATTTTATCGATTTTTTTTACTCAGCACGCCCTCCGAACGCACCTCTCACTGGTGAAACTGTTCCTGTGGCAGTCGACGGCGCGAGAAATGGCCCGAGAAACGGCCCGGGAGTCCTCCAGGAAGGAGCGGGAGCTGTGGGCGTTGTCCAAGGCGAAGATGTGGGGCTTTGAGAGCAAAAGCGAGAGCAACCGGTACTATGCCATCCTTCTCGGCGTCCTCACCATCGCCGCCATCTACAAGTTCTTCCAGTTCTTCAACCATGTCCGCCATCATGACTACAAGGAGGTTGGGACTTTTTTGGGAAAAGAAGCTAAAACTAGTAGAAAATGGCTATAGAGGGCCTTGATATCAAAAAAGCTCACATTTCCTAGAATTTCATAGGCAACGTCGGAAGGACCCTCTAGGGACCCTTTGAGTGTCAATTGTAGATGCAAAAGGTTTCCAATAACTGTTCCTAAACGGGTGGCAACGGTTTCCTTTTAACTGCCTTTTCACACCCTTTCATCGGCCTTTATTCACCTTTTTTGGACCCTTTTGAGAAACAAAAAATGTTTAAGTTGAGAATGTACTACAGTAATAAAATCGGAAATCATGAATGGCCGAGCCTCTCAGCACCCTTTTTTCACCCTTTGTTCACCCCTTTTCCACCCTTTTTGGACCCTTTTGAGAAACACAACATTTTTTAATTGAGAATAATCTTTACCCGTGACTGTGTATGCACCAAAATGTGCTACCGTAATACAATCGAAAATTATCAATGGCCGAGACTTTTAGTGCCCTTTTTGCGGCCTCTTCCTTTTTTCGTCTTTTTTCCCCCTTTTTAGAGGGTTTTCAGCCCACCAAGAGGGAAAGGCTCAATAAAGGCCATTTTGCACCCGTTTTCCGCACTTTCGACTTTGGCAGTGATAGAAATGTTCCTTTTAGGGTGACAAAGGCTCTTTTTTTGCCGACTTTTTGCGCCATTTTATCGGCTGTAATGCATCATTTTAGCTCCCTCTCCCGTTTTACACCATTTCTTAAGCCTTTAAAATACCAGAAAAAAAATGAAAGGCTCGATAAAGGAACCCTTTTTGGTGCCTCTTTGCTGCCTTTATTGAGCCTCTCCCTTTTAGCGGTCATTATCCACCATTCCGACTTTGCCCGAGTTTAGAAAAAAAAAACATTAGTTCGATCTTGTAGATGAATCTCACCAAGGGATTTGATCGGAAATCTTGTTGTTTTATGAAAAATTTGGAGAGAATGGGTCAAAGCTAGTAGAAACGTACTGGGAAGGGCGAAAGTCCGAACGTAGCCAGAAAAAGAACCATTAAGAATTTTTCAAATTTTCAAAACCCTGAAGTTCGGTCTACCCATGTATGGTTTTAGAGAAAAAAAATGACAAAAATCGAAAAAAAAAAACTCAGACCTTGTAAGTGCGAATCGGACGTGTTGGGGCTTGTCTAGTGACCATTTTAGGGGCGTCAGAACTCTTGAGTGATCCCTAGAGTGCTCAGAAGCGGAGCGCGTTCGGTTTTCGTTACCAAAGTCCGAAAAGTTTGAAGTCCCGTCAAAAAATCGTTTTGCAGTAAAATTGCTCTATAGCCATTCTTCGTAAAACTCTTGTTTCCCTAGACGGCCTAATTTTCGTAAACCCACCGAATTTGGAAAGTTCAAACTTTTACAGAAAACCTTCGAAGAAACCCAGTCCTATGAATCGATCGAAGATGAAGGAAGGTCATAACTTCTATTCTTCATTTTCTTTCTATAAACAAAAATTCTGCCTATTTTTTGCCAAAAAGTTAGTTTGCCCGAAAAAAAAGGAAAATGAGATATTGGACACCCGGCGTGGCTACACTGGTGTCTCATTACAAGACATTTGAAATTTATATTTTTCACGTTTTTTATTCATGTAAATTGCTTGAGCCTCCGTTTATAGTTTGGTCTCTCTAAAGAGAGTGTGGTAGAACTTTTCTTAGAAAAATTTCATAAGAGCTTGTGAAATCTCATTTTTTCAAGGCCAGTGGTTACCTTTGGAAAATATTGACTTACTTTTTTTTTCTAGGCTTGCGAAATCTTCTGGAGGGTTTTCATTGATTTTCTGTGGTCTGTTGATGTTTCCGGGTCTTCTCTGATTCCATAGACTTTTTAAGAGTTTCAAGGATCATCTCTGCGAAAAAAGGCCACTATAGGGTTTTGACGTTTTAGTGACCACTGTAGTAGTCAGACTAGTGGCGACTTAAGGGGTTAACTGTTAGTGGCCACTATAGAGGTCTAAGTGCTAATACAAAAATTTTAGTGGCCACTTTAGGGGCCAATGGATCAACATAACTGGTCCAATGTGTTTGTTTTAAAATTATCAGAGTTTCTGGAAGGAGTACTGGATGAAAAACTACTCAAGTGGCCACTAAAACGGAAAATAGTGGCCACTATAAAAGTGGGTTTAGTGGCCACTTTGGTGTCCTTTCCAAGTAGTCCTTGCCGAGCCTCTATAGTGGCCACTAATAATTTCCCCAGCTCTTTTCCTAAAACAAGCTTAAAGCTAGACTAGACACCTCTCTGTCTTTCATCGCAGAAGCAGAAGTCTTTTTTTTTTCTATTTTTCGGCATTCCTCGACGTCATCGGTTCTTCTGAGCGCTTTCGATGCCCTTCACGAGCTCGATTTGACTTCTAGAGCTTCTATAATAAGAAGTGACTCAAGTCCCTCCATATCAAGGAACATGGCTGTTGAAGTACCCTTGCGGGGGTCGTAAATCGACATGTTCTGAATGGAAAAGGAGGCGAAAAACGACCGACCGACCGACGACGACAGCTGACGAGAAGAAGGAGGACTTCTCTCTGACGCCTACTCTCTCCATTTTTGGGGCAAACGAAAAGAGGGAGAGAGAGAGAGCTTTTCGCGCCCCTCTTCAACTTGTTGCCAACACAAGGAAAAAAGAAAGAATATATGTATGTTGGAGCAAATCAACAGCCACGCCTCCCTCTCCCTCCCTTTTTCCTTCCGAGGGCAATTTCGCATCTTTGATTGCGTCTAGGTCGAGTCCGTAGTGTTGGTTTTGAGCGGATCAACCGCGGTGAACTGGTTTGAGGCCTACTTTTCCAAATTGGTTGGACTGAGTTCCCTGTAGCCTATGAGCGTTCAGCAATTTTTGACGACCTACTTTTCCAAATTGGTTGGACTTATGAGCCTTCACTAATTTTTGATGGCCTATTTTTCCAAATTGGTTGAACTGAGTCGCCTGTAACCTATGAGCCTTCACCAAATTTTCACGGCCTACTTTTCCAAATTGGTTGGACTGAGTTGCCTATATCCTATGAGCCTTCACTAATTTTTGACGGCCGACTTTTCCAAATTGGTTGGACTTATGAGCCTTCACTAATTTTTGATGGCCTATTTTTCCAAATTGGTTGGACTGAGTCGCCTGTAACCTATGAGCCTTCACCAAATTTTCACGGCCTACTTTTCCAAATTGGTTGGACTGAGTTGCCTATATCCTATGAGCCTTCACTAATTGTTGACGGCCGACTTTTCCAAATTGGTTGGACCGGGTTGCCTGTTTTCTTTGAGCATTCACCAATGTTTGACGGTCTGGTTTTCCAAATTGCTTGGACTGAGTTGCCTGTAACCAATGAGCCTTCACCAATGCTTGACGGCCTACTTTTCCAAATTGGTTGGACTGAGTTGCCTGTAACCTATGAGCCTGTACCAATTTTTGACGGCCTACTTTTCCAAATCGGTTAGACTGATTTGCCTGTAACCTATGAGCCTTCAGCAATTTTTGACGGCCTACTTTTCCAAATTGGTTGGACTGAGTTGCCTGTAATCTATTTGCCTACACCGATTTTTGACGGTCTGGTTTTCCAAATCTCTAGAAGGCGGACTGTGTTTCCAAACTGAATTCGTAGAAGGTAATGCAGATGTCTGACGAGATCAGTTATGGAGGACTATTTTTCCAAATCGGTTTAACTGAGTTGCCTGTACCTTTTGAGCCTTCAGCAATTTTTGACAGCTCACTTCTCCCAATTTGTTTAAACTGAGTTGCCTGTATCCTATGAGCCTTTAACAATTTTTGACGGCCTACTTTTCCCAATTTGTTCAAACTGAGTTGCCTTTAACCTATGAGCATTCACCAATGTTTGACGGTCTGGTTTTCCAAATTGGTTGGACTGAGTTGCCTGTAGCCTATGAGCATTTACCAATTTCTGACGGTCTGGTTTTGCAAATCTCTAGTAAGCGGACTGTATTTCCAAACTGAGTTCGTAGGAGGTAATGCAGATGTTTTATGAGATCAATTATGGTGGACTAGTTTTCCAAATCAGGTCTAAAAACTGGATATTTATTTCAATTTTCCTAGGAGCTTCACCTGAGGATATCTAAAGCTGTGAAAATTCACACTGAACTCTTTTTAAAAATATGAATATTGCTGAAAATTTCTCTAAACGACCTAGTTTTCCAAATACGACGATTTTCAAAGTGCCGAGAAGCTTTTTCGAAGTTTTGGAGGTCTAGTTTATTTATTTTTTAGGTGACCTGAATTTCCAAATAACGTATATGTGGCTAATTTTCTCGAGAAGCTTGGATTTTTGGAGATTTAGTTCCAAAAATGCGTAGAACATTCAAGAAAATAAGTTTTCGAACTCTTAAAGTGCAAAAAAGTTATATAGTATACATGATTGCCCTCTTCCTGTAGTTACTAGATTTTTTTTTTCCAGGTTTTTGAGTTTTTTTAGTGTTTTTTAAGCTATGAAGACATTTTCGGGACATTTTTCCTTGGCAGTATGAGTAAAATCGGGACTTTTCTGAGAGCTGACTGCAGTTTCACGTCATTCGAAGACGATTCCTACGGGGTTATTCATGTTTTGAAGGCGTCGAGGGACCTGAAAAAGCCGTCAAAACATGATGCTCTTCAAGTATTGAACGCCAGGAAATACTACGAGTTATTTATAGGCGAAGATATAATCTCAAAAAGGCCTTTTTCGAAGAAAACAAAGTTCAAAAGTTCGTCTTTGCTGCTTTTTTCGAAATTCCCACGTTACTCGAGAAAGCAAAGTGCGGATTTGGAACACAGGCCGTCTTTTGTGAATTTTCGACTTGAAAAGAAGATTAGTTCAGCAAAAAATTGATTGGAAGGTGCGACCGGGTTTTGCAAATGGTTTTTGGATGAGGCCTTTGTTGGAAAATTACCGTTGGAGGAGCCTGGCTGGGAATTCCAAATCCATACTAGAAGCTGATTTCGAACTCTCAAAGCTGAAAGTAGCCTTGGTTCAGTTTTTGGAAATTACGGTCATGATTTTTCAAGAAGTCGGTTTGTAGAATTCGGCTTATATCAGTATCAGTAAGCCCCATATAACAGTCCTCGTAAGATTCTTCAAGATTTGGAAAACACGGCCATGCTCAACTACAGTCATTACTTCATTGTCATGGTCAGAGAATAGTTTGGAATCTTCGGTCACGAAAATAACTTCTTTTTAAAAGAAGTGTTGCCTCTGCAGTCTTTCTAACATGCGGTCGCAGCTCAAAACTGATTTGGGAAACACGGTCGTGCCTTTATTACATTTCTTTCCAGTCAGATTTGGAAAATCAGGCCGCCAAATACCGATATGAATTTGTATTCGTCGGCCTCAGCTTCCCACCCTCTGGTCATGCCAATGTTACTTTTTTATTTTTTTTTCCAGGCCGATTTGTGAAATCAGGCCGTGTTCCTCTAACAGCCAACCTGTCGCACTACCGTCGAATCTCGAAATTTTTTTTTCGGATTTTGTGGACAAGTTTTTTTTTGGGTATTCCGATTTGGAAATTCAGGCCTCGTTTATTTAACAGTTACTCTCCATGAAGTTGAGTCTTGAAAAACCAAGAGGATGAAAACTCGTTCTCTGGAAACTATTTGGAAAAGCCGGCCACGTTCCACCAACAGCCAACCTATCGTGTAAGCGCTGAATACCGATATGAATTTGTATTCGTCAGCCACGGAAGTGTTCGAGGGTGTCGGCCTCAGCCTCCCACCCCCGGTCGTGAATTTTCCGATTTGGGAAATCAGGCCGCGTTCCTCTAGCAGCCATCCTGTCGCACTACCGTCGAATCTCTGAATATTTTTTTTTGGAAGTTAAAGTTTTTGTTCGAGTGTGCCGATTTGGAAATTCAGGCCTCGTTTTTTCTCAGCTCTTTATGGAGAAAAGGTCAGAAACTTATTTAAAACCAAGAGACTGAAAACTCGTTTTCTGGAAGATATTTGGAAAAGCCGGCCACGTTCTACCAACAGCCAACCTCTCATGTAACCGCCAAATACCGATATGAATTTGTATTCGTCGGCCACGGAAGTGTTCGAGGGTGTCGGCCTCAGCCTCCAACCCCTCGGTCGTGGATTTTCCGATTTGTGAAATCAGGCCGCGTTCCTCTGGCAGCCGTCCTGTCGCACTACCACCGAATCTTTAGATGTTTTTTTTTTGAAGTTAAAGTTTTTGTTCGAGTGTTCCGATTTGGAAACTCAGGCCGCGTTTTTTAGCAGTTACTCTCCATGAAGTTGAGTCTTGAAAAACCAAGAGGCTGAAAACTCGTTCTCTAAAAGAGATTTGGAAAAGCCGGCCACGTTCCACCAACAGCCAACCTATCGTGTAAGCGCTGAACACCGAAATGAATTTGTATTCGTCGGCCACGGAAGTGTTCGAGGGTGTCGGACTCAGCCTCCCACCCCATCCATCCATCCATCCATCCATCCATCCAACCAGCCAGCCAGCCAGCCATCCATCCGTCCGTCCGTCCGTCGGTCCGTCCTCCGCAGTTCTTTTTTTCCTTCTCCTCTTTTTGCTCCCCCCTTGAGCGACTCGGTGAGCCGGAGCTCAGCCAAGCGTGTGCTGCTGCTCCATGGCTCTTGCTCACTCTCCTCCTCTCCTTCCTACATATTTTTCAACGTGTGCTCCGTGGCTCCAGACTCCGCCCCACCTCTCTACACACACTCCCTCTCTCTCTATATATATTTTTCTTCGTCTTCTCTTTCTTCTTCTTCTTCTTCTTCTTCGTCTTGTTGCTCCTCCTCGGCTTCTCCTCCTACAACTTTTTACCTTTTTTTCGAGTTTCAGTTATTTTGGAACGTTTTCTGTTAATGGGTAGTCGCTTTGGAAGTTGCGATTTTTGGAAAAGGGGGAATTCGAACTTGTAAAAAACTTGAAAAGCAAAATCTTACCACCTATTTGACCACTTTGTTTCTTATGAGAGACTGGAAATACATGAAAAATAGAAAACCGGCCCAGAATACATAGAAAAAAAAAACGATGAATAATAATTTTCAAATTGAACCAGTTTCTAGAGGAAAAACTTCAAAAAAAGTTCAAAAAAATTTTTGAGCAGAAAGTTCAGTTTGATCTAATTAACCATGTACCTGAGCAATCAAAAAAATCGGTTTTCTCAATTTTTCAAACTGAAACAATTTTGATTTTTTTGATTTTCAGTTTTTGTATATTGTTCAATTATTACGAATTTTCAAGTTATTTTATATTTTCTTTTGAAAAAAATTTGATAAAGCCCTGTATTTTTTTAAAGTTTTGAAACAATTGAAAAAAATCACGAATTTTTGAAGACACCTTGTATTTTGACGTCACAAAACGTCAATTTTGAAAAGAAAAAAAAATTTTTTTTTGTTTGAAAAAAACCCTTTGAAGCTTCAAAAATCAGGGAAAAAGCCTCGGGGAAAGGGCGCTTTCCTGGACATTTCCAATTATTGCCTCTCCTTCAATCCTTTTTCCTCACTCGCTTTTTTTTCCTTCTTCTCCTCCTTGCCACCCCGTTCTTCTTCTTCTTCTCAACTTTTTTCCGTCTTTTCTGAAGCTTTAGTCGACTTTTTAGGTTAAGATTTGAGTGAAAATATAGTGAAAATCATGAAAAATGGGAAAAAAACTCTATTTGGAAAGCTAGGCCACCAAAACTCATTCGTAGAACTAGGCCTTCAAAACTACAACGCTCACATTATCATAATAAGTTTTTTTAAAAAGTAAAAAAATTTTTTTTGGAAAACTAGGCCACCAATACTCATTTGGAAAACTAGGCCATTGAAAAAGTAGCTCTTCATACACAAAAGTTTTTTTCTGGAAACCGAAAATTTCATTTGGAAAATTAGGCCACGAAAAAAGGCTTATGACCCTGCGCAAATTTATTATCATTCTAATCGCCTTCAAACTAGGAAAACGATAAAAGTATAGAAAAACTACTAAAATTCAACATTTTAGAGAGTTTCTCAAAAAAATGATTTTTTTCCGTATGAAATCGCTTCTGAGGCTCAAACCTGTATGGAAAAAAACGAGTTTTTAAAAAATATATTTGCCAGAATCTTATTTTCATTTGATATCTTTCTCTTCTTATATATATATTGATGATACACATGCGAAAAATCTCAAACCTCTCCAATTTTTTTCTCAAAAAAATGCTCAAAAATCTATTTTTATTTAAATTATCGATTGATTTTTGCAGGATTGAGTTGGCGGAGTCGAAGGGATGACGTCACCGCCGGACTACGCGACCGCGGCATCGCTTCGGTCGACGGCGGCTCAGATGGCCGCCGGCATCTCCGTCGACCTCGTCGTCGCCGCTCAGGTTCTCATTTTTGCGATATCGTGTCGTTTTTGCCTGATTTTTTGCATTTTATAATGAGAAAATGCCATTTGGAAGTCTAGGCCGTGAAAATTTAAGCCACCAGAAGCTTTATTTGGAAAACTGGGCCACCGTTTTTTTTATTTCAAAGCTACAATTTCAAACCTTATGACGCGCTTTTTTTCGTTTCTTTTTGAACATTTGAACGGAAAAAAGCATGTTTAAAGAAAAATGAAAAATGGAGGGAGTAAAACGGCCTGAAAACGCATTTTGCTATGAAAAAATGCCATTTGGAGATCTAGGCCATGGAAATTTGAGCCATGAAAAGCCTGATTTGGAAAACTAGGCCACCGATTTTTTTTTTTCGAAAGCTATTATTCCAAACCTTATGACGCGATTTTTTCGTTTCTTTCTGAACATTCGGACGGAAAAAAGCATGTTTAAAGAGAAATGAAAAATGGAGGTAGTAAAATGGCCTGAAAATACCCCCCTTGTTTTCCTTCTCGAAGTGCTCTTATTTTTGCGATATCGCGTGATGAATCGAAATTTTTCCGGAGTTTTTCGCTTTTTGTATGAAAAAATGCCATTTGGGAAACTAGGTCATGAAGATTTGAGCCACCAAAAGCCTGATTTGGAAAACTAGGCCATCGTTTCCTTTTCTACAATTCCAAACCTCATGACGCGATTTTCTCGTTTCTTTCTGAACATTTGGACGGAAAAAACATGTTTAAAGAGAAATGAAGAATGGAGGTAGTAAAACGGCCTGAAAACGCATTTTGCTATGAAAAAATGCCATTTGGAGATCTAGGCCATGGAAATTTGAGCCATGAAAAAGTCTGATTTGGAAAAACTAGGCCACCGATTTTTCGAAAGCTATTATTCCAAACCTTATGACGCGATTTTTTTCGTTTCTTTCTGAACATTCGGACGGAAAAAAAGCATGTTTAAAGAGAAATGAAGAATGGAGGTAGTAAAACGGCCTGAAAAACGCATTTTGCTATGAAAAAAATGCCATTTGGAGATCTAGGCCATGGAAATTTGAGCCATGAAAAGCCTGATTTGGAAAAACTAGGCCACCGATTTTTCGAAAGCTATTATTCCAAACCTTATGACGCGATTTTTTTCGTTTCTTTCTGAACATTCGGACGGAAAAAAAGCATGTTTAAAGAGAAATGAAGAATGGAGGTAGTAAAAACGGCCTGAAAAACGCCTTTTTGCTATGAAAAAAATGCCATTTGGAGATCTGGGCCATGGAAATTTGAGCCACGAAAAGCCTGATTTGGAAAACTAGGCCACCGATTTTTTTTTTTCGAAAGCTATTATTCCAAACCTTATGACGCGATTTTTTCGTTTCTTTCTGAACATTCGGACGGAAAAAAGCATGTTTAAAGAGAAATGAAGAATGGAGGTAGTAAAACGGCCTGAAAACGCATTTTGCTATGAAAAAATGCCATTTGGAGATCTAGGCCATGGAAATTTGAGCCATGAAAAGCCTGATTTGGAAAACTAGGCCACCGATTTTTTTTTTTCGAAAGCTATTATTCCAAACCTTATGACGCGATTTTTTCGTTTCTTTCTGAACATTCGGACGGAAAAAAGCATGTTTAAAGAGAAATGAAAAATGGAGGTAGTAAAATGGCCTGAAAATACCCCCCTTGTTTTCCTTCTCGAAGTGCTCTTATTTTTGCGATATCGCGTGATGAATCGAAATTTTTTTCCGGAGTTTTTTTCGCTTTTTTTGTATGAAAAAAATGCCATTTGGGAAACTAGGTCATGAAGATTTGAGCCACCAAAAGCCTGATTTGGAAAAAACTAGGCCATCGTTTCCTTTTTCTACAATTCCAAACCTCATGACGCGATTTTCTCGTTTCTTTCTGAACATTTGGACGGAAAAAACATGTTTAAAGAGAAATGAAGAATGGAGGTAGTAAAACGGCCTGAAAACGCATTTTGCTATGAAAAAATGCCATTTGGAGATCTAGGCCATGGAAATTTGAGCCATGAAAAGTCTGATTTGGAAAACTAGGCCACCGATTTTTTTTTTTCGAAAGCTATTATTCCAAACCTTATGACGCGATTTTTTCGTTTCTTTCTGAACATTCGGACGGAAAAAAGCATGTTTAAAGAGAAATGAAGAATGGAGGTAGTAAAACGGCCTGAAAAACGCATTTTGCTATGAAAAAAATGCCATTTGGAGATCTAGGCCATGGAAATTTGAGCCATGAAAAGCCTGATTTGGAAAAACTAGGCCACCGATCGAAAGCTATTATTCCAAACCTTATGACGCGATTTTTTTCGTTTCTTTCTGAACATTCGGACGGAAAAAAAGCATGTTTAAAGAGAAATGAAGAATGGAGGTAGTAAAACGGCCTGAAAAACGCCTTTTGCTATGAAAAAAATGCCATTTGGAGATCTGGGCCATGGAAATTTGAGCCACGAAAAGCCTGATTTGGAAAAACTAGGCCACCGATCGAAAGCTATTATTCCAAACCTTATGACGCGATTTTTTTCGTTTCTTTCTGAACATTCGGACGGAAAAACATGTTTAAAGAGAAATGAAGAATGGAGGTAGTAAAACGGCCTGAAAACGCATTTTGCTATGAAAAAAATGCCATTTGGAGATCTGGGCCATGGAAATTTGAGCCACGAAAAAGCCTGATTTGGAAAAACTAGGCCACCGATTTTCGAAAGCTATTATTCCAAACCTTATGACGCGATTTTTTTCGTTTCTTTCTGAACATTCGGACGGAAAAAAAGCATGTTTAAAGAGAAATGAAGAATGGAGGTAGTAAAACGGCCTGAAAACGCCTTTTGCTATGAAAAAATGCCATTTGGAGATCTGGGCCATGGAAATTTGAGCCACGAAAAGCCTGATTTGGAAAACTAGGCCACCGATTTTTTTTTTTTTCGAAAGCTATTATTCCAAACCTTATGACGCGATTTTTTCGTTTCTTTCTGAACATTCGGACGGAAAAAAGCATGTTTAAAGAAAAATGAAAAATGGAGGGAGTAAAACGGCCTGAAAATACCCCCTTGTTTTCCTTTTCGAAATGAAAAAATGGAAAAGAAAATAAGAGAGGCGAATCGTTCGCTTCCAAGATTTACGGGCGCCAATTTCGGCGCCGCGGCTTTTCGTTCTCCTCCACGTTTTCTTGGTAGAAGGGGGGTTTTTATTCGAAGATTGGACAGGGTTTTTTCGAATGGAAAGCCTAAAATGTTGAATTTTAGAAGTTCTTTATACTTTTTTATCGTTTTCTTAGTTCAAAGGCGACCAGAATGATGATAAATTTGCGCAGATCATGAACCTTTTTTGTGGCCTAGTTTTCCAAATGAAATTTTCGGCTTTAGAAAAAAAAAATTTGTGGGAGAAAAGCGATTTTTTCAGTGGCCTAGTTTTTGAATTCAATTTTGGTGGCCTAGTTTTCCAAATGCAGTTTTTCATTCCTAAGAAAAAACTTGTTATGGTAGAAGAGTCAAGGCTTTTTGAGGAAAGTTTCGATTTTTTTATGAGTTCTCTTTATTTTTTTAATATTTTCCCTGTTGAAAGGCGATCAGAATGATGTAATAATCTTTTTGTGGACTTGAGCCTTTTTTGGTGGCCTAGTTTTCCAAATGCTAACAAAAAAAATTTAAAAAAACGATAGATGTGAGCATTGTAGAGCGAATATTCTGAAGGCCTAGTTCTCCAAATGAGTTTTGATGGCCTAGTTTTCCAAATGAGTCTTGACGGCCTAGTTTTCCAAATGCTAACAAAAAAAGTTTTAATGGTTAATGTGAGCGTTGTAGTGCCACTTTCTCAGAGGCCTAGTTCTCCAAATCAGTTTTGGTGGCCTTGTTTTCCAAATGAGTCTTGACGGCCTAGTTTTCCAAATTAAGATTTTTGTTTGCAGAAAAACTTTATGGTAGATTTGAGTAGTTTAGCGCAACTTTTCCGAGGGTATAGTTTTCCAAATGAGTTTTCACGGCCTAGTTTCGCAAAAAAATTAAAATCAAAGAACTTTGTGTGAAAAAAAAAATCAGCAGCGTAGTTTTTTTTTGGACTTTCATAGATTCTTTCATAGCTCTTATAAGATTACTGTTTCATTTTTCAGCGAGAAGCCAATTTCCTGCGGATGATCGACCGAAAAGCCCCATTATTATACGAAGCTGACGTCGTGAATCAGGCGATCCGTCGTTATGAGAGCTATTGGCTCCCTATGCAGGTGCTTTTTTCGATTTATCAGAAATTAAAATGAGTTTTGAGCAATGAAATGTATATCATTAGAATCAGCTTCATCTCCTCTTTTGAATGCTACCAAAAATGTTATTTTTTTTGCTCTTTCTGTCTGGAAACCTCCACCTTTTCCATTATCTCTAATTTTTTGAGATTTTAGCGATTTGACTCAATCTCTCAAAGCTTGATAAAGCCTTGGAAAATGAAAGTTTGATCCTTTAAAGCAAAATTTCTTGCTTTTTATGGTATTGAGATCATTAGGTGTTTTTTTCTGTAACTTTCTGGAAACGTCCACTTTTTCCATAGTCTCTAATTTTTTGTTGTTCAGCCTTTTTTGACCCAATTTCTCAAAGTTCCGAAGTTTTAGAGAATCGAATTTATATCATTAGAATCAGTTTAACCTCCTTTTCTGAATAGTACCAAAAAATTATGGGTTTTCAGCTTTTTCTGTCTGGAAACCTCCACCTTTTCATAATCTCTAATTTCTTGTTATTCAGGCTTTTTTGACCGAACTTTTCATAGCTTGAGAAAGTCTTAAAAAAATGAAAATTTGATCCTGGAAAGCAAAATTTCTTGCTTTTTATGGTATTGAGATAATTAGGTTGTTTTTTTCTGTAACTGTCTGGATACCTCCACTTCTTTCATTATCTTTGATTTTTCTTGAGATTTGGAAAGTTTGACCCGATTTTTCAAAGCTTGAGAAGCTTTGGAAAATGAAAATTTGATACTTGAAAGCAAAATTTCTTGCTTGTTATGGTATTGTCTGGAAAAACCTCCACTTTTTCCGTTATCTCTAATTTCTTGAGGTTTGAGCATTTTTGCCCCAATTTTTTAAAGTTTGAGAAAGCTTTGGAAAAGGAGAATTTTATCCTTGAAAGCAAAACTTTTTGCTTTTTATGGTATCGTTGGATTTTTCTGTAACTGTCTGAAAACCTCCACTTTTTCCATTATCTCTAATTTCTTGAGATTTTATCGATTTGACCCGATTTTTCAAAGCTTGATAAAGCCTTGGAAAATGAAAATTTTCATCCTTGAAATTTAGATTTCTTGTCCTCTATTATTATGAAAAGTATTCGTCTTTTTTTCTCTAACTGTCTGGGTACCTCCACGTTTTCTATGATCTCTGACCAGCCGTCCTTTGACAAAATTTTTCTGAACCTTCAGGAAGAACCTTATATCATTAGGAACAGAATTTATCCCTCTCCCTCTGAATTTTTCATAATTTGGGAACTTGTATGATGAGATTTCCAGGCAACTCACCCCGATATGAACGTAATTCCGCCCTTGGACGTCCATTGGGTCTGGCACACTCATATGCTCAGTCCGATACATTACCAAGAGGTATATTTTATTCATTTTTTTTTCAACATCTTTTCAAACTTGCGAAATTAGCTTGAAAATAGGTGATTTTGAGAAAAAAGGTCGCATGGGGAATGTCTCGCGAAGCGTGAAGTTTGAAAAATAGAAAACTGTCTAGAACTGGAATTTTTTTCGGTGATTTTATATCCAGCAGAAGCTTTCGAAAAAGGCTTTTCTTGTTGGAGTTTTGACCAGAGCTTGGAACTTTCTAAGCACCCCCGACAATTAGGAGGATATTTTTTAAAAATCTAGTTTCGACCAGAGCTTGGAACTTTCTGAGCCCTTATTTATAAGCTTGGAGTGGTTTTTCATCGATTTATGCCTCTAAATTGTTTCCTATTTTGCATAGATCATGTAAAAATCAACTTGAAACTAGATGATTTCGAGAAAAATTCGCTCTTGGTCGCATGGGGAATGGCTCGCGAAGCGTGGCGGTTTGAAAAACCTGCGAAAGTCGAACCTTGTCCGTGGATTTCATAAACATCAGTAACTTTCTTTTGAAAATTCCTATAAAGACTATTTTAAATGGAGTTTCGACCATACATGGGCTAACCAACTACTTTTTGTGACGTCATCACGTACCCCCTTTGAAAAAAAGTACGTACTCCCCTCGAAAAAGTACGTACCCCCGCGGATGACTATCAATGTGAAATGATTATTAAAGTTAATATAAGAATTGAATGAGACTATTATCTTATTTCGCGGGCTTTTTGGAAGTATATTCAGCTAGGTGTCAACACTGCAAAAACAGAAATATTTCAACTTTTAGCGTAGACCCCCGAAATCCGAAAATCGATCTGTTTTCAATGTTATCCTACATTATGAATCGAGTTTTATGATCTGGCAGAGTTTCAGACCTTCTGGATAAGTTTTAAGGAAAATAGATTTTTGGACCACCGGGAAGGGATATTTTGAAATTTTGAATTTTTTGGCTCAAAATCAATATTGATCTTGAGTTAACTCTGAATAAGGTATATCCTCCAAATTTCCAACCTTCCGGACGTTTTTTGACCAAGTTACAGTGTTTCAAAGTGTTATCACTTGACGGTTTGCGTACCCCCCGTACTCCCCCAAAAATCGGAAAAATCGATCTGTTTTTCAATGTTATTCCACATTATAAAGGGAGTTTTATGATCTGGCCAAGTTTCAGGCCGTTGGGATGAGTTTTAAGGAAAAATAATTTTTTTGGGCCACAGTAGATGTATGAATGTATGCTGATCACGATTTTGCTAGTTTTTTTAATTGTTAAACTTGTATTTTTTTCATCGTTCACATGTGTGGTAACGCCGTAGGGTGAGTTGAAAAAAAATGAGCGTTAGGGTGAAACTTTCTCTAAATCAAACATGTTGTAGAACACGATTTTTTAGGATTTTTTGAAAAAAAAACCGAATATCATCACTCAAGCCGTTTTCGAAATACTGTGGCTCAAAAAAAGGGGTACGGTCGAACCCTTCAAAAATCTTTATCTTGACATAAAATCGACGAAACTCTTCCAAAGTTTGTAATAAGGTGCAATATAATCTTATTCAATTTTTTTAAAAAAATCTTAAACCTCATTTTTGCTCATTATTGCTCATATTACAGAGTTTTTAAAAAAACCACAAAAAAATACTCTTTATTGAGTCAAACATGGATTATTCGAATTTTCCATCTAACACTCGGAAATTCCAAAAAAACATGTGATTTTGGGTAAGTTTCCCGAATAACTTTTTTTATCTCCTGTTTTTTTGGATTGAAACTAGCAAAAGTCGTGATCAACGCGCATTCTTACATCCACTAGGTCATTTGCAAAACGAAACGAGGAAAAAAATTCAAAATTTCAAAAATATCCCTTCCCGGTGGTCCAAAAAATCTATTTTCCTTAAAAACTCATCCCAACGGCCTGAAACTTGGCCAGATCATAAAACTCCCTTTATAATGTGGAATAACATTGAAAAACAGATCGATTTTTCCGATTTTGGGGGAGTACGGGGGGTACGCAAACCGTCAAGTGATAACACTTTGAAACACTGTAACTTGGTCAAAAAAACGTCCGGAAGCCTGGAAACTTGGAGGATATACCTTATTCAGAGTTAACTCAAGATCAATATTGATTTTGAGCCAAAAAAATTCAAAAATTTCAAAATATCCCTTCCCGGTGGTCCAAAAAAATCTATTTTCCTTAAAAACTCATCCCAACGGCCTGAAACTTGGCCAGATCATAAAACTCCCTTTTATAATGTGGAATAACATTGAAAAACAGATCGATTTTTCCGATTTTGGGGGAGTACGGGGGTACGCAAACCGTCAAGTGATAACACTTTGAAACACTGTAACTTGGTCAAAAAAACGTCCGGAAGGTTGGAAATTTGGAGGATATACCTTATTCAGAGTTAACTCAAGATCAATATTGATTTTGAGCCAAAAAAATTCAAAAATTTCAAAATATCCCTTCCCGGTGGTCCAAAAAAATCTATTTTCCTTAAAACTCATCCCAACGGCCTGAAACTTGGCCAGATCATAAAAACTCCCTTTTATAATGTGGAATAACATTGAAAACAGATCGATTTTCCGATTTTGGGGGAGTACGGGGGGGGGTACGCAAACCGTCAAGTGATAACACTTTGAAACACTGTAACTTGGTCAAAAAACGTCCGGAAGGTTGGAAATTTGGAGGATATACCTTATTCAGAGTTAACTCAAGATCAATATTGATTTTGAGCCAAAAAATTGTAGATTTCCAGAAATCATTTTCTTATGGGGTCAGAAGTTGATTATTTTTTTCAATTTTCCAAACGGCTTAAAATTTTATGAGCATGTATATATCATCCATTGGTACCATTTAAACTAGAATTCAGGTCGATTAATCAGCTCTGGAATTTTTTATAAGGCTATTTCTACGATTCCTCTCGATTTTTTCTACCGTTTGGAGCTAGGCAAAAAGATAGGCAACGAATTTCTCACTAAATGTACTTTAAAAAGCTCGATAAATAATATGGATGCATTTTCCGCGGCTTAGAAAGCCATCTGAATGAATAGGGGGGCCCGAAAGTGAAAAACAGCCTGTTAGCCCACGTATGGTTTCGACCAATACCGAGTGGTTATTTTAAAGCTGGAAGTATTTTTCCATCAATTTAAGCCTCCGGAAGGTTCACAATTATGAGAAGCCTTTTTTCCCTTTTCAGGCTTTTTTATAGCAGTTGGGAAGCGACTGATATTGCACTGACATATTTTCAAGCCTTTACTTTTGGGAGTGGCTAATTTTTGTTCAAGGCTATTTTTCGGCTTTACATCTTTGCTCTGCAGTATTTTAAACAGACCTTTTTACTTTCTGTATCAAACTGAAGCTGAAATCTTTGATACGAAGCTTTTTTAAAGCTCTCATCTTAGCTTTATGCTGATTTTGAGCCTCTATTTTAATTTATATTTGGAAAAAAAAGGTTATTTTGGATCTTGAGATTTCTTTTGAAGCGAAATGGCCTTTTTGAGGCGATTTCTTCCGATCTAAACTTTTTCAGAGCCTTTCCTTCTGTTATAAAGCTGTCTCACGGCTTTTTTTCCCTGCTTAAGTCTTTTTCAATCGATTTCTCAGCCTCTAGATCGTCCAATAGTTTCTATGAAAACAATGGACATTCCTCAGCAACTGGAGAAACAACAAGTATTAAACCTCCCCGGTTTTTTCCTGAAATTCGATACGAAACGCCGGAGAAAAAAGACGCAGCGAGAGGGTCGTTTCCGCTTGTAAAAATCGTGTTGTTGAGAAACACACATCTTTATGAGAAACATTCCAGAAATTCTTTTCAAAGTTTCTAGGAAAACATGTAGACGCGATATTTGTTTCAAAAAGATCACCATTGGCATATAGAAGGGCTATATCGTGGCCGCATTTGGAATGGCTAAACTAGAAATCCGATTTTTGAGGTTCATCGAGCGCAAACCGTATTGAGTTGGGCGCATTTTAGAGCAACCAGAACATCAGAGCCATTTCACGTGCGACCACGTCATCTCCATATATTTTTGGCATATAGAAAGGTTATATCGTGACCGCATTTGGAATGGTTAAACTAGAAATCAGATTTTTGAGGTTTTTCCAATGTTTATCCGGTCATCGAGCGCAAACCGTATTGAGTCGGGCGCATTTTAGAGCAACTAGAAACTCAGAGCCATTCCAAGTGCGACCACGTCATCTCCATATATTTTTGGCATATGGTAAGGTTAAATCGTGGCCGCAGTTGGAATGGCTAAACTAGAAATCAGATTTATGAGGTTTTTCCAATGTTTATCCGGTCATCGAGCGGAAACCGTTTCGGGTCGGTAGCATTTTAAAGCAACCAGAATCTCAGAGCCATTCCAAGTGCGACCACGCCATCTCCAATATATAACTTGGCATTTGGAAAGGTTATATTGTGGCCGCAGTTGGAATGGCTAAACTAGAAATCAGATTTTTGAGGTTTTTCCAATGTTTATCCGGTCATCGAGCGCAAACCGCATTGAGTCGGGCGCATTTTGAAGTAATAGCAACTCAGAGCCATTCCACGTGCGACCACGTCATCTCCAATATATCTCCCTCTTTTTCGAGGAAATCGAGGTTAAATTACGGAAGTTTGGGTCAAAAATAGAATGAAAAGAGTAAAGTGAAGCATATTAATCAAGCAAATGGCTTTCTCTCTCTTCTTTTTATTTTTTCTGTTTGTTTTCCATTTTTTTGGTTGGTTTGGCTTCAGTTTGAGCCCAAAAAAAGCGTGAAGCTGCAAGGGGAGAATGCTAGAAAAACACTTTTTTTCGTGGAGTAGGGACTTTTTATTAGAAAAATAAATTTTATCCCGATATTTCAGTTGTATTGATAATTTGATTCGACAAGTTCATCATGTTATTAAGAAGTTTGTGACGGCCTAGTTTTCCAAATCCTTTTTTGAATTGATGACCTATTTTTCCGAATCCTTTTTTCAAATTTATGAACCAATTTTTTTGAAAATTCCTTTCTTGCATTGATGACCTGGTTTTCCAAATCCTTTTTTACATTGATGACCTAGTTTTCCAAAAAATAATTTTTTACATTGATGGCCTTGTTTTCCAAATCCTTTTTAAAAACGATGACCTAGTTTTCCAAATCCTTTTTTACACTGATGACCTAGTTTTTCAAATCCTTCTCTACATTGATGACATAGTTTTCCAAATCCTTTTTTAAATTGATGACCTAGCTTTCCGAATAATAAAAAAACTGATTTCTAAAATTGGTAAGCTCTCCAAAATGTCAGATTTTGTTTCTATAAATTAATTTTTTTCAAAAAGGAAAGGATCATCACTTCCTGCTCCGACCAATGTGATGAAACTTTCCAACTCCCGAAATTTCAATCCAATTTTATTAAAAATGCATCCTTGCAATGAAAAAAAGTCAAGAGCGGAAGGTGCTCGGTTTGAAAGGCACCGTGACTTTGCGGGAAGCCGTTCCGCGCGGGTCAGTTCTCTGCAACCGACCGAAACGGTTTGACGCCAATCCGTATTGAGAAAAAACCGAGTAGATGAGACACTTGTCAGGGGTCTCAAATTGGATGCCGTCGTCGTCGACTTGCGTAAAATCGCCATTTTCCTCGCGAATCTGGCGCCGCTGTCTTTGACGCTCGTGGCTTTGCGGGATTTCTGTGAATGGTTGGTCGCATTAGGAATGGATGAAGCGTCGCGGTCACGATGCGTGGCTTGGCATTTTTCCGAAATAAGTCCGCCTCGCGCGACCGCAACGCCTTGAGCCATTCCAAACTCACCCGCACTTATGTTGACCACACTCCGGACGGTGTTGCTAAACACGATCTCAATGAGGAAGAACTTATTGCGGGTCCGAAGGTCGTTGAGTCCAGCTATCGGGTCCAAAATAATCCTTAAGATGAGTTGGCCATTCCAAATGCGGTCCATGGTCGTCTTACGGTGTGTTCGGCATGTTCACGAGTATAACGCGGCCACTCATCACCTCATCTAGCGTTTCTGACGTCACACGTGCTCCTTCGTCTAACCCATCCTGAAGAAAATGAGATGGGGATCTAGTTTTCTGGTCTTGGTGGTTTTTCGGAATAGGTAACGCATAAGATAACGCATAAGAACGCATAAGAACGCATAAGAACGCATAAGAAACGCATAAGAACGAATAAGAAACGCATAAGAACGCATTAGAAGCTCATAAGAACGCATTAGAAACGCATAAAAACGCATAAGAACGCATAAGAAAAATTTGACCGTAAAAGATGTTTTTTATAAAGCCGTCATAATGGATCTTACATTAAGAAACACCCTAGTTCTTCGTAAATTTGGAAGATGATTTTCTGATTCCAACCAGAAACTGACCAAGTCTTCGTCGGTCGGCTCCATGGGAGTCGACCAGAACGGCTCGTTCTCCGAGTCATACATGAATCCCTTATTATCGTAGTTCCGGACTGATTTCAACATCATCCCGCGTTCATCGGCGACGGGATCCTCGGTGACGACGGCTCTCGTGGTCCTCTTCGAGCTGAGCGTCTTGTGATGATGAGCGTGCGCGGGGGTTGGCTTTCGGTTGGCCGGTTCGCTTCTCGCCGGCGACAGCACTTCTTGGCTCGGCTGCGTGTTCGACTCGCTGAGATCGGCTTCGGCCTCTTCCTCCAGACAAATGTCGAGCTGCAAACGTTGGATTTTTTTAAGGCTTCACAATACTATCGAAAAAATGGCTAGGATGGCTAGGTTCAAAACCGGATGAAATCCCTTGCGCCCGACCAGAAACGAGTTGCGCCAAGTGGCTTGGTTTTTCCGTTCAACTTTCTGAACCGCCACGCGACCGCGACGCGCTAAGAGTCATTTTAAGGGTTTCATCAGTTTTTTTGCTCAAAAGTCCACTTACATCCACTTTCTTCTTCGACGACCTTTTAGACTTTTTTAGGGACTTTTGGATCTTTAGACTTTTTAGACTTTTAGACTTTTTAAGGGTTCACAAAACTCTCGAAAAGTTGGCTAGGATGGCTAGCTTCAATAAAATTAGTTGCGCCCGACCAGAAACAAGTTGCGCCAAGTGGCTTAGTAAAGCGTTTGAAAGGCGTGTTCGATTTCTGGATTGCCACGCGGCCGCGACGCGTTGAGAGTCATTTCAAGGGTTTCATGAGTCGTTTTGCTCTAAAGTCCACTTACATCCACTTTCTTCTTTGACCTTTTGGTCCTCGCGCCGAATATGCGCGGCTTATCCAACAAGATCAATGATTTGGCGTCCGTCTGAAACATTTTCGAAAAATATTTTCCCACTTAAGTGTCCTCTTACGGTAGTCGTGTCCTTTTTAGGCTTTTGCTGCTCTTTCATCTTGCGCTCCTTGACCTTGTCCACTATTTTGCCCATCAGAACGGCTTGTACGGGTTCGTTTTTGATCCGGAGGACGGTCGGCTGGTCCATCGCCTGGGAACGTCGGAGTTCTTCTTCTGGAAAATCAAGAAATCAGTTGGGGAAATGGAGCTCCATGAAAAATTCGATTTTTAGCCGAAAAAGTGCATTTTTGAATAATTATCCGTGGAGCGCACAAGTCTCGTTTTTCGCGGCTATTTTTTCTCGACCTTTCTTCTCACGCCAGCGTTCCTTCCGCAATTTCTTCGCTCGTTTCTCCATCTCCAAGGCCTCTTCCGCATCCGGGACGACTAGAGAACACGAGATTCTGAAAAAGCTTGGCTCAATGGCTAAGGCTGTAGATGGCTAGTAAAATGGTCTATGGTTCGGCTCCTGGCAGTGAAATTTCAAATGAAATCATCTTGGCCTAATGGCTAAGGCTGTAAATGGCTGGTAAAGGGTCTCTGGTTCGGCTCCTGGCAGTGAAATTTCAAATGAAATCATCTTGGCCTAATGGCTAAAGCTGTAGATGGCTAGTAAGAGGGTCTCTGGTTCGGCTCCTGGCAGTGAAATTTCAAATGAAATCATCTTGGCTTAATGGCTAAGGATGTAGATGGCTAGTAAGAGGGTCTCTGGTTCGGCTCCTGGTAGTGAAATTTCAAATGAAATCATCTTGGCCTAATGGCTAAGGATGTAGATGGCTAGTAAGAGGGTCTCTGGTTCGGTTCCTGGCAGCAAAAGTTCAAGTATCTTGGCTCAATGGCTAAGACGGAAGATTGCTATTCAAGGGTCTCTGGTTCGATTCCTATCATGAGTAGTTTCATTTTTGCCATTTTCTTTGAGACTATCATTTTTTTTCCAAACCTGGGGTTCACTGCTTCCTGTTCGACCATGCTCCTTTTTTCCTTTGCATCCGACGGGCTATTTTCGGCCTTTTGCTGTTGCAGCATCTTCTCCTGTTTCCTCTTGACAAGGCTCCTCAGATAGGTTTCCGAGGCGTTGTTCTTGTCCCTTTTGGAATGTTTCCGTGGATTTTGCCGCTGTGGGTCCGGTGAAAAACGGCTCTGAAAAAAAATGGAGCTTTTGCGCTCCATGGAGAACAAGGCAAATTTCGGGTAATTTTTCTCGGAAATCTATGAAGCGTTCATTTATTTTTGTCTGTATCCTATGAAAAATAGCCGTAAGAAAGGGTTTTGTGTGCTCCATTGATAAATATAGCTCCAAGAAGCGTTTTTGCATTTTGCAATGGAAATTATGCATGTGGAGCATGAATTTTGCTCAATTTTCTCTTCCCAAAATCGTAAAACCATAATTGTCCCATGGAGCACACAATCTTTCTTCACGGCTATTTTTTCTCAAACTCACCTTGGACGACTTTTTTTTCTCCTTCCTTTTCTGTTTCGCATCGTCGGTACTGCTGGGCTGTTTGGAATTTCTCTCGCCTTGATTTTGTTTCTGAACCATTTTTTGAAGGGCTAAAGGAACTCACGAAACTCACAGATTTTGTACTGTACATCTTTCACAGCGGCTGACCTTACGCGCTGTGAAAAATGTAGGAATAGGAATGACGGGAGTTTTTTTGATTTTATCGCTTCTCGGCCGTCATTTTTGTTTTCTCCAAACGTTTATTTTTTTTCCGGGTCGATTTAGAGTTTATTTAAGAAATGAACATGTTGCCCTGGATGAAATTTAATATTGACGTGAATTTTTCCAGGACTGCGAAAAGATCTGCGGCAAAGTGATCGATCACAAGCTTCTCAGTTCCGACGAGATCCAAAAAAGGTTTGCTAAAAAAAATAGAAACGAGATAGTGTGGTGGGAAAGGAGAGAGCAGACATTATTTTTTCTCTTTCTGTCTGTGCCCTCTAATCGTTTCATTCTATCTCGCTTTTTTCGATCTTATGTAGAAGTTATGTATTGGGATAATTTTTAGTGGCCACTATAGGGTTTTGACATTTTAGCGGCCACTTTAGGGGTTAAAAATTAGTGGCGACTGTAGAGGTGGTTTTAGTGGCCACTTTAGTGTCTTCTCCAAGTAGTCCTTTATAGTGGCCACTAGAAATTTTCCCAGTAAACCAAACTAAGGTTGATTATTGGTCAGGTTCGACTCCTCTCCACGTTTTTGCCATTTTCCTTTTACTATACCTGAAAATTACCCTTTTTTATTTCACCTGATCTCAAAGTTGATCGATTTTGAGCTCTCCTAATGGTTGGAATGCGTTTTTTTTTCATTATCATACGAAAGTCCGATTGGCTTAATCATCCCGATGCTAATCCAAGGTCTCTGGTTCAATCCCCATCGGAACGAACTTTTTTTTGCAGGTACGAGAGCTCGGTCCGCGCCTGGGACTCGTATTGCTCGCCTGAGCCCTACGATTTTTTGGCCTCACCTGCTCCAGCTCCAACCTACAAGTCGAAGTGTGACTACGACATCGCGGCAGCTGTTCAAAGGCAGAGGAATTTCAATTATCAGGTATCACATCTCATCGAAAAAAATTTCTAAATTTCAATTTTTTTTCTTGTTATTTTTTTAAAAAGCCTCTGGAGGTACTTGGAAAAACCATACCGTCGAAAAAAATTCAGGCAAAAAAAATTTTTTTTCTCAAGGGGTGGTTTAGGTTTTTTTCGGCTTATCCCCCAAGAAAAATTCAGAAAAAAATCAAAATTTTGAATGACGCGATTTTCATACCTTTTTCATTTGAGTTGAATAGAAGGTGTTTGGAAACTTAGTCCACGGTTTATTTGGAAAACTAGTCCGCCACGATTTCTCGTTTTTTTTTTCGCGTTCAATATTCAGTCAATCTAGCTTTTCTTTCGGAAACCTCTAAAGAAAATTGAGAAATCCATACCGTCAAAAAATTTTGAAACAATATTTTTTGAATTTCTCTATTTCAGAGGAGCATTTTGGTAATCTAGGTCGCGGCTGATTTGGATTTTTATTCCACGTTTTTAGATAAATATAAAGAAATTATTAAGGTTTCGATCAAATTTTTCTATAACGCGATTTTCGAATTTTTCATTTGACCAAAATAGAATGTGTTTGGAAACTTAGTCCAAGGTTTATTTGGAAAACTAGTCCGTCACGATTTATCTCGTTAAGGTATTTTTTAACAAGATTTCGATCAAAGTTTTCAATAACGCGATTCTCATAATTTTCCTTTTGAGTTGAATAGAATGAGTTTGGAAATTTAGTCCCCGGGTCATTTGGAAAACTAGTCCGCCACGATTTTTTTTTTGTTCTGGTCGCTTTTTTCTCACGGTTTCTATGTTTTCACCAGAAAGGAATCATTTTTCCGCCAATTTCGAACCTTTACCTAGTAAAAACCGATGTTTTGATAAAGCGGCGACGACGGGGCTCAAAAACGCGCCGGGAGCAGCGGCTTCCAACTTTCTTAACTGCTTGATTGATTGATTGATTGATGGATCTTGGGGAGCGAAGGAAAGAAAACGAAATTTGCTTGTTTGTTGCCACCCTCCGCCGCCTGTCCCCGAGCATCTTTTGATTTTGAATGCGGAGGGATTTTTTGAAAATATCAGGTGATAGTGATATAGATTACTGGTTTCACTTATATTTCGAAAATTGATCGTTAAACGGAATTTCAAAAAATTATAACTTAGGCTGTAGGTGTCCTAAAGGCATGTTTCAGGTACCAAAAAATTCAGAAATAAGTGCTTGATCATCCTAGAAAAACAGTACTCTTGAAAAACCTTTAAGAAAATCTAAAATTGAGAAAAACCCTTAACGGTCGTTCGTTTAATTCAAAAAATCATAACTCAGGCTGTAGATGATCTAAAATCATGTTTCAGGTGCCGAAAAATTCAGAATTATGTGCTTGATGATCCTAGAGAAACAGAATTCTTAAAAATCCTAAGAAGGATCTCAAATTAAAGAAAAACCTTAACTTTGAGGTCATTTTTTAAGTTCAAAAAATCATAACTCAAGCTGTAGATGATCTAAAGTCATGTTTCAGATATCAAAAAATTTAGAATTATATGCCCCGCAATCCTAGAAAAACAGTACTCTCAAAAACCTTTTAAAAAAATCTCAAATTAAGGAAAAACCATAACTTTAACGTCATTTTGAAGTTCAAAATTTATAACTTGGGCTGTAAGGCCCATAGAAAATAGTGAGACAAGGTGGGGGTTTTTTCGAATTTTGAAAATTTATCGTTAAAAGGTGCTCTGAAAGCTTCTGAATAATCCCTTAACTCAATATTATAGAGCCGAAAAAAACACGCCCTATGCGACTGAATAGACGCTCTGGAGCACAATAATAATGAAAATAGAATAATCTCTCTTGAGATTTCGAAAAAGAGCTCAAAACCGTCCTAGAACTTCAAAAAAAAAAAGCTTTAGACTTATAAAAGCGTTCCAAAATGAGCCCTAACACCCCTCAAAAGACGCTCTAGCGCACAAAAAAGATATCTTTTCGTTTTTTGGTACTTTTCCTGGAAATAAGTACGATTTCCAGGTATCCCTACCGCACTACACCTCCACGAAATTCCTGTCCGACTCTGTCAAACGCTACATCCAATTCCTTCTTCTGAAACAAACCTACTCGGATCAATTCCTGACGCCCTGCTATGACTTCGATCTCATTTGGCACACGCATCAGGTTTTTTTCTTTTGGATTCAATGCGGTGCGGTCGCGCTGCGGTTCAAGTTAGCAGCCATCCTCGAGCCATTCCAAATGCGGTCATTTTGAGCCATTTTTGCAGGTCCACCCATCGAACTACCTGCGCGATTGTACGGCCATCTTTGGTGCGTTATTAAAACACGACGACACGGTTAATGACAGGACGAAGGGCAGCAAATTATTAAAGGTAATCCGTTAATTAATTAACTTATTTGGTGGCCTAGGATTCCAAATGATAAGGTTTCTACTGAGCGTCTGAAGGCCTAACTTTCCAATTCTTAGATATATCTCATTTCGATAAGAACTGTTTTTCGATATGACCTAGTTTTCCAAATCGAGGCCTAATTTTCCAATCGTCCTACGAACAAGTTTTTTCTAGCTATCAATGAGTTTTTAGTTATCACGCCTAGGATTCCAAATGATAAGGTTTCTACTGAGCTTCTGAAGGCCTAACTTTCCAAATCAATTCTTAGATATATGTATTTCACGATTCAGTTTGATAGAAACTGTTTTATGGATATGACCTAGTTTTCCAAATCGAGGCCTAATTTTCCAAATCGTCATACGAACAAGTTTTTTCTAGCTATCAATGAGTTTTTAGCTATCACTTCAGTATATCTGTTCGATTCATCAAAGCCTAGTTTCCCAAATTCTTCAAGGCCTAGTTTTGCAAATTTGAGAATCAATAAACTAGTCGAAAGCAATAAGTTTTAAAGCGCAGCTCTGAAGATGTAATTTGGAGGCCTAGGATTCCAAATGACAAGGTTTCTACTGAGCTTCTGAAGGTCTAACTTTCCAAATCGATTCTTAGATGTATCTCATTTCGATAAGAGCTGTTTTTGGGATATGGCCTAGTTTTCCAAATCGAGGCCTGATTTTCATAATCATCATAGGGATGAGTTTTTTCTAGCTATCACTTCACCAAATCCATTCAATTCATCAAGGCCTTGTTTCCCAAATTTTTCAAGGCCTAGTTTTGCAAACTTCAGAATAAATAAACTAGTCGAAATCGAATAATTTTAAGGTGAAGCTCTGAATATGCAATTTAGAGGCCTAGGATTTCAAATGATAAGGGTTCTTTTCAGCTTCTGGAGGCCTAATTTTCCAAATCGATTCCTGAATGTAACTATTCAAGCTCAGTTTGTTAGAAACTGTTTTGGGATACGGCCTAGTTTTTCAAATCGAGGCCTAATTTTCCAAATTTTCATAAGAATGAGTTTTTTCTAGTTACCAGTTCAGTAAAATTTTAGGCACAGAGTTTTTCAATTTTCCAAGGCATGATTTCCCGAATTTACAAGGCCTAGCTTTGCAAATGTATGACCATTTGAAAAATCAGGCCTCGATTTGGAAAACTAGGTCATATCCCATAAAATAGATTTGGAAAGATAGGCCTTTTGAACCTCAGTAGAAACCTTTTTAAATCAATAAACTAGTCAAAATGAATGATTTTAGGGCGAAGCACTGACAAAAAAATTATGGGTGACACATTTTGAAGAGCCGTTCTGGCGCCGTGGTTGCATGTTCCGGTTGGTTCATTTTCTCAGCTTTTAAAGTGCGGACAGATTTTTTTTTAAAAACTAAGAAAGGTTTCAGAAAAATCCTGATTTCAAAATTAATTTTCCATTTTTATGTGCAGATCAATGCATATCGTCAACTCGATCATTAACAAAGCTCAAATTTTTTTGAAAATCTCATCAAAATTCCTCAAAACCCTCATAAAACTTGTGTAATGAAAGCTTAGCTGGCCGGCAGTGAAAATTCAATTTTCGGTGTAAAGTCGTTTTGGCGGAACCGACAAAGAAAATGAGGATTTTGGGCTTTTTTTTGATTTGGAAAAAGGAGGCAAAAGTAAAAAAAAATTGGTTGGAGTCATAATTTTCAAATTTGCAAGGAATGGAGAAAAATTGTGATATTATGAAGGGAAAAAAAAAATCTAAAATAGAGAGTATGGGAAAATTGGAGACGCAGAAAGTTACAGAAATTCTCTCTGTCTGGAACACTCCAACTTTTCCATACTCTCTAACTTTTCAATCATTCTGAACAGGGTTTTTTCATGCGAAATAGTTTTCTCTCCAATCTGGATACCCAGGTTCGAATCCTCCATTGATTTTTGCCGTTTTTCAAGCTGAAATTTATTTTCAACGACATAAGGATGACGAAAAATTAATTCCGCAACTACCAATCCAGCGTCCCGAGTTCGAACCCCCGACTCATTTTTGCCATTTTTTCCAGTGGCCACAACGCGCCGGCGTTTTTGGGCTTTGAAAATCAAGATCTATCGAATATTGCCTACGGCGATATTCATGTACCTTCGATCGCCCTCAAGGATATCCCAGTTCAAAGGGAACAGTTGAGGTTTGCCTTCCATTGGGAAAATCTCAGAAAAATAGAAATTTTGAGGTTAAAATTATGCTACGGGACGAAGAAAGTGACGACTTTCAATGCAGATCTCTCACAAAAACAGGTGATTTTTTTGGATTTTCTAATCTTTTCAATGCATTTGAAATTTGAAATTAAAATTATTGAGGTTTTTTTGGAGGACCTTGTGTCTTAAAAAAAGCATCAAAACTGAATTTCCAGAACTTGTAAATTTATTATTTTCCGTAGAACTCTTGTCACGAAAATTTGAAGATTTCAAGAAATCAATTTAATAGTTAAGTTAAATTTTTTTCCCTTTTAATGACCTTTCTGTTCAAAAAACTTTCGATTGGGTTTTTGGATAGTTTTTCATGATCTCGGCTGAGATTTTTGAGGCGTTTTATAGCATTTTTAACAATTTTTTTATTCATTTCTTTGGATTCAAAACGTTTTTTTTTTTACCTATTTTTTCACTTTAGAACCATTTTTGACGATTTTAGGTGACAAAAACGGGTTTTTCACTGGTTTGGCAGCCGACCGACTCATCATCATCGGCCTCAATCGTCAAATTTCCTTTCGAAAGAAGAGCAGCCAAGGTATCCCGAAATATCAATAAATCGATAAATTGATCGATTTAGGATCTGACGGTCGAGTTGGAAATCTTCGACAAGGTCTTCCTTCAACGGAAAGAACTCATTAGGCTCGTCGGAAAAGTTTCCTTGGATCAGGTTTGAGTTTTAACTTTGAAAATGTCATGATAACTTCGAAATTTGATGCTCGGAGGGTCGCAGGTTCGAGGCATGTTCAGGAGAAAGATTTTTGCCATTTTTTACGACTTTTCTGTCAAGTTTATCAGTCAAAAACGACTAAAAATCGTGAGAAGCTTTAAAAAAGGATATTGTTGAAATTCTCGTGTCTGACAGTTAAAATCTTCTATTTTACTCATTTTTTTGATCAAAATCTATCTGGTTTACAATGAGAAGGTCCCAGGTTCGAGTCCTGTCCAGGGCGAAATATTTTTTGCCATTTTGTAATTGTTTTTTATCTGTGAATTTTATCAGTTAAAAACGGCAAAAAGCCGTTTGAAAATCAAGAAAATCAGAAAAAGAAAGGTATTGGTAAAATTCCCATGTCTGACACTCTAAAAATCTTCTGTTCTCAAGGTCACAGGTTCGAGTCCTGTCCAGGGCGAAATCTTTTTTTGCCATTTTGTAATTGTTTTTTTCTGTGAATTTAATATTCAAAAAAATACTAAAATCGCTCAAAAACTAAAAAAATATCAAAAAAAGATAGATATTGATAAAATTATTGTGTCTGACACTCTTAAAATCTTCTGTTCTCAAGGTCACAGGTTCGAGTCCTGTCCAGGGCGAAATCTTTTTTGCCATTTTTTAGAAAAGCTTGAGCGCAAAAGTTGCTTACAGAATCGATTTTTTGCAAATCTAATGAAACTTCTGACACGACTTCTACAGTTTTGAAGTTCAAAATTATTTTTTTTCAGCTTTTGCCCCCGACAAACTCAAAAACGGCCCACAACGTCGCAGAAGTCAACTTGAAATCGAGGGATTCTGACCGGGAAATGAGCGCCAGAGTTAATGTCACCACAAGGTAAGGTTGCTCCATTGATAATTTTTGGATTGATTGATTTTTGAAAAGCTTGAAGATTAAAGATATAGGACAAAATGCTTTATAGCAGTAGAGCGCAATGGAAAATCGGAAAAAAGCCGTTTTCTGGATTTTTTGAGTGTATTTCTGAGCTCAGAACTTCAAAATTAGTTTGAGAGAAATAAACATTTTGAATATTTTAAATTGTTCCTTAGAGCGCGTTTTCATTGTGAAATCGAGCTTCTCTCGTCTGACGTCATTCTAGGCATTTTCAAGCTTTTTTAAGAGTTCAACTGATTTTAAGAATCAATGTTCATTTTTTTAAATATACGGTATTGAAGCTCGCACTAATCTGATACTGTAATAAGTCGATTTTTTCAACAGAGCGCATTTTCCAAGTCAAAAACAGCCTACTTGATTTTACACCTTTCTGATTCGAATTTGAAACATTCGACGTGTGAAAATCTTCATTTCTAGCGTCACGTTGAACCGGGAACTCCAACTGATCGCCGGAGAATTCGTGGAAAGAACTCTTCAAGCCGACTCCCATCTGACCTATCTCTGCCACTGCGCTTCCTTGAATCGGACAGCCTTGACGCCGAATTCCAGTGTTCACCTGGCTACTCATAGGTGAGCTTTGAAAGACCGCACGCGTAATGGCTCAAAGCCGACCTGAAGCGACTTGCGCTAAATCTCTCTTAAAAGGTCTCTATAGGGGCTAGTGGGAGGTCCCTTTTAAATAGGGGTTAGTTTTAAATGACCTTGTTTTCCAAATAATGGGGTCTGGAGGTCGGAACACTTCCATATGGATCGTAAAAATATGACCAAGGATTGCTGGTTTTTTGACGGCCTAAATTTAGAAAACCATTCGAGGCGGCCTTGTTTTCCAAATATAAGGGGTTGGAGGGTCCCTATAGAGGTTAGAGGGAGGTCCCTTTTAAATAGGGGTTAGTTGTAAATGACCTTGTTTTCCAAATAATGGGGTCTGGAGGCCGGAAAACTTCCATATGGATCGTAAAAATATGACCAAGGAATGCTGGTTTTTTGACGGCCTAAATTTAGAAAACCATTCGAGGCGGCCTTGTTTTCCAAATATAAGGGGCTGGAGGCCGAGAAACCTCAATATTGATCGTAAAAATATGACCAAGGACTGCTGGTTTTTTGACGGCCTAAATTTCCAAAATCAAGCGAGACGACCTTGTTTTCCAAATATAACAACCTGGAGGCCGAGAAACCTCAATATTGATCGTAAAAATATGACCACGGGCTTCTGGTTTTTTGGCAGCCTAAATTTAAAATAAATCGAGACGTTTTTTGACGGCCTAAATTTCCAAAATCATCCAGACGGCCTTGTTTTCCAAATAACGGGGTCATAAATATCCGAAACATTTTTCTTGGAAAATCAAGATCAGTAGCCAGAACTTTCATTGATCATGTTTCCAGCGTGATGGACACGAGAGACGGCGCCAAGTATACGGTACAAGTAGTCCATTCGGCCCCGCTGTTACTTTCAATGATCCTGGTGTACGGTAGAGAGCAAAGGCTCCTCGCGATGGCTCATCTCATCGGCGCCGACTCCTTGCCCAGCCGGGACCAACTCGATAATAACCTGGTCTTTCTACTTAATAATCCTGAAACTTGAGTTTTTTCAGCAATTCCTGCCCCATCTATCGAATGCGGACGAGCGAGCCTTCGTCATCGTGAACAAAGATGGCGACTATGCGATCGTCAAGGGAAGATGGACGGGATTCTCCCGGAAACAGGCCGCCTCCAAAGGCCAAAAGGCCAAGCCTGGCAATCCGGGCCGTCTGATGGTCGACGCCTTCAACCTTCTGAAGAACACCGTTCAGAAGCTCGAAGTGCCGACGCCGGAGGGGTCTACCTTGTTTGTTATTGGAGGTGGGATTTTGAGGCAAAAAAGGTGCTCTTTTGAGACGTCCTGCACACGGAAAAGTATGACAAGAAACAGAATTTTTGAAATAGGCTGATGGTATTGAAAACCAAACTTTATTTGGAATTTCAGGCCTCCGGTCTTAGTTTTAGGTGAACTGAACAGGCTGTTTTTTTTCCCAGTTATTTCAGGCTGTTTTTTGTAGAACAGCAGATTTCAATGTCATCAATCATTATTTGGAATTCACGGCCATCAGTTCGAGTCTTTTTGAAAACTCGGACGTTTATGCACTGCTTCAGAAAATTAGGCCTGAAGGTTATCGAAAATCTTCGATCTCGAACTGAAAAAAAGCTAGACCTTCGATTCGGACTTTGGCTGCTCCTTTAAAGCGTCTTTTTAAAGCAGGATTTTGGAAAAAATAGGTCGATGATATTGAAAACCAAACTTTATTTGGATTTTCAGGCCTCCGGTCTTAGTTATTAGGTAAACTGGACAGGCTTGATTTTTTTTTTTCAGTGAGTTTAGGCTGTTACTTGTAGATCAACAGATTTAAATGTCATCAATCACTATTTGGAATTCACGGCCTTCAGTTCGAGTCGTTTGGAAAACTCGGTCGTTTATATACTTTTTCTGAAAATTAGGCCTTTAGCTTCGAGCGAATTTTGCAATGTTAGGTTGCCTGAAAATTCATCAGGTTATCAAAAATCTTCGATCTCTATTTGCAAATCCAGACCTTTGATTCGGGAAACTCGGCCTTATTTTATCATTATTTGGAATTCACGGCCTTCAGTTTGAGTTATTTGGAAAACTTTAGAGGACATATATATACTTTTTCTGAAAATTAGGCCTTTAGCTTCCAGCTTAGGTTACCTGAAAGTTATCAAAAATCTTCGATCTCTATTTGTAAACCTAAACCTCCTATTTGGAAAACTCGTCCCTCTTCTCCTAGGCCTAAAAAACCAATTTTTGAAGTCCAAATCTATCCGTTTATGTACTTTTTCCGAAAATCAGGCCTCAAGCTTCCAGCGAAGTTTGCAATGTTAGGTTACCTGAAGTTTTTCAAAAATCTTCGATTTCGATTTGTAAACCTAGTCCTTCGATTTGGAAAACACGGCCATGTTTCAGACGCCCAAGCTCGATTACCTGGAAAACGGATCGAATGCCGATCTACCAACACCGCCGAGCAGATCGCCTCCGTCTTCTGCGTCGCCACCTTATTCGTCCTTTGCAATCCGGACAAGGTGAGTAGCTCAGTCGGTGGTGGTCTTGAACGCCGCTCGGAGGGTCTCTGGATCGCTCCCTATCCTGACTTTTTGCAAAAATCACCTTTCAGGTGAGATCAAGGAGCGACAACACCTCCGTGGGACATCAAGCCCATAAATGGCCGTTCACCTTGGCTTGTGGTTACGGTAGACAACTACCGTCCAATCGCGCTCTGTCGACAAGCGAGAATGAAGGAGGAGGTGCGAACTATCGGAACATGAAGCCGTAAAATAAGATAACCATCAAATTTTAGAAAGTGATTGCGGACTTGGATGTTACAGTAAGCTCTAAAATTTAATAATGAAGACTTCAAAGTGCAGTAATTTCATTTGGATAGTCTGAATTTATCTAAAAATGTGATCTATGAAATTAGAGTTTCTCATAACCTTGAGGCCTTTACGGACTTGCATCTTACAGTAATCCGATAAATAATAAAATTTGTTTTTTTGCGGAACCACCAAACGAAAGTCGCTCAACTTGGAATGATTTTAAGACTCGAATGTTCTTCGCAGAATTCGAGCTTACAGTAACCAAAAAAATACTTCTTTTAATGACGTCATCGCAACCTTACAGACCTTTCACCTACCGTAACCAATTTTTTATATCATTTAAGGCGGCGGGATGGAGATCGCGCCGTTGCTAATGTGCGGCGCCGGATGTGACGGAGCGGCTTGCGGGGCTTGCGGAGCGTGCGGCGCTTGCGGCGCGTGTGGAGGCTGCGGTGGCTGCGGCGGTTGTGGCGGCTGTGGTGGTTGCGGATAGGCCGGCTACAGTAATCTTTGAAAATAAATAAATGAATGAACAGAGCTTCTCCGCCCATGTTGCCTTTCTCTATGAGGCTTTCTCTCCTCGATCTTTCTTTCTATCTCTAATTTTCTTCTTTTCTGATGTCTCTTACCGATTTATCATGTCTGGGAAAAGGTTTTTTTTTCATATTATCTTACAAACTTTGCGACTTTTTCCCAGCTTCTCCCTCGAGCGGCTAACATTCCTTCCACACTAAATTGCCAAAAAAATCAATAATTCTTGTCATAATAATAAAAATGTCACAATTGCCAAAAAGTCCGCAATATTTGGGTATAACATATAATATTTTTTCTACGGAGCTCAGAAATTGACAAAAACTCCCCTGGAAATCCTCTGGGAAATTCGGTCAATTTTGAGCTTCTTCCCCCTTAACAATATGTGGCCTGATTGCTCTACTTCTCCTCTTCTTTAGGCAATATTTTCGCCCCACTTTTTCTCTTATTTTTTTGACCAACTGTCATTTTATTATTTCATGTCATTCGAGGATAATCTGTAAAAATAATAGATCAAAATAATTCTGTCAAACTGGTTCTCAATGTATTTATTTTTCTCTTTTTATGTTTCCATTTCAATTATTTTCTTCTTCTCTATTTGTCGATAAACTTCTTCTTTTCATTTTTGAAAATAAAATGAGGAAATGATGTGAATTTGAATGGTTACCTCCGTAGGTCAACTAGGAGCTGAGATATACTCGATCGAACTGAGAGATCAAAAACTGGAAAGTAGGTCAAATTAGGTATCAATCGATAAAGGAAACCAAGGGAATCAATAAAAACTAGGTCTCCAAGTTCCTAACCCCCTACGAATCGAATTATGTATTTTCAAAAACTTCAAAAAATCATAACTTTCATTCAAGAAGCCTCTGAACTTTTTGGCCTGGATTCTCAGGCTTCTGACGCCATTTCCTATCGATTGATGTGAAAATCTCGGAAACTTTGGATTTCGGGAAAATCGAAAAAAGTGCAGTCTAACCCCTTTGGTTTTTTTCGAGCTTCTCAGGTCATGGAAGCCGATCCGGACGAAACCTATATCAATCGATAGATCTCGACGAGAAAAATGACCTGAGACCAGGTTTGACCTCCGTAGGTCAACTAGGAACTGAGTTATAGGCGATCAAACTGAGAGGTCAAAAATGGGAAAATAGGTCAAATTTGGTATCAATCGATAGAGGAGATCAAGGAAACCAAGATAAACTAGGTCTCCAAGTTCCTAACCCCCTACGAATCGAATTATGTATTTTTCAAAAAAACTTCAAAAAAATCATAACTTTCATTCAAGAAGCGTCTGAACTTTTTTTGGCCTGGATTCTCAGGCTTCTGACGCCATTTCCTATCGATTGATGTGAAAAATCTCGGAAACTTTGGATTTCGGGAAAATCGAAAAAAAGTGCAGTCTAACCCCTTTGGTTTTTCGAGCTTCTCAGGTCATGGAAGCCGATCCGGACGAAACCTATATCAATCGATAGATCTCGACGAGAAAAATGACCTGAGACCAGGTTTGACCTCCGTAGGTCAACTAGGAACTGAGTTATAGGCGATCAAACTGAGAGGTCAAAAATGGGAAAAATAGGTCAAATTTGGTATCAATCGATAGAGGAGATCAAGGTAACCAAGATAAACTAGGTCTCCAAGTTCCTAACCCCCTACGAATCGAATTATGTATTTTCAAAAACTTCAAAAAATCATAACTTTCATTCAAGAAGCGTCTGAACTTTTTGGCCTGGATTCTCAGGCTTCTGACGCCATTTCCTATCGATTGATGTGAAAATCTCGGAAACTTTGGATTTCGGGAAAATCGAAAAAAGTGCAGTCTAACCCCTTTGGTTTTTTTCGAGCTTCTCAGGTCATGGAAGCCGATCCGGACGAAACCTATATCAATCGATAGATCTCGACGAGAAAATGACCTGAGACCAGGTTTGACCTCCGTAGGTCAACTAGGAACTGAGTTAGAGGCGATCAAACTGAGAGGTCAAAAATTGGAGAATAGGTCAAATTTGGTATCAATCGATAGAGGAGATCAAGGTAACCAAGATAAACTAGGTCTCCAAGTTCCTAACCCCCTACGAATCGAATTATGTATTTTCAAAAACTTCAAAAAATCATAACTTTCATTCAAGAAGCGTCTGAACTTTTTGGCCTGGATTCTCAGGCTTCTGACGCCATTTCCTATCGATTGATGTGAAAATCTCGGAAACTTTGGATTTCGGGAAAATCGAAAAAAGTGCAGTCTAACCCCTTTGGTTTTTTTCGAGCTTCTCAGGTCATGGAAGCCGATCCGGACGAAACCTATATCAATCGATAGATCTCGACGAGAAAATGACCTGAGACCAGGTTTGACCTCCGTAGGTCAACTAGGAACTGAGTTAGAGGCGATCAAACTGAGAGGTCAAAAATTGGAGAATAGGTCAAATTTGGTATCAATCGATAGAGGAGATCAAGGTAACCAAGATAAACTAGGTCTCCAAGTTCCTAACCCCCTACGAATCGAATTATGTATTTTCAAAAACTTCAAAAAATCATAACTTTCATTCAAGAAGCGTCTGAACTTTTTGGCCTGGATTCTCAGGCTTCTGACGCCATTTCCTATCGATTGATGTGAAAATCTCGGAAACTTTGGATTTCGGGAAAATCGAAAAAAGTGCAGTCTAACCCCTTTGGTTTTTTTCGAGCTTCTCAGGTCATGGAAGCCGATCCGGACGAAACCTATATCAATCGATAGATCTCGACGAGAAAAATGACCTGAGACCAGGTTTGACCTCCGTAGGTCAACTAGGAACTGAGTTAGAGGCGATCAAACTGAGAGGTCAAAAAATTGGGAGAATAGGTCAAATTTGGTATCAATCGATAGAGGAGATCAAGGTAAACCAAGATAAACTAGGTCTCCAAGTTCCTAACCCCCTACGAATCGAATTATGTATTTTTCAAAAAAACTTCAAAAAAATCATAACTTTCATTCAAGAAGCGTCTGAACTTTTTTTGGCCTGGATTCTCAGGCTTCTGACGCCATTTCCTATCGATTGATGTGAAAAATCTCGGAAACTTTGGATTTCGGGAAAAATCGAAAAAAAGTGCAGTCTAACCCCTTTGGTTTTTCGAGCTTCTCAGGTCATGGAAGCCGATCCGGACGAAACCTATATCAATCGATAGATCTCGACGAGAAAATGACCTGAGACCAGGTTTGACCTCCGTAGGTCAACTAGGAACTGAGTTATAGGCGATCAAACTGAGAGGTCAAAATGGGAAAATAGGTCAAATTTGGTATCAATCGATAGAGGAGATCAAGGTAACCAAGATAAACTAGGTCTCCAAGTTCCTAACCCCCTACGAATCGAATTATGTATTTTCAAAAACTTCAAAAAATCATAACTTTCATTCAAGAAGCGTCTGAACTTTTTGGCCTGGATTCTCAGGCTTCTGACGCCATTTCCTATCGATTGATGTGAAAATCTCGGAAACTTTGGATTTCGGGAAAATCGAAAAAAGTGCAGTCTAACCCCTTTGGTTTTTTTCGAGCTTCTCAGGTCATGGAAGCCGATCCGGACGAAACCTATATCAATCGATAGATCTCGACGAGAAAAATGACCTGAGACCAGGTTTGACCTCCGTAGGTCAACTAGGAACTGAGTTATAGGCGATCAAACTGAGAGGTCAAAATGGGAAAATAGGTCAAATTTGGTATCAATCGATAGAGGAGATCAAGGAAACCAAGATAAACTAGGTCTCCAAGTTCCTAACCCCCTACGAATCGAATTATGTATTTTTCAAAAAAACTTCAAAAAAATCATAACTTTCATTCAAGAAGCGTCTGAACTTTTTGGCCTGGATTCTCAGGCTTCTGACGCCATTTCCTATCGATTGATGTGAAAATCTCGGAAACTTTGGATTTCGGGAAAATCGAAAAAAGTGCAGTCTAACCCCTTTGGTTTTTTTCGAGCTTCTCAGGTCATGGAAGCCGATCCGGACGAAACCTATATCAATCGATAGATCTCGACGAGAAAATGACCTGAGACCAGGTTTGACCTCCGTAGGTCAACTAGGAACTGAGATATACACGATCAAACTGAGAGATCGAAAATTGGAAAGTAGGTCAAATTAGGTATCAATCGATAGAGGAGATCAAGGAAACCAAGATAAACTAGGTCTCCAAGTTCCTAACCCCCTACGAATCGAATTATGTATTTTCAAAAACTTCAAAAAATCATAACTTTCATTCAAGAAGCGTCTGAACTTTTTGGCCTGGATTCTCAGGCTTCTGACGCCATTTCCTATCGATTGATGTGAAAATCTCGGAAACTTTGGATTTCGGGAAAATCGAAAAAAGTGCAGTCTAACCCCTTTGGTTTTTTTCGAGCTTCTCAGGTCATGGAAGCCGATCCGGACGAAACCTATATCAATCGATAGATCTCGACGAGAAAATGACCTGAGACCAGGTTTGACCTCCGTAGGTCAACTAGGAACTGAGTTATAGGCGATCAAACTGAGAGGTCAAAATGGGAAAATAGGTCAAATTTGGTATCAATCGATAGAGGAGATCAAGGAAACCAAGATAAACTAGGTCTCCAAGTTCCTAACCCCCTACGAATCGAATTATGTATTTTCAAAAACTTCAAAAAATCATAACTTTCATTCAAGAAGCCTCTGAACTTTTTGGCCTGGATTCTCAGGCTTCTGACGCCATTTCCTATCGATTGATGTGAAAATCTCGGAAACTTTGGATTTCGGGAAAATCGAAAAAAGTGCAGTCCTTTGGTTTTTTTCGAGCTTCTCAGGTCATGGAAGCCGATCCGGACGAAACCTATATCAATCGATAGATCTCGACGAGAAAATGACCTGAGACCAGGTTTGACCTCCGTAGGTCAACTAGGAACTGAGTTATAGGCGATCAAACTGAGAGGTCAAAATGGGAAAATAGGTCAAATTTGGTATCAATCGATAGAGGAGATCAAGGAAACCAAG